ACTCCTAGATAGATAGATAGATAGATAGATAGATAGATATGTACTGGATTGCCAACCATTCCTGGGTGAAGTTATGATGGCTTGCCAGGCACATTAACTGGTACAAATATTTAATATGAGGGTTTCAATAAAGCAGTCATGCTTATATTCCATCTTATGCTATCAGTGTGAAATGACCCAAGGATGGAGTGCTAGAGTTTGCTTACTATAAGTTTGTTGGCTGCCTCTTTTATCTTCTCCACTTTGGCCTCTGAGAGTCCCTTAACATTGCATAGTGCCCGCCTAGTTGTCATCTGAATTCCTTTGATTGTACAAATTCCCACTGTTTTCAGCTTTTTAATATCAGCCACATTCTGTGAAGGACATAAAAAGGATTAGAACTCTTGATGTTCATGAGATGTTACATATATCAAGGAGGTTAATAAACCAAAATCTTGTTCCTCATTAAAATTAGGAGGGCTTAAAAATGGTGTTTGCTGCAGGTTTCCTAATTACATTTATTTTTATCTCATTTTAATCAATAAATGCAAGTGATTTCTACTCTATGGTGTGTGTTTTTAGTCAGGTCCTTTTCAGAAAGAAAGGCTGGATCAACATTATGAAAATAAATTAACAGAATGAATGTGGCGCCTATATATTGTTTGGGTCTCCTTGTTTTCCTAAGCAGCTGGAAATCAAAGGCAAAATTGCAGAACAGGAAAGAATGATGTATAGCACAAATGGGGAACCTATAATCCTCCAAATGTTGCTGAACTACAACTCCTATCACCCCTATCAATTGGCCATGCTGGCAGCAATGGATGGGAACTGAAGTCCAACAACATCTGGAGAGTCTCAGGTTCCCCCCATCCCTGATTTCTAAGAATATTAAGCTGTACCATTTCTATATAATTTTTCTGGTGCTATCCAGATAGGAGTACTTATACCCTGTAGTTCTCTAAGCATTCATTGTATTTTTTCTGAATGTAGTGGACATTTAATAATTTCTCTGTGAAGGTAATAAAATCAGTTCCAGTGCAGTAGCTTATCAATGACATGAACAATGGAACAGCTGAGTATCTTTTTGGGTACAGGCTGCATTTATGTTAGTCATTACCTTTAGGATGGCCAGGTAAAAATAAAAAAAGACAGAGTTCTTGCAGCTTTGTAAGTTGTGTAGAAGAAGGAATTTCAGCAGACACAATGGTCTTTTTCACCTGGCCACCACAGCTTATCTCAGTTTAACAGTAGTGTACACATAGTCCAAGTAATCTTGATTACTATAAAAGACTGAAAATTTTATGTTTTCTTGCTTGAAATTAAGGATGTGACGCCCGCTTCATAATAGCAGTCAGAGCTCAAACAGAGAGTAGAAAGGCAAATAAGGATACAGATGCATTTTTAAAGTGTGCTTACAATTCCATGCTTCTGTAGCAGGTCGATGTCCTGGAAAAAGGACTCCTAAAGGGATGCAAAAACAACAGCAACTACGAGAATCTTCGTTATTTTGATATTTATGCACATATCTCTCACTTTGGTCAACCAACTATATGTTATCCCAGAGCAGGGATTACTTTTAGAGGGTTTTCTCCATGCTCAAGGGTACGCAGTACAAGGACCACTTTTTTTGTTTAAAAAGTATGGCACTTACTGTAACAACTTTATGGTGAGTACCGGCACCTATTTTTCTAGAAAAAAAGCACTGGGGTTTCTTAATAGTTGCAATTAATTAATTGTAATGAATTAATTTGATTTTTTTTTTTTTTACCCAACCTTCACCATACGGTCCCAGAAAATATAAAAATACAACATTAAAATCAGTTAAAACAATTTACAATCAAAAGAAGAGGATGGGTCCTAAAACATGCATCTCAGGTGCTAAAGGCCAGGATAAAGAGAGGCGCATTTCAGCTTATGATGAAAGCTATACTATAAAGGTGCCAGATGTGCCTCTGTGGGCAGCTTAGGGGCTGCCCTTGGAGAATGCCCCCTTTCAAGTTGCCACCCAGCAAAATTATATGAGTATGCACATCTTCTAAGTTTACTCAAAAATGAACCATTTTGTTTACTAAAAAAATGAATGTTTTATTCTATTTTGTATAATTTTCTTGAGGATTCCAGACAAAACAAACTTTGCATCTATACCTCATCATCCTGGAATCCTGGTTCTTCCTGCACAACTTGATCCTCAATGGACTTCATTGTAATATAAGATATAGTAAGATTTCAATCAGTGCTGCAGGAAGCAATTGGAGAGTGTAAAAGCATATAAAGCAATAAGATATGCAATACTTTTATGGATCTGGTGTGTGCACTTCATATAAGACGGCAGCCTTCGTCACTTATATAGCATGACCAAGAAGGGACTAAGTGTACTGAATAGTTTTATCATAGATTTTAGAGAGAGTTGTTTGATTCCAACATGCTTGAAGACTTCCATCACACTGAGGTAGCAATGGCTAATTTATTCAGCCTGGGTTGTGAGACTCACATCCGTTATGGAGCACCGGAGCATTTGATATTAAATGAAAGCTATGGTGTAAGAGAGTTCCCACATAAAAAATCTCCAAATTTATCATATAAAAGAAAATACAGATTTTGAAAGCTTTTTGTTTTTCTTTTCTGTTGTGATAATTTTGAAAATGTTCACGTGAGCCTCCTGTAAAGAGCTCCTCACATGAAGATGAGGCCATCAAGTCACCATAGATAGACCTCAACGCCTCAAAAATATGGATTGGTCTTCAGTCTATGTTCTTCTCTCGTGCTAAAACTGTGGAATGCTCTCAACTTGAAGAATGGCATCTGCCATCCAATCACTCAGTTTCAATTCAACAATATGCTATTGAAGTGACAAGTGATTTAACAGTGAGAAAGCGAAAAACCACTAATTCGTAATCGTCATGTTTCAAAATAACTTTAGGAAAAGGTAAAAATATTTTCCTGAGGTAACATAACCACCCGCTCCTCGGTAATGACAAGATGGGAAGCATCCAATTAAAAAGATGAAGGGCATGTTTTAACTCCTTTGTAAATCTTGCCTATTTACTGAAGATCACATCATCCTTGCACATTGTTTTCTCATTGTTCCCAGCTTTCTTGACCATGATACTGGTTTAAATAAATATATATATTTATAAATTATACAACTGTGTCCATTCCCATTTTTGGACAGTGGCGCTACATATCAGGAAGAAGTGAGGCGATAAGCATGTTCTCTACCTCAGGTTCCAGTGCCGCAAAGTGAAAATGGAACAGAGGCCAGGAGACGACTCAGGTGACTGTTTTACAAATTGTGAGGGTTTTTTTTTTAAGGTATGTGAGGTGAGAGCACTCGCCATGACTCACCAGTGTATCACTGAAACCATTCCAGTGCCATACAGTTCTCATCACATTACTAAAAGAAATCTCCTGATGCTGAAAGAAACAGTAATGTGAATCCACCCATACTAGTATCTTTTTTGAGGTAAAATCTAGTGGCACTCTTCTAATATATCCAGTGCAAGGTCATGACCCTCTTTCTCATGTGTTTTCAGTATTTTTTTATTGTTTCTGACCCTCCAGCACTTTGACAGATAGTAAATATATACTAAAACTAGAAGAATGTGCCAGAAAAAGGAGGGCAGTTTAAGCGTTCAAGTGGCAGAGAAGGCTAAGAATAATGTATGGTGGGAAAGAGCGTTTTTTTTCCTGTGCTTCTAACTTTTTACCATGACATTTACTTCTTCCTGGATGCCCTGAAAAGCAAACTAAAACCCTGAGACTTTGGGTCACATTTAGGATCAGATGTTACAAAGGAGAGATGATGTATTATTTCAGATTGTGATAGGGTTAGGGTTAGAGTTTTTGAAAATGTTCAGATGTATCAATTTTTATGTTCAGCCTTTTACCTCCCCCTCACCTCTCCTGCCCAATAAATCAAACCTTCCCCCAGCCTCTGTGGTAACATATGACTGAGGCTGACTTGGTTTAAACAAGCAAGTCTGCTTCTGCTACACGCTCTGGGATTCACACTCCAGCGTTGGATGAAAAAAGGTGTAAAAGCTGCTAGACAGAGCTGCCAGATCTGAGGAGAAAAATGAAGCCAAAATGGCTTCCAGGTATACTCTGGGTAGCTGGGGAATGTATATTAAAAAAACAACCGCCCCCTCAAAGATGACAAATGCTTCAATCCTATGCACATTTACACCAGAAGAAGAATATAGATGTTGTATCTCTAGGGGCTGCTAGATCTCCTGAGGGTACCTTGGAGCAAAGTTGCAGGCATTTTGACAGATCAAGAGCACAGCCTGGTGGTGCTTAGAGGGGCCATGCGGTGTCAATGGGAGAGACCTAGACACCATCCTGTCTCTCACGGTGACTAAACCTGATGCTTTTGGGAAGTTTGGCATATACCCATTGCGACTTGTAGCCATTAAGAACATATCCTCCATGTCACCTACTAGGGCAGTGTGCAGATGGGTTTGGAGCCACAGTCTGAAGGATGTGGCACTAGCAGTAAAATAGCTCCCAAGACAGAAAACGGCCTGTCCCATTGGCCTCAGTTTTTATGTATTTTCTCCAGAGAACCCGAGGAGGCAGATATCCAGAAAACTACCAGATATCCTGTCCAACTACACAGAGCCTCCTTTCCACTATGTATCAAGTACCCAGGCCACCCCTCAGTCTCACCCAAGAACAGGCTGTAGTAGCTGGAAGTTTATGGGTTTAAATCAGGCATAGGCAAACTCGGCCCTCCAGATGTTTTGGGACTACAACTCCCATCATCCCTAGCTAACAGGACCAGTGGTCAGGGATGATGGGAGTTGTAGTCCGAAAACATCTGGAGGGGCGAGTTTGCCTATGCCTGGTTTAAATCATGTTCAGTGCAGCCGTCAGCCACAGTCCAAAGGGGGGGGGGAGATATCTGAAAATAAAAATGGCCTGTAATGTTGAGATCCTGACTGGTTCACAGCCCAGCAATGAGTAGGGACATTAAAGAGTGAGGGAGCTGGGTGGAGGGAGAGCAATCAGGAAGGCCAACAAAGATTAGCAGGTTTTTTTTATTGCAATCTTTAACTGTACATGGGTTAGGAGAAGCAAACAAAGCAAACACATTCTCAGGAAACAAAGCAAACCTATGTAAGAACGTATCAAAGAGACAAATGTATGAATGCACCAGTTGGTTGTGCTATTGGGCCATGCTTTGGGAACATGTTCACACCTGCAGGCTTCTGTCTGGCTATACCAGAGTAATAAGAATTTGACCTCTACCATCTGCAAGGAGGATCAGGCCCATGAATTCTTATCTTACATTTTGAATTTGGTATGAATTTGGTACACGGCATGTCTGGAGAGAGAGAGAGAGAGAGAGAGAGAGAGAGAGAGAGAGAGAGAAATTCTGCTACATATCCTTTAAAATTCTTAAAATTCTTAGAAAGGGAAAAAGCAGCACAGAAAGGATTTGGCTGCTTAGAATCATATAAACACAGAATCTGAAAGCATTTTATTTACTTTCAACATTTATATGATACCTTTTGGGAACAGGGCAGCAAACTATAAGTTAAAACAGTAACTAAAATATGATCAAAACAAAGCACACATCAAAACTACCAGTAAAATACACCATCAGCGCAAACAACTTCAGCATCATGTTAATAAAAATCATACTTTTAAAAGCCTGCCAACTGAGAGTGTTGGCCAGTAGTCAGAAAATGAGCAGTAATTGGGCCAGGCTAACTGGTTGAGAAATGTTGTCTACTATCTAGACACCACTACAGAAAAGGGTCCATTCATTGTATCCTTCTGTCACACCTCAGACTGAAAGGGGATATGGAGCAGCAGCTTCATAAGTGATGTCAAAGGACGAACAGATTCATAGTACTTCTTATAGGACATGTACAAGACATTTAACGTATATGCCCACTGTCACCATTCGCACTCCCACTGGAAACTTTATTATGGGACAGAACAATACTTATTTACTAAAAATAGTGGGGCCAACTCTTTGCCCAAATTCATTGGGATTGATGGGATGTGATTCTTTTCAGTGATGAGGGAAAAGTATTCTGTACATGCTTAGAGACACAATTTAAAAACTATTTCATATGCACCTTGACTATATCCCAGTACTTAAATCTATGGTTCAGAAATGCAGGAGCACAAACATAGCCTTACTCTCCAGTTCGCACTGTTGAACGTAGCTATTGCAAGAGGATTGGCAGTTGTAACTTCAAATATTTGGGGATGGGCACCTTCTTCTCAGTCCATGCAAAACAGCATGAAATCTGGCAAACTGGATCAGACCAGTATCTACTTCTCTGGTACAGAACTAAAAGAAATTGTGTCAGAATGTCTGTAAGAAATGGCTCATTGCCAGGATTTCTCAGCTTGACCATAATTGCCTTTTTTGGTTCAGAATTAAGAAGTTGGCAGGTGATGTTTTTATGGACATTGCTACATGTCTGGGTATTTTATGTAAGACCACTACACCAAAAGATTTCTTCTTCCAAGGACAGAAAATGTTACCTTGGGCATGTTTTTTGCAAACTAATTGTAAAAAAAAAAGAAAGAAAAAAGAATTCTAGTAGGATTGCTCATGTAATCCTCTAACTCCTCCTTTTATTGCTGGGATTATAAAATGTGAAAAGGTAAACTTGGGCTAGATAGAACTGATGTCCTGTTACAATTTTTTTCCTAAATCACTATGTCTCAGGGAAATTAAATTTGATATATTCTTCACAGATTTGTAATAATGAAACACAGGTACTCCATAGATTTATCACAGTACTTTTATGGGCATAAAATACTAAATGCTGCATCCCTGAGACCACCAACACTGAAGACCAGCACATTCAGTTCACTGGGCTGCAGGGTAAGATGTGAAGTAGAGAAAGAACATACTGCCTTGTGTCACAGCACTGGTTAAGGAGCCTTTGAAATCATTGAAAAAGGTAGTCAATTATGATTTTAAACAAATATTGTCAAACACAAGTTCAGACCTTCGAAGTGTACTAAATTAGTGTTTCTCTGCTTTGTGTTCAGAATAACTGCATGAAATAAGTACTGACAGTTGTAATGAACTGTTGAAATAATGTAAACGACCGAGTTGTGTTAAATATATAGATATTGCAAAAAGCCATTATTTCAGTACATAATGGTAGATTTTCAAAAGCAATGTAGGTTGGGATTTTTAACATTTCAAAATGCTGCCCCTTAAAGGTAAATATTACAATTTGATTTTCATGAAAACAGAAAATAAGGTGAAGAGAAAACACATATGCTTAAATATAGCTTTCCAAGTAAGGTATGCTAAGATCTAGAAGATGTATAGAGATCTAGGTAGCAAAAATAAAATTTCTAAAGACAGCTTCCAGGTGCCTCTAAACCAGGCATGGGTAACCTGTGATTCTTCAGAGGTTGCTGGATTCCAGTTTCCATAAACCCCATCTGGTGTGGCTAATGATCAGAGATGATGACAGTTGTAATCTAGCAAAATATGGAGAGTCCCAAAATCCCCACCCCTGCTTTATACTTAGTCTGTCTAGCCTAGGATATATCTGAGCCCTGTTTTTAAGTCCCGTTCATAGTCAATATATTATTGAAATGGACACGGCCAAACAGTGGTATGAAAACGAGAACCCCCTCTTAAAAGAATTCAACATAAATGACATGCCTGAATTAATGAAGGAAACTCCCTCTCAACCAGTGCTCACCTTACTCCTGTAATGCAGTAATACACAATTGCTTCTAATCAGAAATGCTTTTGTACATCTCTTTGCACCAAATCTAGGTTAATTTCCTTTAAACATTCTTTTTATAAAGCAGATAGTAACAATGTTTATAGAACAGCTTCTCCCAAATAGATTCAGTTTGAACTTAAGTCTCATTCATTTCAAAAAGAGAAAACTAAATTTATTGCTAGCGCCACGTGTAAGTTAACAAGTCAGTTAGTTGAACGTGACTTTTGGGGTGCGGCATATAAACTTGTCTGAAGAACTCAGTCCCTCTGGGCAAGAAAACAACTCTTTCTGCTTTTGGGCCTGCTTTTTCATCTCTTCCAGCATCTCTTGCCTATGGTGACAAGGGAAAAAGTGTAATTAATTATGCTTGAAATTAATTTAAAGAAAAAGCCATTAAATTTAAGGAAGGTGAAGAGAAACCTTGCAATACATTGCAGAAAATTAGGGCTACTTTCACAATGGTCATTTACTGTGAAATAGCCACACTCTGATTACTCATTTTTTATAAGGCATCTGCACATCATGAATAAAACACAAGGACAGACATCCACGCTGAGAGGGACATAGTCTTGCTGAAGTTTATCCTTAAATATGCCTAAATGAGCCCTCCATCATAAACAGGGAAAGCACACAACTTCAATTTTTTAAAAAAGTTAATGCAATTGTGCAGACAATGTGCAGGGAGAGTTGTTCTGCTCACGAGGGATTATCACAAGTAAAACATTTAATTTTAAATGCTGGGAAAATGACAAGTCCATGCAATAGAAGTACAAAACTGAGAGGCAGTATGTGGACTGGTACAATAAATGCACAAGTTTAACTGTACACTACAGTATAAGGCAACATAGCAAAAATACAAGGATGTCTAAAACAAGAAAGGAGTTTCTGATTAAACAGCAGGAAGAACTTTCTGACAATAAGAGCTGTTCAACATTGGAATGATTTCCCCCGGGAAGCCGTGGACTATCCTTAACTGGAGGTTTTTAAGCAGAGGTTTAATGGCCATCTATCATGGATAATTTAGCTGAGATTTCTGCATTGCAGGGAGTTGGACTAGATGACCCTTCAGGTCCCTTCCAATGCTACAATTCTAAGCTATCTGAACTGTCATGATAGTTCTTAGTGTTAGCAAACAGCAACCATGCATTGGCTATGCATACAGCTGGTCGTGGAAAGGCCCTTAGACAGTCCAGTCTCCTTCATGTTGAGATTGTAATGTATAAAGCTGTACTTAACAAGCTCTTTAAATACCTGAAAACCAACAGGTTATACTTGCTCAGTTGATCAAATTTCCTCATTTCTCTCCGGTGTCTCCGATAAGTCTTCATGAAATCTTTGTGCCTCTGGCGGAGGCTCTGAAAACTTTGCTTGATCACTTCTGCATATGTCTGGGCAGAATCCGTGATTTCAGAAGTAAAGGAAAAATTTAATCCAATTGCTTACCTCAAGCATACCAAAGAGAACATGTACTGAGCTTTGGGGGGGCGGGGTGGGGTGAGGGGAAGCATATTCTGTAATTATCTGGGAATAAAACTCAGTCAATGGCAACTCTATGGATAATGCAAAACTATTTTTCAGAAATCTGTTACACCAGTTGAGATGGTCATCAGTAGCAGCTTGGGGGAGGAAGCACCAATCTGCAAAGGACCCTTAACATCTGGCTACTTAAGCAGCCATTTACAGGCCAGGGTTATTTCCTCCAAGACCTGTTGTGCGATGCAGAAATTCATCCGCTTTGGGGCATCCAAAGACTGGAAGGTGAGGGAGGCCTTTGCCTCACCTGTAATTCTTGCATCTACCACCAGGAGCCAAGGAACTAAGTAGATATCAAAATCAGCCAGGGTGAGAAAGCCCTGCCCCGTGAGTGGGACTCTAATATCCAAATTGTTTTTGTACAGCATTTTAGCAATATTGTACACTCTCCCAAGGACTTTGGTTAGTAGGCAGGGTATAAATATTTCAACTACACAGATGTAAATATATTGAAATAAATGGGCTTAAGCATGCATAACTGCGCTGGATAGGGGCAATTATCTTTAAATATGGGTCTAAAGTAGACTGAAGGTTCAGAGTAGGATTTTATAAGAGCCCAAAACCACTAATACCAAGTCAAGAACTGCATGCCCTCCTACCTTCTGCATTACAGGGGTAGAAACAGCCCCATGTGTGTTTCTGGGAATGCAATTTGGCTTGAGTGGACCATGAAATGGCCAATGAAAGTCAATGGCTGCAATCCAGTGAAACTAAAAGGTATACACATGTGTTCCTTTTGTGCTCTTTATAACCCAGAAGTCCTCAGCCCTAGTAAATGATAAACTGCTTTATAATTCAGAATTTAAAACTTAAGTTTGATCCTTCTGCAGCACAGGTTGGTTATTTAATCATAAAAGACAAAAAAATATTGGGAGTGTGAACATGTCTTCCATACAGGGAACTAGTTTGCAGACAGAGATGTTGCATCTTTAACTATAACATATTAAAATCAGCTCCTAAATCATTCTCTAGCTGTGCTTTTTTTGTCTCTGCTGACTAAATTGTTGTCCTCTACTCTAAGAAGCGGAACTTTTTTATGTCTGCTTTAATTACATTTTAATGGTTGACTTTTCTATATTTTTAATTTGTTCTATTTTATCTATGTAAGTCCCCTTGAGTGGGGACTTCTTCCCAGACTGGGAAAAACTATTACTACTACTACTACTGCTACTACTACTACTACTACTACCACCACTAACAACAACAACGTGTTTTTTAAACATCCTACTTTCAGGGAACCCTTTCTATACTGAACTGTCTCCCAAGGAGGAATAGGAGAGAAATTTGATTCAGGTTTGCATTTAAAAGTGACTCTTATCAAATTTGCACTTTTTTAAACACTATGAGAACAAGAACACAGCCATCTTTCAGAATTAGCATTTATCCAATTTTACAATGCAGTTCTCCAACCAAGTCACCTGTTTACGAAAATGCATATATTAGGTCAAAATGTGGATTAAAATGAACATATTTGTGAAAATAACACAAAAATGCTTTAGGAGAAATTGCTTGCAAAAATGTGCACAATAGTCAAAATTACATGGAAAAGGTATTTATTAGGACAAATTCACAATAAATTGCCAAATAATTCTCATACGGATTTTTAAAAAAAACACAAAAAAACACAAATTCCTGCAGAAATGCTGGGAACTGAATTTAAGGTTGGAAAAATGAGAAACTGAGAGATCCAAAATTGACAGATACTTCCCTGCATCTAAGAATTGATTTAGGGCACACGGTTTCAGCTAGGCTTATCTGGCCTAACCCATCAGATACTGAGAGCACATCCAGTACTTCGCTACTGTTCTGCATTATTTCACAGAAAGATCAGGAACAATGAGCAAACTGCTATTCAAGTTTGTCTTCCTTCATGATCATCTCACTCAAGAATTCCTGACGGAGGTTCAGAGGAACTGCATGGTTCCCAGAACATTGTCAAAAATTACTTTGTATATTTACACCCCTTGATACCTGGGACTCTTTGATGTGGCTTAGTTTGAATTGTTAAGTGTGGACATTTTTTAAAACAACAACAACCTTAATGCTCTATTGTCCTAAATATAAGCTATGAACTGATCAACATACTGCATAATGCACTGTTCATAAGTAATTCTGAACTGGTGAATCATGAACAAAAACGTAGCTATATAAAAGAATTTCCCATCCTCATTTCCCTTGAACAGTTCATAAGGATATGGTATTGGCTTGCAAATTGCCCTCCTGCTTAAAAATATGTCACATCCTGCCTTTGATACAGCATTCTGCTTCTGAAGAAAGTGCTGAATTAGTGGGCAGTGACCACGAATATTCAGGTGGTGCCAGGTGTACTCAGGACCAGAACTGGCTGGATGTGACTAGAAGATAAATGAGGACAGTGGTTACTTCTATTACACTCAGATTTGTGGATGTAGTAGCATCTTACAACTGTAATTGTTTCCATCCAGAGTAAATGCTCACAGAACTTTGATAATACATTCAAACTGTCCGCAACAACCACTGCTAACACTTTGTTAGCTTCTCAAATATAAAAATATAAAAAACAGCTGCTCAAAGTCTTCCTGAATTTTGATGGAGAACATTCTCCAAACATTCCCCAGCTACCATTTGATATTCAATCATTTTGAATCCAATAATTTGACACCCAATAATTTTGCAGCAGCAGTTAATGTTTGATGGCAAAAGGCATGTAGTATTCAACATTTGGTAATAGCTGGCAGCTATTCATTCTATTTCACTTTACGCGCAACAGAATTCAGTATACTTTGATGCATTTGTTCTTTTAACCTATCAGGGGAAGTAACAAATCAAAAGCAGTAAAATTTTACGTATATGTTGCATTTCAGGTCAGAAACCTTGAACTGTTGCATCCAATTTTCACAACAAAAACCAAAGGGAAAGATTTGAAATATCTTTTGAATGTCAATTGTTTTACAAATATACATCATTCTTCTAGATCTAGAAGATACATTATTGTATCCCTGATCTTTGATTTCCTACAGATTTTCATTGGCACAATAATGCAGCAACCTCACCTTTACAGCTTGCTATATTTAATATCCTAATGTGAGCCCCTCAATAACGGGAAGGGTTGTCTCATGGCTGAGCAGGGCTCACAGATGCTTTTTGCATGAATGGCATGTATGTGCATGGATTCACATTTTCTGTGGTTCCATTAGCAATTTTTAAACTCTCCCTTCTGGAGGTTACACAGTCTTTCTGCATGAGTGATGCCTTGTGGTCAGCCTGGCTGTGGCCCCTTATACTTCCATGTGGGTAGTTTTCAAGTGTGAATCAGCTCACAGATAATCTGGGATTGCTCTCTGATTGACATAACTGCTCATTCAAGATGCTTCTTTTCTGTTTCACTCCTGATTTTTGTGTCTCTCAAAATAATCATCCTCATTAAGCTTGTATCCTTTAAGGTGCTGGTTTTAACCTTCAAAACTCTATACGGCCTAGGACCCTCGTACTTACGGGACCGCCTCTCCTAGTATGCCCCGCGGAGGACCTTATGTAAATAATAACACCTTGGAGGTCCCAGGCCTTAAGGAGGTTAGACTGCCTTCGACCAGAGCCACGGCCTTTTTGGCACTGGCCCCAGCCTGGTGGAATGCTCTGTCACAAGAGACCAGGGCCCTGCAGGATCTGACATCTTTCCGCAGGGCCTGTAAGATGGCGCTATTCCGCCATGCCTTTGGTCAGGGCCCAGTCTGACCCCCTCTCCTTCTATAAGTTCCTTTTATAAGACCCTGCATGTAAGTGGTCTCCGAAACTCTTCCCAATGTCCCACCCAGTAAGGCCAGCACAAATAGCACTTAATGTTCCCAACCCTTATAGTTATAATTCGTGGGTTGCCATCTGATTTTATTCTGACCTTAGCTTGATTCTAAGTTGTATTTTAATTGATTGTTTGATTCTATATTTTTAATGTATTATATATTCTGATGTTAGCCACCCTGAGCCAGGTCCTGACCGGGGAGGGCAGGGTATAAATAAAATTATTATTATTATTATTATTCTAGCTGAATAAACTTTCTTTTCTGTATTGAATTCAAAGGACATCTGTATAAGCAGTAGGAATATGTTACTATCTTATCTTCAAGTAATTGTGCTATTTTAAAATGTCCCCTCTACATGAATTACATTACCTCTCGAGGAAGCAAAGCAATCTTCAGTTTCTTTTTTGATGAGCGTTGATGCTTCTGTGATGAATGCTGCTCATCATCCTCTGTAGTCCTCAAAGAGTGAAAATATAGACTCATTTTTTCTAGGGGTTGGGGGAGGGAGAAAAAGCTTCTCAGTTGTTATGTAAGCTGTCTCTTAATTTAAAAAGAATGACTAACAACAACAACAACAACTTTTTATTTATACCCCCGCCCTCCCTGGCCAAGACCGGGCTCAGGGTGGCTAACACTAAATATAAAATACAATAAAAACATTTTTAAAAAACCAGTTGATTAAAATACAGCTTAAAATGCAGCCTCATTTTACTGGGAGCCCATACACTTAATATATGAAGAAATGAGAGAACATTCCATGCTTTACCCAAAGGAGAGATTAATAATAATAATAATAATAATAATAATTTATACCCCGCCCATCTGGCTGGGTTTCCCCAGCCACTCTGGGCAGCTTCCACCAGAATATTAAAATACAATAACCTATTAAACATTAAAAACTTCCCTAAACAGGGCTGCCTTCAGATGTCTTCTAAAAGTCTGGTACAGTGGTACCTTGGGTTACAGTCACTTCAGGTTACAGACTCCGCTAACCCAGAAATAGTACCTCGGGTTAAGAACTTTGCTTCAGGATGAGAACAGAAATTGTGCAGCGGCGGTGCAGTAGCAGTGGGAGGCCCCATCAGCTAAAGTGGTACCTCAGGTTAAGAACAGTTTCAGGTTAAGAACGGACCTCCAGAACGAATTAAGTTCTTAACCCAAGGTACCACTGTAGTTGTTTTTCTCTTTGACATCTGGTGGGAGGGCGTTCCACAGGGCGGGTGCCACTACCGAGAAGGCCCCCTGCCTGGTTCTCTGTAACTTGGCTTCTCGCCGAGTCTGTAACCTGAAGCATATGTAACCTGAGGTACCACTGTAATTCATCTACATCTCTTACTTATGAGTCATGACAACACACGCTTCCATACACTCACTTGGAAAAAGCATGCCACATCAATGCTGTTAGCGCAATGGAGGACTCTAATGTTTACAACAGATCTTGCAAACATTTATCAAATTTTTCACTGTATTACCTTCCAAAGGAAACTGCTTTTGAATTTTTTTCCTGGAGACAGACTTCTTGACTTTTTTAATGGCTGTATGCTTCTAGATCACAAGAGATGAAGAAAAAATTCATACCACATTTATGTTTTTACATATTAAATTTGGGTGGGGAGGAGTAAGTTTGGAGATTTTAAAAAGGAGGAAAGGACTTTAAATATTGGGACATTATTCAGGTAGCATATTTCATTTCTTTTTGGGAAGAGTTACTGGTACTATTTTCTTAAAATCATTGTACCATGGGGCTTATAGACCTTAAGTCATATGAGCAAATGCCTTGATCGATAGGAGCACCAGACTCTTAATCTCAAGGTCGTGGGTTCAAGCCCCAAGTAGGGCAAGATTCCTGTTGGACTAGATGATCCTTGCAGTCACTTCCAGCTGTACAATTCTATGATTCTATGAGTTGATCCTCCACCTGCTCTGGTATAATCTTTCGTCTATGTTTAGAACACTTTGCTCATGTTGACAGTCCCTATACTGATGCTTGCAAATGAAATAACCTATTACCTTTCGGAGTGTCAATGGGTGCTTCCGTGTAGTACCAGGTAACGCATAGCTGCTAAAGGAAATATCACAGCCTGTGGAAATCAAAGTTGCTTATTATAAATTATTTCCTTATTACCTATGATTGGGTGAATAGGGAATTTTCTCTCTGCCTGGGACACAGAACACACTGTCCACAATGCATACTTTATACTTCTTACATATGCAGTTTGGTCCTTTGGGGGATTTCTCAGAATCCTATTGAAATGATGAGGGTTCTACCTATGGAAGGCTATCCTCTACCCTGGCAGTACATAGCCATCTTCCTTCCTACACCATCAGTTACGAGGCTCACATGGAAGCTGACCCCAAATGGTTCTAAACTAGCCAGCTACGAGCTGAACAATCATGAACACTTGAATATTTTGCTGATCCAAGGGGGTAAATCCCATCAAAACAGGGAAGTGAATAAAGGCAGTGCTCCCTTCACAGCTGGATGCCAACTCTAGGAAAGACAGTCCTCTGATCTATTGTACCTGGAACTGAATATCCTCCTACACCACAATTATACTATATCAGACCTCCTGGAAGCAGACATGTTGATTACACAGGGCTGTATCCAATACTACAGCTCTACTCAAGTAGCAGAGTTACATGCACACAATGGAACTTTTTCTCCTGTGCCCTCCAGCCCGCCCTGCTCAAAATCAGCTCCCGAACATTGCGAGACCCTCCAAAGCAGATCTGCAGAATGCACAGGTGAAACAAAATTCCCACTGTGCAAGTGGTATTCTGCTTGCCCAGTACTGGAATACAACCCACAATAATGAACCTTAAGGAGAGGAAAATCCTCTTAAAAGCAATTTGCAAATACTGCCTCCAACAGAAAAAACCCAAGAAAGATTCTTTACAAAACTACGCTTACCCACTATAGTGAGTCCATGGCACCACAATCTGTGCTGGTGCAGAAATGGTTAAGAGATTGGAAATGCACAATAGGATCACATACATGTGCAAATATATGCATTCAAACTGCCTTCTCCAAGTATGAAACTGCAGAATTTTATCCTTTGCAAATGCTCCATTTTGAATCCAACCCGTTTTTTCCCAACTAGAGAAAGGAAGTTCCCAAATTGGCAGGCACTTCCTAATTAGGACCATAAGCCAGACATTCCCTACCACTGGCTTAGCGTGTTGGACTAGGATGATCCAGAGTCAAATCTTCACTCAGGCATAAGAAAAACTTTGGACCATTGACTGCTTCTCTGCCGAACCTAGTTCACAGGATTGATGTGAGAAAATAAGAGGGAGCAGAAAAACCCTGTGTGCTGCCTTGAATTCCTTGGAGAAATAGCAGGATATCATCATCATCATCAACAACAACAACAACAACGAAACACATACCAGCAACATCTGTAAAAGACGCCAAATATTAAGAGGCACACTGGGCATTGTTACAAGTCTTTCTTACAGCTTCCAGTAATTCTACATCACTTATCAATTTCTCCCAATTGTCAATACATTAAAAAACAAGCAACCAAAAGGCACCCTTCCTCCCCACCCAAAATGCCCATTTTTAAAGCATCCTTAAACAGAAAGTTGAAACTAACTAAATAAAATTGCATACAAAAATGTAAATATAAGGAGAAAGCGACATACATTCTGATGACTTTTCATGCGATTTTTTTTAAAAAATTGCAAACTGATGTGGAATTGCAGAGAACTAAACTTAATATCTGAAAAATGAGAAACTGAAATTAAAAGATTTGCTCATCTTGACTTACCAGTCCCTAATTTTCCTTTTCCAGACAGCAAATCTTCTCTTCTGGATCGCTCTGGCTCCAACTGGGAATAATCCCATTTAGTATAACTCCCTGGTGCATTCAAGCTACCTATATGGGGCGAGGGGGAGGACAGATAGTGAGAAGCAAAAGAATGCACTCGTTATTATCATCTATACACAGTAAATCGTAACTTATTGGACAGTGTTATGTATGACTGGGACGCGGGTGGCGCTGTGGGTTAAACCACAGAGCCTAGGACTTGCCAGTCAGAAGGTTGGCGGTTCGAATCCCCGCAACAGGGTGAGCTCCCGTTGCTTGGTCCCTGCTCCTGCCAACCTAGCAGTTTGAAAGCACGTCAAAGTGCAAGTAGATAAATAGGTACCGCTCCGATGGGAAGGTAAACGGCATTTCCGTGCTCTGCTCTGGTTCGCCAGAAGCGGCTTAGTCATGCTGGCCACATGACCTGGAAGCTGTACACTGGCTCCCTCGGCCAATAAAGCGAGATGAGCGCCGCAACCCCAGAGTCGATCATGACTGGACCTAAGTCAGAGGTCCCTTTACCTTTACTATGTATGATTATGTTTTATGTTGGAAAAAGACAGCCTCCACCCAAGAACTGAAGCATGCCCAATGGGTTCTTCACTTTTTAATGCCTTCATGCCATATTGCAAACTGCTTCTGAAAGATGCCTCACTTTCCAAAACCATTTCCAAAGTGGCACGGAGAACGGCTGTTTAACAAATACAACTGCAAATTCCCCCTTGGGCACATATAAGTAGCTTAAACAACACAGAGTTTTATAGCACCTTAAAGACTAACTGGTTTATTGTGGCATAAACTTTGATCATCTGATGAACTGCATCCTTATCCACAAAAGTATATTCCTTAATAAATGTGTTAATTCTTTTAAGGTACTACAGGACTGCTAGGGGCTTTTGTTACAGCAAACGTACATGGCTCTTCTCTGGAACTTATAACTAGTCAAGTGATTATTTGGATTCGACAGTAGGGTAAGAGAAAGAAGCCTAAGGACAGTTCAAAAATGTCAAGATGAGACACATTTCTTGACTGAGTGTGACTCAAAGAGGGGAAGGGGGTGGCAGCTAACTGCTGGTTATGTTATGTTGAAGGATTGCTAAAAACAGTACTTTTTTCCTTTAAAAAATGTTAGGGGTACTCTCATTTTGACTCAAGAAAATCACCATTTTATAGTTCAAATCGGGGGGAAATAAATACAGTAAATGGACAAAAGTACAAAGAAAAACATTTAGGGGTATGCGTACCCCTGTGTCCCCCCAGAAAAAAGCACTGCCATAAACATTACTGCATTGTGTGAAACATGGATCTCCAATCAAAGTCTATACAGCTCCCTTCATAAGCAAGGAGAACAGGCCATCTCACCTCGCAGCCACTCGGAGAATATATCACAGAGCCCAGCCTTGAATTCATGTGTATTGAACCAGGACCTTGAGAAACAGTAGCAGAAGCAGGTGTACACAGCTTGACTCAGCAGTGAAGGGAAATGCTAAATCAAGGCAGGGGAAATCAAAGCTCAAATAAATTGGTTAACTGCAACTGTTAACTGTTAACATGTTAAGTTAATGATGTGATCCACAATCATGCTGTGGGTTTTGAAATACTAAATACCAGGTCAGGTGAGCGGTTGTCACTGTCACCACAGTACAGTGGTACCTCTGGTTACGAACTTAATGCGTTCCAGAGGTCTGTTCTTAACCTGAAACCGTTCTTAACCTGAGGTACCACTTAAGCTAATGGGGTCTCCTGCTGCCGCCACACCGCGGGAGCACAATTTCTGTTCTCATCCTGGGGCAAAGTTCTTAACCCGAGGTACTACTTCCAAGTTAGCGGAGTTTGTAACCTGAAGTGTTTGTAACCCGAGGTGTTTGTAACCCGAGGTACCACTGTACAAGGATAGGGGAAAGTTAAGCCTTCCCAGCACAATAACAGTAAGCAATATCAGGGTGAAAATTAGTATTCGGAAAATATCTCTCATTGGCACAAATGGAAGTTTCCCTGCTTGAAACCTGTTCTCTCTTTATTGATTTTTTTCATACTTACTGTAAGGATGTGTTCCTGATTGGCAACCTTGTGACAGCCCAACAGAATGCGAGAATAATTTTCTGAAATGCGTTCGAACAAATGTCCCTGAATCTCTTGATTTGGCTATTGGGAAAGAAATAAAGGTGAGGAGTTTGCAATGAGGCTTCAGAAAGGTAGGATAAACTACAAACATACACATAGTGAAATGAAAGCTACTTATACATGAGACTGCCTTTGAAAAGCATACAGAAACTTCACCTGGTTCAAAATACAGCTGCCAGACCATTAGCTGGAGTTCACAGTAGTGAATTGGCTTCTGATTTGATATTGGGCACAATACTAAGGGCTACTGCAGACATATAGTGTTAATTTGTCTGAGACCGAGGTATCTCTGATAAGCGAAACATCAACTCTAAAAGCATTAGCTTTTATCATGATTTGATAATGCTATTATACTGGTTTCTGTGTTAAACTGTTTCCTTTGCTAATGTTTTAAAGGTTTCATTGTGATTTTTTTATTTTTATTTGTTGGCTGCTTTGTGAATTCCTGTGATTATAAATAATACTATTATAAAAAATGATAAATAACTTAAAAGAAAGAACTGGCTACATAACGAAGAAAAGCAGGACAGGCGTTGGACCGAAGGATGCTATGTGGCAGTTGTCTAAATATAAGGGCCCCTCCCTCCAGACTGGTTTGTGTGGGTGGGTAGGCTGGTGTATTCTGCAAAATGCCATTGATTCAATGCATTTGTGCATTAGTGATGGATTTATACTGGATCATCTACACACCAGTCTGCTTTATTAGCTGTTTGCCAATGCATCTCCAATGCTATTGCATGATGGCCATCTTGAAGGGCGTTCTTGCACTGAAGTGCAACAAAAGCAGGACCAAAAAACAAAACAAAACAAAACAAAAACAGACTAGAAAAGTTACAGGATTTCAGCAGGAAGTTATGAGACATGCACTGACTGGAAACAGTATGTCTACCCTGAAACTTATCCAGGCACAAACTGCATTGAAAGCAGGACTGTGTATAACTGCCCCGACACAAAACATCAGGAATGCACAATAAAGAGGATGTCTAAAGCATCCCTGAAAAATGATGCAAGACAGTCAGTTCTTATTTAATGACTTAACGGGTGGGCCATCCCTGTGTGGCACTGAAAGTGAGGCTAGCAAGCAGGTCCAAAGCAGAAGTTACAGGTTTTTTGTCCCTCTGCAATGCAATAAAAAAAATCTGGAATGTTCATTTGCAATTGCTGGGCTGGCACTGGGACTAGCATTAAAAGAGAAATGCACTGTAGCTAAAGAAACTGAGTACCTGCAAATCAGAAACGAAAAATCAGGAGGAAAAATATCTTCCAAGCCCCCAATATTCAGCCTTTATTCTTACATGATACAAGTGCAGAAACTGCCACCAGAAACTGTCCAGCAAAATAGCTTGGATACATGGCGCATCGAGAAACTTTTGCAGCATCTTTGAAGCCCAGCGTGTCTTTAAAGAAATTAAACAGGAATATAATGGTCTTAAATCAAGATTATGGATTTTGATCATACTGCATGTGTTAATTAGCTGAACAATAAATGTATCACCATGGCCTTGTTAACTGTAACTCTTTTACTTTTGTGTAATTATTACTGTTGCTTACTTTTACATTTTCATTTCCTCTGACCTCACTCCTCTTCAGTCCTGGCTCCATACTATTGGTACATCCAAACTAGTGTTTATTATGGGATGAGTGCTCCTCATCCTTGCAAGCTTTTTTTTGTAATGCCCACATAATTCATAGTCATCAAAAGGCAGGTCTACCCCTGTTCCCAATTTAATCCAAATTTACGCTTTCTATAGAAAATCCAGTAAGTTTTTTTTTAAAAAAAGCTGTTGCCAACAATCTGTTTGCAACATCTCAATGACACATTTACATTATTTAACTCCTGTCTGGAAAACCCACATGATGTGTATGTATGCCTGCCAATTTAGGATTAAATTTCATGCATCTGATGCACTGAATTCCAGTCCATGAAATCTTATGCTATAATAAATCTGTTAAGCTTTAAGGTGCCAAAAGACTCTTCATGGTCTAAGGAGCATGGTCTAAGGAGCCTGAACCTTTGATTTTTTGTACTGGATTCTGGCTCTCCTGTATCTTCTCTCCCCCCCCCTTTCTAAAAATTGTTACTTTGCTTACAGGGTGGCTTTCCTGCTGAAGGTCAGCTCAAATATGAATCCATAATGACTATCAGTACATGCAAATTTTATGCAAATATGTGTGATTGGCTGCGCCCCAAGTCTTTCAAAGGCCTAGCAATGCTCCTGATGGTCTAGAACAGAGCTTTCCAAACTTTTCATGTTGGTGACACACTTTTGGGACATGCATCATTTCATGACACAGTAATTCAGTTTTACTAGCAAACCAGAGGTTAAACTAACCCCTCTCCATCCCTGGGAGGGGCGCAGGAAGTGTTCGCGTGACACACCAACACACTGCACTCGACACACAAATGTGTCGCGACTCACAGTTTGGAAAGCTCTGGTCTAGACGTTTCAGACCCTGATTTCACATCCTGGTTTGTTGTCCAATATTAACCAGAGTTTTCCAGTTGAGATATAATGGGGAAATGAGGTATAAGAAACACTGGATGTTTCAACTCTGCCTTGAGAGAGAATGAAGAACGGAAGGAAGAAGGCAGGAACAATGTTCATTCTCAGGCCAATTAACCATGGCTATTATAGCAAGATCATAACTCCTGTACCAGATTATACACTTGGGTCAACTCCAGGTTTAAGGGAGCCCTGGTTAAAGTGTCCTTTAGTGAGCTCTGTCCTTTGTTAGTGGCCCTAACTTACCAAGCCACAGTCACAGCATTCCAAGCGGTCATAAGCAACTGGGTCTAACCACAGTTTTAACTGCCCACAATGCCGCAAGGGTGATACTAGGTTGAGCCACCTGGGGCTGTTCAGAGTGATAGACCAGGAAAACCAACAAAGGGAAGGGCGAGGGAAGTCATCAGATGTGACCCCTGCCAGGATGCTGTGGCCCTAGCAACTGCCTGAAGGTGCCTGGTGCTGACATTGCTCCAGCTATACTATCTTGCGCCACGTAAATACACATCAAAAAAGCATGTATGGCCCTACATTATCAATTCACCCCTACTACCTCCCTCATCCAGCCTGCTATCAACTTCTGAATGTTTGAGATATGCAGCGTACCTTACCAACTGGTGTTTTACCCTGGGCACGAATCACCTTCTCCAAAATTTCACTCAACTCTATTCCATTTGGCAATGGTGTAGGTTTCTCCTTACAGTATCCTGGGTATTGATATAATTCCACAAGTTTATCCTTTTCTGTTACCATCTAGGGGTTAAAAAAAAATTAATACATGAGAAATCAAGAAGACACTCAGCCCACAATTCAACCCAGTGAGCACTCTAAGGACAGTCTGTTGACATTCCACAGTTTCTGGGACTCACCAGAGTCCTGACAAAAATCACCTTCATACACAGCAATGGTTAACTATTAACAAATCTAGTGCCATATTCAGCCTTAGCTCCCCCTCTAGAATTAGGTACTAATAATATCTTAGCTTGTTTTCAGGACTGTGGCGAGTAAAAGGATGTGGAAAAAAACCTTTGAACATTCAAAAGCACTGTACTGTACAAATACTAACGACTAGTGTTATATAAATGAAACAATTATTATAGGAGTGTATAATGGATTAAAAAGACCAACTATCTGATTCATCATGAGACCTTCCTAGGCACTTGTGTCACAATTCATCTCATACTTCCTGAGCATCTAGGATTCTGCATCTTTCTAATATGCACAGGAATCAATGACTCCTGATCCCTCACATGCCATCATACCTTTTTCTGAGCTATTTTCTCTGCAGCATGCTTCCCAAACTTCTGTGTCACCTTCTGGTCTCTCTCTACAGCATAAGGAAAAAAAATGGCCACCCTTAGCATCTGAAGAGCATTTTAGGACGAAATGGACAACCTTTTCGCATGAATTGGTTAAATAAGAGCACTGGATTTGGGGTTATGGTTTGCAAATATTTTTGCTCCACCAGAAAAATGAAGTAGCATATTTTCCCCTTTCCACTGCACTCCACCACATGCCTGTGCCAGTTTTTAATGGTACTATAAAAGGTAAAGGGACCCCTGACCATTAGGTCCAGTTGTGACCGACTCTGGGGTTGCGGCACTCATCCCGCTTTATTAGTCAAGGCAGCTGGCCAATGGTACTATAGTAGGTAGCAAATGAATTCCAAGCAAAGGGAGGTTTGTTATTTGTCAGTGGTTTGTGTGGGTACTGTGGCCACCCCAGAACGAAGTGAGCCCTTACAGATGACCAGGAGCCAGAGTGGTATAGTGGACAGCATGCTGAACCAATGCTTGGTTAAACTGGAACTCTAAACAGGCCTTGAGACTAAGTATATTCGCTAGGGTTTTGCTCTGAGCAAAGAGCATAACACTAACATAAGTAATCAGAGAAAACTCAAATTGAATTAATTATCATTTATTGAGGGGGGTTCCCAAAGCTTCCCACCGAAGTTCCCCAAGTGGCCTACCATAAAGGGGAGTTTCTCTGCAGTGACCAGTATTATGCTTGTATTTGCTTAATGAAATCCCCAGTGCCTAGTTCAAAGCCCTGATTTGACCATAAATTATCCTCTGCAAGTAATAGCTTCCCTCCAGTAAGCATCCTCTTCCCTAATTAAATTCAGCACCTTCTTTTGTATTTTCCAATATATCTAAGCTCAGTCCATGCCAGGAACACAGTTACTTTCTTAAATGTACTTTGACTGGCTAAGATGCTCAACTGATTCTACTGCAACTCTGCACTGGGAAACCTAATTGTTGCGACTCATGACATCTCATGACCTGTTTTTGTTATTACTAAATCTTATCCATGTCTGTCCCTGGAAATCAGGGGAAAAAACCCTTTACAAATTCAGGCTAACGCTCACTGATAATTTTTTCCTCTATAACCAGATTCTTCTCACACTCCCAAGTTGTTCAGTATTTTGGGACACAAAAAGAGAATAAAATGGTGATGGCAGTGTGGAGCCGAATAGCCATGTATTCCAACCTCAGTGCCTTGGAGGAAGAGTAAGACAAAATGGTAATATTTATCTCCCTCTCTAATCCTTCCTTAGGGCAGAGATTATGGGAGGTCCCTATTTATCCACGCAACAACTTGGCGGACGGTGATTTATTGCCAAGAGTTCTAACTGCAGTTAGCACAAATCATGGTTTGGCATGTCTGAACTACAGGACAATATACCAATTTACTGGAATAAATATGTTCTAACAATAACATCATTTTTAAGGGGTTAGAGCCTCCATTTCATATTTGGTAGTATTAATGCATACCTTTTGCCCTAACTGATCTCGATACTTTTCTGGATGTCTTGCGTCTCTTGAGCCCCATTTCCCCAATCACCTTCAATGAGAAAAATAATGGAAAAGGGTGGTTAGGCACTAACTTCCTACAAGGTCCTGGAATTTACCTTCTTTGTATTCAGTAAGAGAGGCATTATTAATTCCCTCACTATCTTGTAATTCTTTTAACACTGAGTTTCAGTTAAAACCTGAACATTCTTCAGGAACCTAAGAAATGTATTTGAAATTAGGATTAGAAATGTGAGTAAAATAAAATATTTGACAACTAGAAGATCTTGTCAATAAATATATGTGCATGAAAAATATGGGGATTCAAAAACTTGCAACATTTAGACCTAGCTGGTGCGATAGCATCATTGTACCTGATGTCTCCTATTCTCTGGTTCAGCACAGTTATATTAGTGCTGATCTAGGACTTCACCTCCGCTTTAAAAAAACAACAACAGCAGCAACTGATTTTCAGTTTGTCATCAAAAAGGCTAAGAAATATACTTTGACCAAGCATCTATTATTTAGAAGTAGCATCAGAAAAACACAGTGGGATTCCTTGTATAAAGTGCTGATAAGATTTCTTTACTCACTCCTTCACTACTGTCATATCTTTTCAGACCCAGTTCTAAGTGAGAAATTTTCTGGTTCACTTGTCCGATGCTGCCAATGACGTACACTACCAGATATTTGTTAAGGAATATTTTGAAAACCTTCAAAGCATATGCAAAATTCTTCCTCCTCCTTTTTGTTAAACCTCCTATTGCCATCATTTAAATGCTATATTTATTTTATAAACTGCTACACACCACCCCGATCTCCCTGAATGGTATGAAATTCCAGGGGTTGCAGACATGCTTACTAGGGTCTGTATTACCTTTTGAGGCACAACAGAGACTGTGGTGTCTTTATGATATATGGTTTTATTACACATATGCAACCTGGACCTAGATGGAGCGATTTCAGGGCATTCACATCCTATGAGGGTCTGACTTCCCCCCTTAAGTGCAGCATTGGTTTCAAAGGACAGCCACCTTCTGTGATTCTTAGTTCCAGCTTGTTATCCCCAACTCACATGGAGTTCTGCCCCTCCTTCTCCTTCTTGCTGCTAATTGACTCAAAGGACCTCCCCACAGTCTACATCATTCAAAGTTGAAACCCTAATTCTAGCCCACTAGCACTCAAGAAAGAATACCCACTCCTCCTTGCCTGGCAGTCTTGACCTCTGATGGGTTCCTTGATGGTCCATGACTGGTCTGTGTCCTCTGCTAATGGCCCATCTAGCTAGCTCTGCAAAGCTGGCTTGGCTCCTTAGCATAGCTAAATCCAGGAGATTTCTATGTTTGGCAAAATTTAATCAAATCTTGATTAATTCTGACTTTTACTACATCCAGGAATTATTGGGAGGATCTGGCACACCAGAATTTAGGGGAATCTAGCCCCCCCACAAACCAGCCACTCTTGGGGCTTCCAGCATATATAAAAACATAACAAAACATGAAACATTAATAAACTTCCCTATACAGGGCTACCTTCAGATGTCTTCTAAATGAATGTTGCTACTGCTCGGCAGTGTGGAGGTGGAGCCCAACTTTTTTAGCAATGTGTTATGTGTATGTTGGCGGGACGCAGGTGGCGCTGTGGGTAAAACCTCAGCGCCTAGGACCTGCCGATCGCATGGTCGGCGGTTCGAATCCCTGCGGCAGGGTGCGCTCCCGTCGTTCGGTCCCAGCGCCTGCCAACCTAGCAGTTCGAAAGCACCCCCGGGTGCAAGTAGATAAATAGGGACCGCTTACCAGCGGGAAGGTAAACGGTGTTCCGTGTGCTGCGCTGGCTCGCCAGATGCAGCTTGTCACGCTGGCCACGTGACCCGGAAGTGTCTGCAGACAGCGCTGGCTCCCGGCCTATAGAGTGAGATGAGCGCACAACCCTAGAGTCTGTCAAGACTGGCCTGTACGGGCAGGGGTACCTTTACCTTTACCTTTTTATGTGTATGTTGAGTCAACAAGTGTTCAACTGACTGCCTGATTTTGACCACATGCTGCTTGCTGCCCCACTAGATGCAAGACAAATAATAGTATTTCCTTATTTCAACTCACACAACTATCATGTAAGACTGATTGCAATTATATTTCTTTTTTTCATGACAAAGTATCTAGGTTTGGGGATGATGACCAAGTTTGTCATACATCAGGAAAATTCCTGACATGTCCTGGTTTTTAGGGTGTAAAAATGGCGTCGGGGGTGAATTTTGTTGAATGTCAGGGAAAACCCAGATGTATGGCAACATGATGGAAAAAGCAATGGAAACAGCTCAAAAAGCTTAAAATAACTGTTTTTGGTTTAGGTTTCCCCAAAAAAGCTCAACAATGTAGGTTTGTTCTCCTAAAAAGTTCCACAACTTTGTGGGTGTCAGGAATTTTACTCTTTGAAATATGGCAACCCCAATGATGACTCAAGATTTCTCCAAACCTCAAAAAAATGAGGTTCAAGTACCAAATAAGTATTACCCAAACACTTTAAAGCAAAAGTAAAACAGATATATATGATACAAGCTATATATTTATTTACACATACATTGTTAACTATAGGAACAAAGGATACATCGTGGTTTGTCATCTAAAATGCAAGTGATGGCGTCTCTTTTTTTTTCTTGGGTTGCTGATGGCAATATCAAGAATCCCTTTAAAGGGCTCACAAATGATTTAATAGTTACAAATTGCATCTTGAAATTACTAAATCCTAAAAAATAAAGTGGAGACAACACATTTATATTAAACACACATTTCCCCACAAACTTGCTTGCTTTTTTGTTCCCAAAGCATGATCACACTTAAATTAACTTTTCCAATTATTGGCTTGAGCTGATTTAACCTAGAGTGCTATTTTAGGGTTCCTCATGTGGATACCAAAAGGGTTACTTTATAAATATAACACTTCTGCCCCACTCCCCTCCACCAAATATAGCTTAGTAAGAAAGGGTCCCATGGGGAAAATTATTCTAATTTGTCTTCCTTAATTTGTAGTAATTACAGCTGCCAACTCAGAGGCAGCAATTTGGAATTCTAGCTGTAGTTAGGTATTCCCAGAAGAAATTTCAAGCCTGAAAATCACAACTATTAACTGCATTGTTCTCCACTGCACGGAGGGATAGCAAAGTATCAGGATTTTATGAAGCTACCAGAATTTTGTTTCTTGTTCTGTCACACACATTAGTTTTCTTGCTAGTGTTACTTTTTCATTCAAACTGTGAAGAGACACATAAAATTGTATTACCTTTGATTATAATTTTTTCAAATATAAAAAAATGTGTATTTTAGCATTCTGAGGCTACATTATATACACTTCCTTCCGAGTAAAAATGTGCAAATTCTAATCAGCCTAAAAGTATCATTACATTGCACAGGTGTATTCTCTACACAATTTGGCAACTTTGTTTCCAAGAAAACGTGTCCAGTACTGGAGTGCTTTGCATATCAATGTGCAGCCCGATCCTGTGCATGTTTATCCAAAGGTGAAATGGGTCAGGATAGGGTGGGAGGAAGAGGTTTGTTATGTTTTAATCACTTCTGCACACTCTTAGAAAAACAAACTGTAAATTCCATGATGGTGATCACCAGGAAATTAAAACATGAAACTGAAATACCTTAATGAACTTCTATATATGCCAATGCTGCAGCTAATGCATGGTATAAAATTGATTGCCCCATCTCAAAAAGAACAATGTAGAACTGGGAAAGGGGCAGACAAAATAACCAAGGGCTTGGGAGAACCTTTCCTACAAGGAAATGTACGACTATTTCAAAATTAATCAGTAGCAACATAAAACTGTCGATAAGAAAACTACCAGTTTACACCACATCTGCACCAGGCATTCAAAGCACAATACTACTTTTAACAGTCATGGGTGTTGATATGGCGTAGGCTGAATTAAGGGAAGAACTGTCCACCAGGCATGCAGAGTTTTGCCGATGCAGATCTCCCAGATTGGTCGCCAGATTAAGACTGTGAAGAAAATGCCAGCAAAATGAGAGCAACAAAGTGAACAATAATAGTCCATGTATGATGATCTCCCCCGCCTTTCCTTTGGGAAGCTTATAGAGGCTCATCAGAAAAAAAGACGTTGAAAAAACGACGTTCCCAACTTATTCGGGTGTTACATAGCATCGCAGTAACAAGGGCGCCCATACGCACCGGACTGAAAGGGCAGGAAGAGGCACCTCCTTGCCCACACAGCTGTGGGACCCTGTTTGTTTCTTCTGGACCCTAATAGGGCCGATATCAGAAGCCCTCCTTACCACTCCAACCACGCCGGAGTCTCTGCCGACCACGCCCACAATAGGCCCTTTTATGTCCTCCTCCCTGAGCGTTCTTCCGTCACCGTGGCAACTACTCGGAGCAAACCATTTATTTCTTGACCCTTTATGCATCTCTAAAAGATAGCATTAGATGCCGACTATGACTGGCGAATCTGCGTGTGAGATGCAATTCGCTCACGAGCTCTGTTCCCGAGGGATAACACTGTTAACGTAATTTTACAACTCGGCCAAAACTCTTTTCTCTCCCCCCTCGCCTTTTATAAACAATGGTACGGTCCCGTCCGCGAGGCTGCCCTTCGATCCGCCTTTCCCGGCCGTTTGGGATACAACCATGACACGAAAAGAGGAGGGGTGCATTTTCTGATATTTTCACAAGCTTCCTCCAGACACAGGGCATTTTACTTATTTTGAGCCATTTTAAAAAAAAATCCGCCACTCTATGTATTTAAAATGAAATGCGTGTGCCCCCTCCTCTGTCCTGTGGAATTTTCGATTTCTTTCCTGGGGTGGTTCCGCCCGCTGTGCGTTTCTCGGCTACCGCAAGTCGCGAAGCTCCAAAGAGTGCGCATGCGCAATTGACCTCGGAGGATACAAGCGGGGTGCGAAGGTGTGTTGTGCATCTGTTGGGTGAGGAGCTCCACGGTTGTGGGTGCGCGATGCTGGGGTGAAGCCACTTGGCGGGTTTAGGACGGCAGCGACTCTCGACCCCCCCCCCCGCTGCTTTATCAGCTGCGGTCTCGATCTGCCCCCTGAACAATGGGATTCAGAGTATTAAGCTCCCACTATAACCAGAGTCAGGATTTTGTTGGGGTTAGTTAGGGGTCTCGGCACTTAAGGTGCCGCTAAGGTTGCCACTTGCCGGCCCGAGAGAGCTTTTAAACCAAGCTGTAGTTCAGGCAGATATTCAACAGGTGCAGCTTTCCTAAAGATGGAGCTGCCGTGATGAGCTGCGCCTGTTGATTTTTTGCATAGCGGTGCATCTGCTAAAGTTGTGTGAGTGTGTGTAAGAGGCGGGTGGAAAATACTTGTATTCCCAGCTACGTGGTGATTCATTTCCACACTCTCCTTAGATGAATCCAGTAATGCTAGGCATGGCTTCAAAGGGTCTCTCACATATTTACATAAATAATGAAAACCACCTTTTACAAGATTCAGTTTAAGATATTGTGCCTGATCACACTCATTGTGCAGCTAAACCTCCAAGTCTGACTTTGGTGAAGCAGAAGCAATGACAACAGATTTCATTGTTTCAATATTAGTTCCAACATGGAGATAATTTTGAGGAATAGATTATGGCACTTTGCAGGCTTGTTGTTAAGGGCAGTAATGAGCAGAGAAAGGAATAGGATATGATAACCCTTTTTAATTTTTCAAGTATTCTAATCTTTTGCTACAACTGATATTTCCCAAACCATGCACACACAAAAGCAGATTGATTGAATGACCTGACCTGATGATTTCAAATATGTGAAAGATTGTGATGGATTAGTCTAATTTTGGGTTTGCAGATAGTATTTGTTATTCTGTCACTTTCTGTTCTCTTAAATGGGATGTTTCCCCTCAGCCCAATAAAACTAAGTTAAAACTAAACAGACAGATAAAACTAAACAGACAGATTAGTGCTAAGATCCACCAGACCTGTGGAGAGTGTGCAGCCATTCTGCCTCCCCTATTCCCCTTGCAATTTTTTTTTTTTTTTTTTGTGATTGGAATAAAGGGAGGATTACATATGGATGACAACACTGTTTGTAATCCCTCCTAAAAATATGAGTGCATAAGGTATTATTATTATTTATTAAATTCATTACCCACCTTTCATAATTAGATCCCAGGACTGGTTACAACCATTTAAAATTCATTATTAAAAACAGTTAAAACAAATTACAATATGGAATAGGGTGGCAATTCCACACAAAATACTTAGTGTATTTAGTAGCCTAACATGAAGCCTATAGTAGAAATGTTCTTTTTTTAAAAAAATTACCAACCATTTTTCTTTAAAAAAGGTTAGGCTGGGGGAGCTGTAAATGTTTTAACTGTCTCCAGATCCACGCGAACTAGAAACTTGTTTCTGGAAAATGACAGTTATTGTTCTCACTATTTTGATGACACTAAGTAGGCCAATCTGCTCTGACTCACAGCCTCTTAATGTTGTGCACAGTGATGAGGTCATGAGGTAATGGTCTTTTGTTTGTTTTGCTTCCTTCTTATTTCAGGCAACCAGAACAATTCTAACAAGCTTTTAAGCGAGGAAGCCATGCCGCTCTTTGGAAACACATTCAGTCCAAAGAAAACCCCGCCCAGGAAATCAGCCTCACTTTCCAATTTGCACATGGTAAGTTCTGGAACCTAAAACAGGTTTCTGGGACCTAATTCTCCCCTTTTTTAAAATAGAGTCCCAGGGTCCCCCAGCTACAGTCAGTCACAAAATAGTGCCTTGGAAACTAGAGAGGCAGAGCCAGTCACAGCCATATGCTGCACACAGAATGTATCATAGACTGGAGTGTGCTGCCCATAGAAATCCATAAATACTACAGACCATGGGTTTTATACAGTCGTGCTCAGTGTAGATTTGAAATTAAGGTAGTCATTGCCATTCACTTTAAAAGGTCTGTTTTGAGCAGGACTGGCATAGGATACAACCCCATCAATTCTGACACAAAACTCTTAAGCAGCTACACAACAGGAACAACTACACAGGCAACTTATTAAGACCTCTAATTTACAAGCAAGGAGTACCAACACTTAGAATAGCTCATCCACTCCTAGAAAGAAAAAGGGTTATGTTTCAGATTCTTGCTCTGATTTTTTTGAGTGGAAGGTCTGAATCATAACTATTGCAATTGTCTTTTAAAAACAAATAAACCATGCATCTTTGTTACACAGTGTGTCTGTCCCCCGTACCACTGTTTTAGCAGGTAAAATCTTGGATTAACAAAACCAGGGATGGGGAATATTATTCAACCCAAGGGCCCCTGTGGGGAACCTTTTGAGGGCCACATGCCAGTTTTGGGCAAGATCAGAGTCAAAGTGGACAGAACAATGAATATGACTCTTATCTTTTGTATAGTTGAGTTGAGGAGAATGAAAACAAAACGTTGTGTCCATTTTCCTCCTACAGCTGGATAGATCAAGCCGGGAGATTGAGCTAGGCCTGGAATATGGCACTCCTGTCATGACCCTTACTGGACAGAGTATGAGGTTTGAGAATGGCCAGTGGATAGCAGGTGAGAGAGAACACTAATCCTGTTGGCCATAATCCAAAGGCAATCCTTATCAGGTTCTCAGCGGCCTCATCCTGTTCCTCAGAAGATACAACCCTTGCAATAACCCCCAGCCATCCTGAGTCTGTACTCCCATTGTCCTGATTCAGCTTGCGAGAGGAGGCTTATCCCATATTTCTGGTAGTTTTTAAGGAGTTCATCTACATGTGCTGTGAAGTCTGAATCCTGGACCCTTTCAGATAGGTGTGTTTTCAGGATCTCTGAAGGGCTTTCCTCCTTACCCCCTTATTTGATGTACTCTGGCAAATAGTAGTAGTGTTGATGCTCGTTCTGGTTTCCGGCCTTCGGTCAGGAGTGGTATTTGTGTTGTAGTCTGGGTCTGACTAGGTGCAGATGCTAGCTTGAGTGGGTGCCTGTGCATGGTTCACCAATGGTCATTCATCTCACAAGGCTACTGACACTCTTCTTGGGGAGGACATTTAATAGGCTGTCTTAAAGGTACACTAAGATGTCAGCACATTGACCGTGTTGGATTTCATCTAGCTAATGCAGTTGCTTCTCAGAGCTGCCAGAGGCCATAGTTGTGTAGTTTTTGACACTTTTCTGTGAGTGCAAGGTGATTCTAGTACTGACCACTTTCTCTCTCCTAGAATCATTTGGGGACACCGGGGACCGCAGGGAGGCAAACCGCCTTCGGAAACGGATCCAGCAGCTGGAGGAAGAGAACAATCTCCTACAGCTGAAAATTGACATTTTGTTGGATATGGTGAGAATGAGGTGATTCACTCACCTCTGTGCATCAATATGTCTTTGATACCTGCATTAATTTCTCTACCTGATACAAAACCAGGGGAATGGCAATGGTGACACAGTGAGTCAATGTCTCGTGCGATTCAAACCAGGCTCCAGAACACTTGATGATCTTATTGAGAACCACAGCTGTCAACTTTCCCCTTTTCTTGGGAGGAATCCTATTTGGAATAAGGGAATTTCTTTTTTAAAAAGGGAAACGTTGACAGCTATGTTGAGAACCCTAGGTTCCTTTTATGAGAAGATAGGCAGTGGCAGCATGGCTGCCCAGAAAAGAGCTTTTCCAATATTATTCTATTGATTTCCCCCACAAAGCCCAGGTTCATAAGGAATATGAAATGCATTCCAGAGGACTAGTGCTGGCCATTCATTGTGAATGTGCCTCATAACAAGTCCCAGAATCATCTGCAATAGGCAGAATTTAATGGAAGATGCTATGATGTAGAAGGAATTCCCTGTGGATTTGTAGTTTGAAATCCCCTGCTTTAGAGAGAAACAAACAAACGTACTTGTTTTTAAGGGTTACCAGCACTAAAACAACATGGGAAAACAAATGCCATTTCTTCCTTTTATTTGTAGCTCTCTGAGACGACTGCAGAGTCTCACCTCATGCAGAAAGAGATGGAGGAACTGAAAAATTATAGCCGAAAGAGGAAGTGAACTGGATGTGAGGGCCTCTAAGAGGTGGAAGAGGGAAGAGCAAGAGGATATGGTTAAAACCATCCACTGCAAGGAACTTAGGAAGCCTGCCTAACGTTGCTGGATATCCAGCCAGGACTCCAAATGTGAAATACTACACATTCTACACGTTCTACAGTGCTGTCAGAAAGCAGCTATCCTACTTTTCTTCTTCCCTAATGGAGCTTCTATCCAAGTGCTCTTAACATATTTCCGCAATATACATTTAATTTAATCAGTAGCAGGTAGTGGTTTGTAGTTAATAAGCATCTCTTCCCACCCACCCAAGAAGGCAATCAAGATCATGGGGTGTGCGGAGAGCAAAAGGAAATGGGAGAAACTGCTTGCAACATATAGCTACATACTCTTGCTGTCTCTCTCTTAACATGTTTCAGAAATGCTTTTCAATTGGCTGTTTCGTATCTTTGGGATGCATAATTCTCTGGAACCTGAGCCAGTGAGCTGATACAGACACCACTGGGGATAGGCAGCATCCTGGGCCCTTACCCTTATAGTCCTGCAATATATGTTAGTGAGGGAAACCTTTGATAATCGGAGATGACAGTGAACAATTTGGGAAGTTACATGTTTCAGTCGGCTCACAGTCATTCTGAATAGCAGTGGCCTAAACTCTAAAGCTGACTGACACACCACGGGGGGGGGACCTTTTCAGCATAGTGGGCCAGATCCTTAGTTCACCCAAATGTCAATCATCTGATGTCACTGTGTTTTGAGGTGACCTATTTTTCCTTTGCAGAGCAGCTTGAGTTCACAGCCACAGTACAGTGATGTACCGGGAAGCATGAGACCTCTGTCCTATATGTTCTTTCATCTCTTCCTTTCCCACGCCAGCCCAGTGATGTGCTGTATTGCCTTATTAGTATGACAAAACTCCACATTGAACAACTGGTTCTCTTCCATTTTTATCCCTCTCCTTCATGATGTATCAGAGTTCTATAACACTCCATGAATTCTGTGTGCTTTCTGCCTTCTTCCTTATCCTGGTAAAAAACAATTCTTCAGGCAATTCTTTGTACAGCCACCAGTTCCATTCAGGCCACTGTAAGTTAAATGTTGAGTTAAATTGTTGTATAAATCTATTTTTATACTTTAAAAATAAAGTCATTACAGTGTTTCTATTGCTGCAGTGTTGACTTGTGTATTTGTTTTATTACATAGCCCATTACTCTACTCTGGGTGGTGTTTTAAGGGACATCGTCCAAGTTCAAAAGAAATCTGGCCCTCCTCAAGATTAACTCCCCAGAAAAGTATTAATCATATATATATATAAATTTTTTAAAAAGCACCCTGAAAACATGGATGCTATATATATTTACATCCACACACACACATTTACCTACCATATTATTTACCCCTTCGGAAGTGCAAAAGCCCCATTCTTCAGGATATACTCTCTTTAGAATAAATCTTCGTTTGCCTTCTGGAATTTTGAGTCCTGTGTGTGAATAAAAGGGCCTGCTTTGCTGGTGGGCGGACGGGAGCTCTTCAACTTAAAAAGCACCAGAGCCTCAGAGGTCAGAAAAACAAACATATCTGCCCAAGAAGACTGAGCTCAGTAGCCATGGGATCCTGAATGTCATTGGAAAAATGAAAGAGAGATGGAGTCGGACTGTCGGAAAGAGGGAAATCCCCTGCCGGATCTCTTTGCATCCTGTTGCAGAGGCGGCCATTGTGGTGGCCTCCAGATGTTGCTGGACTCAGCCCAGCCAACACAGGCCCATAGTCAGGGATGATGGGAGTTGCAGTGCATCAACATCTGCAGGGGGCCACCACATCTTACAATGTCCCTGCCTTATAATTTCCCGTCGGGGGGAGTGGGCTGGCTGACCAGCACCATAAGCAGAACCACTCTGGTCGTAAGGCGAGAATACGCTGCAAGATCCCACAAATAAATCCAATTCAGCTCAGAGAAGAAAGAGCTGCCGTGTCTGCAGCTGGGGGCTGCCTTTGCGCGACGACAACGAGCCAGCCCTGCGTTGCCTTTTCAAACTCTTCCTCCCGGCCGCTGGGTGTCGCTGCACAGCGGCAGAGCCCAGCCCGCGCGCTTCCGCTCTCCATCTCCTTCCGCTTCCGGCGACGCTTGCTCTCTCCGCCGCCGGCCGCCTGCCTCGTCGTTGCCTGCCCTCCCCTCGTTGCAGTCATGGCCGCCGCGATGCCCCTTTCCCCGGAGGACCTGCTGCTGCCCAAGTCCGCGGCGGGCAAGGCCGAAGAGCTGGAGGAGGAGGTGGAGGACGACGACGACGAGGTAATGCCAGCCCCTGCTGCCGCGAAAGCGCGGAGCTTGGCCGGGCGGCCATGTGCGAGGTGACCCCTCTCTGGAGTCGGCCCTGCCTTGGGCCCAGGTGGGGAGCTCGAGTGAGCTGAAGCCCCGGCCAAGAGACGCTGGAGGAGGAGCAGCACGGGAAGCATCTCCTCTGTGTGTTTTCTGCAGGGGGCCTTGCACGAGCCGGGAGGGGGAGGGGCCTCGACGGAGGGGCGGTGCCTGCTGAGGGCTCCCTGGGTGGTTATTATTATTATTATTATTATTATTATTATTATTATTATTATTGGCATCTGGCTGGCCGCTGCTGAGAACGAAGCTCCGGACTAGATCGGCCTTTGCTCCCATTCAGCAGGGCTCTTTCAGTGTTAACGGGGTCCGGGTTTAGGGGGCAGGTCTTGTTTTGTGGGGCTCCCGCCCTCATCTCTCCTTTCCCCGTTTGCAGCTGGACGAGACGCTGGCAGAGAGGCTCTGGGGCTTGACAGAGATGTTCCCGGAAAGCGTCCGATCGGCGGCTGGAGCTACCTTCGGCGTGTCTCTTTCTGTAGCCCAGAAAATGTACAGGTGAGGAGGGGGAAATGGGAGGTGAGGACCCAAGCCCCTTGGTCCCTGGTCCTCAGATACCATGTGCAGGTTTGTGGGTGGTTAAGGTAGCCCTTCTCAGGGAAGTGGCTGGCTCCTTCAGCCACCAAGGGATGGAGAATTGTTAGGGAGTTGGTGGTGTTTTGCGTTTCTTAAGTTGGACAGACAGCCATAGAGAACGCTTAGACGTCTTAACTCAGAACTCTAGATGTGTGTGTTTTTAGTGTGAGGATAGAAATGACCGGTTGTAAGCTGTTTGGATAATGATGGTCAAGCAGTTGAGAATGTACCATGCATATTCAAGCTTTAATGAAGAAAAGGCTGATAAATGAATGCAAATTAAATATAAAAAACCCGTTGCCTGCAAGGAGCCATTGACATGGAATTGATCATAAATAATTGAGATAATTGTGATATCTGTAGTTGGGGAGAAAAGGGGTTCTATATTTACTTGTGAGAGTGAAGTTCTAGAGAACTATTTTGAGTATGCTCAGAAATATAGCAAAGTTCAACTTAGTTCAACTAAGATGAGACCTTGTAAAGGGCTTGGGCCCTTTATTCCCTGAAATTGTAATTTTCCTTTTGTTCGCTCTTTAAACTCTTTTATTACACACACATACTCCATATAGACATGAATAATAAATGCAAGGCTGTACTACACCAATCAATTTGTCATCAAATATAAATATAAATTTCTCAGGTTGTGGACACAAAATAACCCTGTTAAATAGAATTTATATTCTCATGATCATTTTTCTTAATCATTCTGAAACAGAATACATACTAAGAAGTTTCTATTCAGAAGAAACCAAAATTATTGCTTCTAACAAAAGATTGTGAATCAGTGATTTGCTTGAAATATAATTATATTCTTTTAAGACCTCCAGTAAAATAATTTCCAGAAGAATATCCTTGTAAGTCTTTTGCAGCAAAAACAAAAAATCCTATGATTCTTTTAAAAATAACAAGCTTTTTATAGCCAAAACTTTCATGGATTAAAGTTCATTTTGTCAGATGTATGAAGTATTATCCTGAGATAGGTATATATGACGAACCGCTGTTGGCTGCTAATGATTAAAATTAAAATGTTGCTCTTCCAGGTGTTTCAAATTTTGTGAGGGTTGGAAAGCATAGCTTTGGTCTCGTTTAATTTCTAAGCTTTCATGACACAGTATCCTAATGTTCCCACAAAGATCAATCCATCTATTTAACTCCCCCCCCCCTAAAAACCATTATTAGTGAGTTGAGGAGGAAAGGTTTTTCTTTTGAACAGATATCCAGTTATGTCCACTCATGAACAAACTTCTGTGAGCAGAAGAGAATTTCCCCTTCCCATTGTAGTCTCTGCATGCTCAAGTTTGCTCTGGAGGGTTGGGGAGCTTTTCAGAACAGATTTGGGATCTAAAGTGTGCTGTGGATGACAGAAAGCTGCATCACATGAGTAGAAGGCTGTTTGTTTGATGTTGGATATCACTCAGGTTGCCTATGATCTTTAAGGAAACTTCATTATGGTATAAAACCAAACTTTATACACTATTTATGCATTTAGTTCCTTCCTTTGCTAATTCTTTGTGTTTGAATGGAATCTTGGTAGTTTTAAGGGAGAAATCCTGGAGGTATTTCAGATTGTGATGGATATTTATAGAGAGAATATTTATATTTGGAAGCAAAAAATTTGATTGTGATGAGACATGTTGTAAGGTTCACATACACTAATGTTGACATAGGAAGGGGATTTAAGGCTGCAATCCCATAACCGTTTACCAGGGAGTATAAGTTTAGATAAGTGGAGCTTACCTTGGAGTATATATGAATAGGATTGTACTGAAACTGGAATAATAGTCTAATGCAATCTAACAGTGAGATCTTTAGGATAAGTCATTTCCGTTGTAGTGAAGTTGGAAACATTAGCTTATTACCTTCTCTCCCCTTCTCCCACCCCAAAAAAAGATTCTCCAGGGCAGCTTTGTGGATTGGGACCACTTCCTTCATGATCCTAGTTCTTCCTGTTGTTTTTGAAACTGAGAAACTGCAAATGGAGCAGCAACAGCAGATGCAACAGCGACAGGTGAGAACTGAATTACAGCATTTTTTGGCCTATTAAGTCTGTGATTCTCATCCTTTTCAGAATGTTCCTCCTTTTATCTGTGAATCTTCCTCCACCACACAGTACATTTAATTCCTGAATCTTTGCATAATTACCTGTCTCAAAGCATCTAGTGGATCGGTTTCACTGTATTTGATTCCTTTCTTCATCTATATCTTTTTGTGCACGTTTGCTCATGTAGCATATACCTTTGCTATATGATGAAATAATAGCCCCCCTCATTTACTGCATGTCCTCTTTCACTTTTTTTCTCCTGATGAATCACTTCCCGCAGTGTCTTTTACAGGCATTCCATCATCATAACACTTTCCAGTCACCCCAGCTGCTGATGAAAGATGGGGTAGATTTCTGCTTAGTCTCTTCCTTTCTATGTTAATTCTAGCTTTTGTACTTCCCATAATTGCACCGAACCAGCTGAAAGAGTACAAAACACCACATTCCCAGATTTGGCTGGGGTATTGCCTATTTTGTGACTTCAGAAGCACGTCGGCTGATGGTTGTGTCTGCTCACAGCAAAACTTCTGAGTGATGACATTTGACTGACCTTATTAGTAACAATGTGTTCCTTTATTTACAAATAACACATGCCCTACTTTTCTTATTGGCATGATATTATGACTGGTTAGTTTTCTTCCTTTACTATGGCTGCAAAAGTTACACTTTTTAAAGCTGAATATCACCCTTGATATAAGAGAACCTCTTTGGTCACCTGACCGGGGGGGGGGGAATATTGAAATATTAGAATTGCAAAATACCTGACACTTCTCACACCGCCTGGATGCCCACCACTATTGTACCATGACAGACGTAACTAATACTGTGTTTTCAAGTACTTTACACTTCATTCACTTAATTTTATCAGGGCAGTTTTTTGCACTTATATGAAAGTAGAAATCTATTACAGTGGTACCTCTGGTTGCGGAAACGATCCGTTCCAGGGTGCTGTTTGCACCCCGAAAAGTCTGCAACTAGAGCGCCTCTTCCGCACATGTGCACGGCGCGATCGAGCACTTCTGCGCATGTGCAAAGCACAATCGCTTCTGCGCGTGCACGCACGGCGAAACCCGGAAGTATACACTTCCGGGTTTGCAAGCTGAAAAGACGCAACATGAACGTAACGCAACACGAGGTATGACTGTATTGTAATGCAGCCTTGTATTTAAGTACTGGAATTCCACACCAGCAACAGCATGGTTTTAAGAAGAGACTGCTAATATTCCAGAATGGTAGGAAATGCTGTGTTCCCTTTTTAAAAAAGTTTTACAAAAGATCTGGAGGGTTATTGATCCTTCCTCGAGTAGGCTGCTAAGTAGTTAAAATGCTGCTCTTGCTTTTCAAGCATTTGTAAACTTTTTCACATTTCTTAACAGATTTTATTAGGACCAAACACAGGATTGTCTGGAGGGATGCCAGGTGCTCTGCCGTCTCTTCCTGGAAAGATTTAATGAAGCTACACTGGACCCATATCAAGGAATGAAATATTGAAATCATTTGTTTGAACTGTTTGATTAGGCCAGCGTTTTTTTCTCATAACCTTGGGATATTAACTATTCTTAATGAAGGCAGAACCCCTATCTGGATCTCCTGCAATCTTTAGGCAGTCATGACTTTTCCATCCATTCAAGCAACATTATAGGTAACTATGGAGACTTTGGAAGCTTCTGTTTTGGTAGCCTTACCTCCAGGAAACCACCTCAGGACATGTCATATTTGGTCAACTTTAACCTGTAATTGTCAGTGTAAATAGCCCTGCGTTCTTCTCCAACTGTATTTCAGAGCAGTAACAGCAAGAAATGGAGTAAATATGCCAGAATGTGCAGCATATAGAAGAACCTAGAATGCACTTGACTCTATGCAGTGAGCTCTTACTTGAAGAAAGATATTTGCCCTACAATGTTACATATTTGAAAAATAAGGGAAGCAGGAAAAGTCATTTTTGCCAAGTCTTATCTGTGCTGAATCTATTAGTATCAAAGTTAGCTAGAGCACTTTTGTATTAAAGTTTCAGTGCAAACATGGAAGTATTTTCTTTATTATCTCAGGCTTTACATACATTATGCTTGCTAACAGCAGGATACTAAAACTTACCAATTGCGTGTCAACCCATAGCTTTACATGCTTGTGTTCGGTAGTAATGGCAGGGAGGGACCCTCTCTTAACTCCCATGGAGAGTAGCTGGGCAATAAGTTCTTCTTAGGCTATACAGCTTCATACCAACATGTTTATTTTTTTCCTTTATATACATTATTACAATACAATTCAGTTCAACACACAGAAGTGACAGGACACAGGAAGGCTTTTTCATTTTTAATATTTGGTTAAACAAAATACATCTCTGTAAACAAACCCAAGACAAGGCTATAACAAAACCAAACAAGCAGGAAAACAATTAAGGGCTTCTTCATTCCCAAGCAATGGGAATGGGCTGATTCCTTTCCTCTGCTGCCATAACTCTGGTCCAGAGGGGTGGGTGATCACATGTTCCCTTTTCCTGAGCTGCTGAATCACACCACTTTTTCCCTAAGGACAGAACAATGACATAAATACACACAGACGGAAAGAAACAGCTGTATGCTTTAAAAGATATTTGCATATTGTGCACTGGTCCATTGGCTTCCATGCAAACGGGGTCTCTCCAAAGTGCTATTATTTAGCCAGCAGACAAAATAATGTCTTTGAGATTATTTTTTTTGGGGGGCGGGAATGGCTTCAAGTCAGAAGCAGAACTGCAAGCCTGATGTTCTGCTTGTGAAGTGTGTGCATGTGTGTACAAATTCTGCTAGCTGGCTTTGGTTATTGGAATGTGTAGTCCAGAAGAAAGGGGAGGGCTTTTGTAAAAATAGAAGTTATTAGGCTAGGACTGTAATACATGCAGAGAATAGCCAACACAAGTTCCCAGTATATTGCCTGCAAGGTGTCCAGAGGTCAATAAACAAGATGTTGATACCATTCACACTGCATTCAACTGTGAAGGGCTTGGAATGCTGGCTTAGAAAGCATGTATCTTGCTCATGCTTAGAATGGACAGGTCAAATTCCAAGGATGTAAAGGGTTTCAGCCCTCCTTAACCATTACATTTTCCTATAGAATGAAACTAAAAAAGTGGGTTCTACTTCCACTGTTCCAGTACTACTGAAAATGAAGCTGGCAAAAAGCATTAATAATGAAAAATGCAACAATAGAACAAACGGGGTTCAAGGAGAAGTCATTCGAGTGAAAGGCCACCTTCTCCATTTCACCTACTAACTAGCACAAAGAAGTGATGTGAAACACCTGAATCAGATCAGAAGGAAAACTATTTCAGTCTCCTGCCAGGGTCTTTAGCTTGTTCACTTAGTTGGTGAGGAGAGAAGAGTTAAATTCAGGAGGGTCACCTGCCAATCAGTGGAAGAATGTGGCTCAGCCTACCTGTTGTAAACAGTCTTCCCTCATCCCCAGCAAACTTGCTTAAACATTCTCAACCCCAACAACTGACAGTTGCTATAGAAGAGCAACAGAAATCTAGCCCTTTGATCTTGTTTCCCATAATTCCACTTGGAAATCAACATTTGCTCCATTTCCAGCTTCCTACCTTGCTGAAACTTGGCTACTCTTCCCTTTTGTTTCATGATTTCATCCTCAAACAGCCTGTAGTTTTATTCCCTGCTCAGTGAATATTTCCCTGAATTACAGGACAGACAGATAAGAAAAATAAACACAGGCTACATGTGGACCACCTAACAAAAATACTTGAGGCTTTTAAATAAGCATCAATTTAGCTACCACTTTTCCAAACTATTCAGTCTTTCATTTTCAGACCACACGTAAAAAGAGCATGAGACAGGAAAACTCCTGTAAGGAGTTCCATTATTATGGTCCCATTTTGTCTACATCTCCCCTAACTCTTGGCACAATTACTATTACAAAAGGGGAATCCACAAGCACCATACCTTTGCTAAGAGCATCTAGAGTTTCCTGAGAGACCCAAATGGTTTGCAAATTTCTTCAACATAAAGTTTGGTGTTGGAGACAAAGGACACACATAATGAAGAGTATGGAGGCAGGAAAAGCCCAAAACTCCTGTAGGGAGTTCCACAATGAGGGTTGGAGGGAAGCAGGCATGGCTTTGGGGGGTAGAATATGCCTGGCCCAAGCCCTACCCTGAAGGAGACACATACTAGCCAAACAGGAGCTATAGGAACTCCTGGAGACAGTTGTGTGTAACCCAGTATGAAGTCCTAAGACTGGGGTGGGGTGGGGGGGAGCAGGAAATTAAAGGGGAGAATTCCAACACCCATTTCTAAATGAAAGTATGCATTATAATTAAAGAGCACAGATCTGGTTCTGTTACGTCCACCTCCTTCTCTTCTCCTACTACATGTCCAGCTTCTGTTCTTCATGTTGGCTCCGACAATACCTTGTGGTTGCCTTATGGCCTCATAATGGGGGGGGGGGGGGAATGCCAATGTTCCAGGGAAGAGGAGAAGAGTGCTCATTATCCACATCACAGGACATTAGAAACTGGTGGAGGGAGAAGGACCAGTACTGTAGTGCGAGGACAGGGTAGTTGCAGGTCATGCATCCGCTTTCCAACTCTGATGTGCTTCCACCTCTTCAGGCACCACTAGAAGTAGTTCACAGTTCTTGCCTCGCAGCTGGTGTCTCAAAAACTTCCTGTGGCAGTTAAAGGTGGGTAGGGGGAAAAAAAGCACGGTTCAAATGCAATCTTTTTGTTGAGTGTAATTTTTGGTACGCACCTACATTCTGACATTTGAATAGCTATAAGAGCTTGCAGGTCAGTTATGATTTGATCTTACTGGTATTCTTCAGCTGGAACTGCAGAGGTCTTAGAACTTTTGGGGGGGAAATCTTACTGTTCAAAAGACAGTAACACCCTTTAACAAACTTCGTTTTAAAAGTCTATGAAGAAAATGGAAGGTGAGCCTTGAGCCTTACTATGAATTAAATATTAAATAAACTAAAAAGAGAAAAAACGAGTGTGTGTGTGTATGGTTCTGGTTGCACCTGCCAGTTGAATGCAGCCCCCAACAACTTTCCACCAGGGTAATGTTGCCCTTGCCCTGAAAATGGGTTCCCATTACTAAATAACGTCAAATGCCTACTTTTGAATCTGCGCTAATTCTGTTGCAAAAAAGTGAAGGATAAGGAGAAAGTCTAGGCTTTTGTTTTCATTCTTCACCACTGTTGGTACACTTTACTCCCTTCATCTCTGGGAGATTAAAACCAATCTACACTGTACGGATTATGCACTTCAATTTACAATATGTTCAGAGGATGGGCACCTAGGTTATACTGGCTAGGATGGAAGAAAACCTACCTGAGCTCACTTTCACCTCCAATGGATTCAGGCACCTTGAGTTTAGAATCAAGGTTATAGTAGATACCTCCTACTTCCCGGACACAAATCCAATGTTGCCGTTTAAGAGGAAGTTTCAATGGACCCCAGCAGAGGCTTGATGGCAGATTCATAATGAAGCCCATCACATTGGAGAGGGCAATTACACTGACATCCCTGAACAGAGAATAATAGAAGAAAGAAACTGTTAGGCTCTTACAGTTATTTATAAACCCAACTAGGAAGAAGTCAGTTCCAATGATGGCAAGTCTCTCTTGACAGTCTGGTTCTCTTTACCTGCGCTTATCCCACCAAACTGCTTCATAACCTTTGGTCTGAAGAGCTGCCATGATGACGTTCACATCATAGTTCCCGTTTCCCAGCATGCTTTTCTTGTGGGGTGTCACCATGGTGTTGGGAGACAACCTGAACATGAAAACACATTGTAGAAACATGAAGATAGCATTGGTCCCAAGCGGATGATGAAGCAAGGCTGACCATTTGGGGAAAGATGGACAAAAAGGTTAATAAATTAAGTCCACTACTCTGTGCATTTGTAGGAAGAGATAGGTGCTGGGATGGACAGGGAGTGGGGAAGTGCATTAAGTGTTCTCAAAGTAAACCTATTGTTTTTCTGTCACCGGATTTATATCCCTCAAAAAAGAAAATGAAAGTCATTGCTAACATATAGAAGATTACAATGAACCATTATAGAACCTACAATAAAAGACAGCAAAGTTTCAAAGAGTGGCAAGAATAAACTTTCACAACACTAAACATGACTGGGCCCTGATAGAGGCTTCAACCAAAACAGAAGAATTACAGTACAATGATTTCTACACTTTTGAAAAACTGGTAAAATTCTTGATTTCACAGTGGCAGATACCTCTCTGTGTTGAAAGAGCATGACACTCCTGTAAGTAAGATCAACTATTGTCTGAACAAAGCCAAGTAGGTCATGCTGGTTTCAATCACATGAACAAGCTATATGTGGTATTCCAACAAGCTCAATCTGTAATTATGACTGGCATCTGGAAATGAGCAATCCTCAGACATTTACCATGAAATGATCTCTCCACAGCCAAATGACATTTGTTCATCCATAATTGCTCTGGAGGAACGAAGGGCACCTTGTCCTTTCCCCTAAAGGTTAACAACAGACAGTGCCACTTTTTAAATAGGCAAGAAAGATCTGCTTTGATCCATTTCACATGCTCATGGTAACCAATACAACAGTCTATGATCTAAGACAGTAAAGAAAGCAGGCAAAGGTGTATTTAACAAATTAGGACTGCATAGGGCCACTTTGCTCTGGGGTGTAATAGGCAAGTTTTGTGGGTTTGTTAAGTACAGCCATAATCCTTCAACAATTACATTTGTAAAGACCTAAGCCACGGAATCCTTCGTCAGGAACCTAGATGTTAAGAACTTTTCTAAATGTTCCTGAACATTTACACAAACTTCACTTTTCAGTTCCAATAAGTTCCAGATAGAAACTCAAGGGAATCCACTTAAATGTACCGTGTCTTAAATTAAGCCTCCCAAGAGTCTCAAGGAATATGGAGAACTCCCAGAAGAACAAGAAAACACTACATAAACAACACAGGAACTATTGCCTTGACTATATTACCTATTTTAATTTTGAACAAAAACTTCAGACTACCAGCTTTAAAATATATGTATGATCCTAGGTATTTTTACTCAAAAGAGTAAGCCCCTCTGTTATATTTACTCATTATTAAGGGTGCACAAGACTATCCATAAAGAGAGATTGGGAGAATTCCAGTTTGCAAATGGCTGAGTAGCACATTTCTCAAAATATTTGTAGTAAATAAAGGATCAAGCATACACGCAAGGACTACCACCTATTTTTTTAGTTCCAAGCACTGTTTTCAAGCTAGTTACTAACACACATGATACAATAATGGGACCATATTAGTTACTGTTTAGTTGGATAACAAAAAGAGGAAGCATGGAGAGCCTGATGTGTAAATCAAAGGAGCAGAAGCAACTTGGGTAGTTGAATGGTATGGTGCATGGAAGAGTTAAGAGAAGGAGGACTTGCAGAAGACACTGGTTCCCAGAGAGCAGACAGAGAGATATGATGAAAGACTGGCAGATGTAGCCTGAGGGATGATGGTCCACCATACCCAGGACAGCAAGAATTGTATTTAACATCCGGAAATAAGTGTTCTCATGAGATCCCCTGGCTACATTTTGCCCGTGTGTCTTCTTTTTAATTACACATTAAAAAACCTATGCAAAGCGCAGCTCTAAGAGGATTTCGTTTCTGCTTCAAAAGCTGGTACAGAGAGGCAGAACCCTGGACAAAAAGGCAAACTGTATTGGTGGTCTCCTTAGTAAAATGTGTGGTGACTGATGAAACAAGAAACCATTCAGAATCAGTGTTAAAATTCTGGAAACTCTTCTTTTCCTCACCCAACTCATGAAGTGTTTCTGAGGCACTAAATACAACTATAGAAGTGAATGCATGTACAGAAAACAAAACAACACCCCCCCTTAACATAATGCTGGCAAACCAAGTTCTTCTTACCTTTGAAAAATCTCCTGTAATGTGTCTCGGGTAAAGGCATTGCCGTCCTGGAAGACATTATTGAGGGCATGGAGAGCACATAACTCCCTGCGCTGTTTTTCATGATAAATACGCACTGGCATCGGCTGTGGTGTTTCAGATGATTCCGATTTTATTTTGTCACCTTTCCATGGCACACAACTCATTTTTTTTGTAGTGTAGGACGTGAAGATAGGAGATGACAAAGTTTATGAAGTTTCTCCCCACCACACAAAAAGCAGAGCAAGCAGCCTTTCGTTTCTAGACAACTCCAGCCCACACAAGTGGAACACCTGCTGTTACTTTAATAGTTGTCTTCACTGGATGGCTGCAGAAATAACTTAAAGATTTTAATCATTTTTCTCCCACCCTCCCACCTCCTTTAGCCTGCAAGGAACCTTCCTTAGTATATTTGCATCTTTTTCTCGGCCTCCCCTTGAAAAATGTTTTATATGGCCTTAACATCAGAGTGTCAGATAGAATGTATCACATCGCTCTTTTTCCTCCATTTCCTTTGGTCAATGATGCGTCCAAGACAAAGATCCACAGCCTAACTCTTAAAATATGCTCAATCTAACAACAATAACAAAAAAGGGATGGGGGAAGACAAATATCATGTAATTAAGCAAGGCCAAGTTGGTGCTGTCCAGAAGGAATACAGGGCCCCAAGAGAGGCATCAACTGCATTTTTGCAATCTTGTCAGAGAGGCTGCATCCCCAAAACACAGATGCAGAGAGACAGGGAAACAGACTGTTTCTTCCAGGTGGGGGGTGGCGGTCCTCCAACTTCGCCAGGTACAAAATTCCTTGCCCAAGGCTTCTTGTGTTCCTGATGGGAGAAAAGAAGAGATCCAATGAAGCACAGAATTATCAGTGCCCGGTTACCGACCTTTTAAAACAGCACCCCAGAAAAGGATTTCCAGAACTGCTCTGCATAAACAAAACAAAAAAAAGCCACGAAGGTGCAAGGAAGGCCTGCCTTATGAGATCCGGGGTTCCCCCACATCCGGAAAGAAGGGTTTTCCTTTGCCTCACACGCACCCCCCAGCCCTCCTCGTCGTCTCGGAGGGTGCCAATATCCCGCCGTTAAGTGCGGGCAGGAGAAGCGCGTGCAGGAACTGCGGGGGGTGGGGAAGGGTAGGGAACGGGAGTTTGTGCTTGCAATCACAGCAATTCTGGCCTGTCCTGGGGAACCGCAGTCATGCAGTCAGCAGGCCCCTGTGCCCGCTCGGGGGGGGGGGCAGCTCCTTCTCTGGACTGTGGGGCGCGGAGAGAGGGGGGAAGCGTTGAACTCGCCAACTCGGGAGAAGGGGGAACCGGAGAGTCTTTTGAAGGGGGGGCAGGAAGAAGAAGAAGAAGGAGAGACTGTCCAGGGGTGACGTGTGGGAGAAAAGAGCTCTACTCAGGTGGGGGGCAACCTCGCGTTCTTGTTTTTTGGGGGGGTGGGGGGGGGACACAGAACGCCTCTCTCCCTTCGCGACCCCTCGCCCCGTCCCCCCGTCACGCTGCTACTCACCCGTTAGCGGCCCCAACCTGCTGAAGCCCAACAACCACCCAGGAGCCAGCGCATGCGCAACCATAACAGAGCCCTTCCCCGTCGCGCGCGCGTGTGTGTGTGAGCGCGCTGAGCCCGCCCCCGGCGCGGGCCTATGGAGCAGGGTTCCACGTGACGTCAGAGAAGGCGGCCCTCGCGCTCTCTCCCTCCTCCCTTTCAGACGGCGCCGGAGACGTTTGCCTTTGCAATCTCTTCTGAAATCTAAACCCTCGGCTGTGCGTGCGGCTTGAGCTGTGCCTTATTATAGGCAGTGCGGAGTTGTGTGGCTCAGGGTTGGGCATGACGAGCCAGGAGGAGGACCGCGTGTTCACAATCCCTCCTCATGCGTATGAAGCCCGGCGCGGACGGAATTCTCTGCCAGGCGTCCTCTGAGCCCCGACCCACTTCACAGGGGTGTTGTTAAGGACATAAAAGGCGGGTGTAGGCATTCCTAAGCCGCGTGGCGGGTGAGATAAAAATATAATTAACGATATGCATGCCTTTGAGTCAGAGAGTCATGGTTTTAAATCACCGCGCCTTACCCGCTCCGTTTGGGTGCCTGACATTTCAATCGGTGCATACATCGTATACTGAATAGTTCATAAACAGGGCTGTTCTTAAACCGAGGTACCACTGTATTTCAGGCAGCTTGCATGCATAACAGCCGCTGCCCGTTTGTGCTGGAGCAGCAAAGATCCTCCCTACCCGACTGCAGTGATTCCCAAAATATTCCCCCCCCCGCCCCCCACAACGCAGGACCACAGTTTGGGAGCCTTTGCGCTGCTGAATGTACCTTTTCTCAGGGATGAAGCTGAAGTAGCCTTGATTTTTTTGATAAACTAGAGTTATTTATTCAGTGTGTTGATGCGATTGTGCAGTATTTCAAATTAGAACTGGGGGCCAGTAACCAATGTTAGCCTCCTGCCTCTTGTTGCAGCCCCACCCCACATAATTGATCACACGACACGGTGCATGTACACTATTTGAATGACAATGCCCATCAACTGGGGGGGCGACCCCTTCAAATATTTTATTGGGAGGCTGAAGACCCCAAGGGCCCCTAGGAGTTGGCTCCGATGGCTAGGACTGATTAGCATGTTAGTCCAACATCACATGGGGGACGCCCAGTTGGGGAAGACCAACATACTTCCTCAACTATATGGGCTGTCTTTAAGATTTAAGGACCATAAAGAAGGCAAGCTTACATAGGTTAGGTTACATATGCTGAATTTATGTATCACTATCTACTAAAATAAATGTGCCAAAATGATTTACAGCTAAATACTGTAAAAAAACACACACACACATTAATAAAGCAACAGAAATATATCAAAAACAGATTTAGTAATAATATGTTGCCCAAGAAAATAAATACATATTTGCCTGGTGCTAAAATGACATGGTTGGCACCCTGTGGACAGCATTCTATGAATGAGGTGACTATAAATGGTTTTTCTCTCTTTGCCACCCTCCTTAACCCTCAGAGGGGGCACACAAAGGAGGACTGCAGATAACCATCTTGGGTTCTGGACAGATTCATATGAAGACAGTCTTTTAGGTAAAGATATTTTCAAGGTCAAAGCAGCACTTTGAACTGGGTACAGAAACAAACTGGCAGCCAATTTTTACTGGCCAGGTCCCATGCTTTGTATTCACGCCTTCTTGTTCCAGTTAACAATTTAATAGCTACATTCTGTATTAGCTGTAGTTTCCAAACAGTCTTCAAAGTTTAAACTGGAGGTTACTAGAAAATAGACAAGCAAGGTCAGGCTATCCCTATCCAGACAGGGTTGTACCTGGGCTACCAGCCAAAGCTGGTAGAAGGCACTCTGTGCCATACTGAGGTTCCTTGTGCCAAATGACTGGATTGAATCCAAGTGTACCCAACAGCACACTTGTTTCTTCAAGCGAGACATCAAGGGAAGTGTAACCTCATTCAGAGAGACGAACCACCCAGTAACAGGGTCACAGTGTTACGCTGACTGAATTCCAGTTTGATGGCTCTCATCCAGTCCATTATGAAAACCAGGCACTGATCCAGCACATCCACCTCACACCTGCTTTAGCTGTAACAAAGAATTCAAGTTGCATTTTGTCAACATATTGATGGCAGCACAGTCTGAGACTCCAGATCATTCCACTATAATGTTAAACAGCATATAAAACGACAGGGCTATCTGTTGCCTGGCCAATATCTTTCCACTTCCATCTGTCAGTCACATCTGTCCTTACCAATTCAAAATGGGAACAAATTCAACAGCTAACATAGGCAATTCAATCATCATTCCACAGGATAACTCATCAACCAAATTAATATTATACAAGAGACAGAGTATAGGTAGGCTAAAAGCTAATAAATTCAGCCATTCCAAATGTCATGAAAATCCAAGTCTTCATCAATACTTTTAATATTTTCTGAGTTTTTTTTCACCCATGGAAATAAGTGGCCCTCAGCTCCCTATAGCTTTATATTGTGTGTACTGTATAAATGAATGGGGATTTCCTCTGGTCTCTCACACTGAGATTTAAAAGTCTGGGTTGGGTCAATCCTTAGACAATGCTTATTACACAAGTCTGAAACACAATAATTCTCAACTGTTGTAATCTTATGCAACTGATCAGTCACCACTTTGACCTGTGATTTATTGTATTTCCTCATGTCATCAGTGAGAAGAAAAACCCTAGTATTCACAATATCACTAATTTTACCTTTCTCTTTTTATTAAGAACTGGCCACTAATTGTCAGATTTCGACAACGCCCATACTGACTGAATTGAATTTCATTATTGAGTGCTGAATAGTACAGTAACACACAGCTCTCTTGCAGTGCTTGAGATATTGTGACTCCATGCTACAAAGATACAGCATTTCCCTCTCTTCCTTATGTATTCCAGATATATACATGTCTACATAGTATGTGCATTTTTTTAGTGGAAGAATTTTGTATTTTGAGAATATAGGTGATTCTTCCACCTTGCTTATTGGCAGATCCTACAGACCCAGGAAAGCTTATGCTACAAAACATGTTAATCTTTAAAATGCCAAAAAGCTTTCTTACTTTTCCTAAAGGTGCAGGCTAGATGGAACACCAATATAAAATATTTGTCCATCTAAAGAAACTTAAAATAACTAGATAAAAAAACCCTCAAAAGAAATTTAGGCTTTGAGTGCTTGTACAGGTCAGCCTTCTAAGATGTGTGTTAAGAAAGGCACACATTTTTTCTGCAAATGTCATGTAGTTTAAGTGATTTTTAAATTTGAACTTTAGATTGTCCTAACCTGGCCTGGGACCTGCTGGTGAAGAACAGGTAATAACAATAGCAGTAGCATTAATATTATTGCTTGTCTGCTGGCTTCTCAAAACACTGAAGTCCGCGGGGGCCGTTCAATTTATTCCTAATGGGTAAGAAATGCGAAAACAAGAATACCAGTGCCAAAACAAAAGCCCTCGGGCTGAGTGAGGCTTCACCGATTTACACGAAGGCTTTGAGCATTTGGAGATTAGTCCAGACACGTTTCAGTGCCACCTCCTCGCTCTCAAAATGAGGCTGAAAAACAAGGAAATAAAACGTTATTGGCCTTGGGCGAAAGTCACGGAACGCAAGTATGACTGCTCGATTGCATAAGATTATCACCACTCAAAGCGATTTATTTCAACCCCGTTTCATCAGCTTTTGCCAGGGATTATCCCGGGCGAGACAATCTGTCTCAGAGACAGAAGTAAATAGAGGCAATCCCCATTCAATCACAAAATGGGTTGGGGTATTTGATTGGCTTTGGCATATGTACACTCCTTCTTATTGGCCGTCACGATCAAATTCCCACCTTCTTTTCTCACCTACTCACCTCGGCCGTAATCTTGCTCTCTGATTGGCGGAGGCTCCACTTCCGCCTATTACTTAAATATTTGCCACGATTGGCGAGGAACTTTGTTTATCATGCATTCTTCCCTCCCATTGGCCGCGAACAGGTAGAAATATAACACCGCCCCGCTCCCAGCCGGAGTTTCCAGAATAGAGATAAATAAAAATCCGAGTGGCACTGCTGCCGCTGCTTTTATTTTCTGAACCGGAGGAACCGCAAAAAGGGTCTTCGAAGGAGGCATGGCTCATCCATATTAATAAGCTCTAGCTGCGGGTTGTCATAGCAATACAGCAATTTACTGTATTAACAGCGCTGCTCCCCGATTGGTCAGCAGGGTACTAAATTATTAAGCAGGCCCGCTCGGGGGGCGGAGCTCGGCGGGCTCCTCCGGCTCGGTCGACGCGAGGGGTGGGCGGGGCCTATGCTAATGAGGCCGGAGAAGGAGGCCGGGGCTGCCAAGATGGCGACGGAGCGCAGTCGCTCCCCGATGGGGGGCTCGCCGGTGCCGGCCTCGATGTTCGCCCCGGAGCCCGCCTCTCACGGCGGGGCAGTGGCGGCCTCTTCCAGGTTCCACCGCGGCGTCGCGGACTCGGACTGCAGCGAGGACGGCGAGGTGCTCAATGGGGAGCCCGAGCTCGACCTCACCAGCAAGGTAGGCCCGGCGGCCGGGGGGCAGCGGAGACCCAGGGCCCCGCCAGCCCAGACCCCGGTACCTGGCGCCTCCGGTACCCCTCACGCGCCCGGAGGCAGCTCCGGCACTTCCCTCTCTCTCCGTTCGGTCTGGCGGCGGTGCCTCCCCTTGTCCTTCCGGGCACTTCGTCCAGCCGCCTTTAAGGAGCGCGGAGCAGGTACCCCGCGCCCCTTGCCGACGCTCCCTCCTCAGGCGGCGAGAGGGCGGCTGCCCCCCTCCGAGTCCTGAGGCACAAGGAGGGCGAAGGTGTCGCCAAGGGGCGGCGGCGGCAGCGGCGGCAGCGGCGGCAGCTTCAAGGGTACGGGCTGGTGTACGTGGCACGCGAGAATGGATTCAGACGGGGACGAGAAGGGGGGGGGCCGTAAACAGGCTTACTCGCAAGTAAGGCCCTCCGTTTTCGGTGGGGCTTACTCCACGTTTAGGCAGTTTAGGATTGCAGCCCGGCAGCCCAGCCCTGTAAATAATGCCTGCTCAGAAATAAGTTCCATTCATTTCCGCGAAGCTTACTCCCGGTTTAAGCGTAGGTAGGGTTTCAGCTGTAGTTGTTTCCCCGTTTGTAGTTTCCTTAACAACAACAACAACAACAACAACACCCTCGTGCTGTGTTAATACAGCCCTTCAAGTGCAAAGTTCAAGCTCCTCGCTTATCTTTTTAGTGCTTTGCTTTAAAAAAAAGGTTAAAGTTGAAATTGTTAAACAGGTGCTGTGGGTGAAGTACTGTCAAGGGATAGCCTTTGTTTTGTAGTACTACCCTGAAGTGGAATAAGGGGTGATGTTTAAACAAAAGAATGGGCAGCGATACCTGCATGACTGTTAGTTAACCTGCTGGGTGGGAATCATGTGATGTGCTCAAAAGGGACAAAATCTCAGAGCAGAGTATCCATGAAAAGTGATGATGGGCCATTTTGTAAGTTCAGGCATCTGGGGCTCTGGTGCTTTACATTTTTTGTGTGATCTCTGCAGTTGTGAGTAAATGGAAGTCATAGGGGAAAGTGGAGTGGCTTTTTGTGTGATCTAACTCATGAATAAAATAGGAGTACCTTGAGTTTATTTTTTGTTTTAAGCCATCACAAAGCAGCAGAATAATTTTTACATTATTATGGATTTGTTTGATCTACAGTGTTTTTATAATGAACATTATATATATATATATGTATATATATATATATATGTATATATATCTATATATATATATATATATATATATATATATATATATATATATCTATCTCACATACACATACATATACACTTCAGCCTTCTTCACACTGCTTTTGCTAAGCTTTTGAATTTCCCTTTACACTTTGTGGCCCCTTGGTGTCATATCAACCCTTTTTTATTTCCTCTGTCATAACCCCCCCCAAAAAAGGACTAGACTACGTATCTTTTGCGTATAAGCGGAATCTCATAATTATGAACTCCTTGAAAAACAGTTCATAAACAATTTGAGAGAATGTGGCCTCTAGAAAATCATCTACTAGTTAGTGCCAGTGATTTTGGCCCCCTCCCCCATATCAGGATGTTTAACTCAGATACCTGGTTTATTTTCAGCTAGTAATGGTGAGCCCAACATCAGAGCAGTATGATAGCTTGCTGCGGCAGATGTGGGAGAGGATGGATGAAGGATGCGGGGAGACCATCTATGTCATTGGACAAGGATCAGGTGAGCATGGTTTCCTCCTTCAATACCACAAGCCAAGCTAAAGATGCTATAGTGGTTTCAACAGAAACAGCTATTGCTTGAAGTATAGTGTTTGTGGGATGGGACAGTTAGTATACTAGATCTCAAGAGTTAAAAGCCTTTCTTCCATAACACAAATAAATTCATTGGATTTTTCCTGCATGCAGCTAATGCTGTGTTGCATGTTGGCCACATATGCCTAGTAGTAACGATTTGCTTTCAGTAAACAATGCTGACCTGCGTTTTGAATAAGTATATCCCATTCAAATGATATGTGGGGTGAAGAAGGGATGTGTTTTAGCTTGTCTGCTATTAAACCATAATTTGAATGATCTGTTCCAAACCATATGCTCAAGAGCACCACTTTACCAGAGAGGCTGGCCCTTTGTTACTGTGCGCTGCCGATGTGTACTATTCTCACAATCCCAGGGTGGACTCAGTACAGTTATGGCTCAATTCAACCATGAATGATCTGAGCATAATTCTAGCAGATAGTGAATTGTTTGTTTTCCCCAAACAAACTGTGAATGGTAAACCAAGAGCAAATCTTGATTACAATAAGTTCACCGTTTGTTGAGAGCGAGGAAAACCTCAATATTGGGTTTGCATGTAACACTAAGCCAAATGGTTTGGTTCTGAGTAGTGAAACAGCAGCAGGACCAGTGGAGGAGCAAAGCCGCCACGGTTTTCACTCTGGATAGCTGCGTGTTTGGTTGTTGTTGCTAATCCCTGGTTTAGCTTAGCATTGCATGCAGTCATGGGGTTTTTTTTCCGTGAAGCAAGTTGAAAATGTTTAGGGCAGTTAATGTTTTTCCTCTAATTGGGGTTTTGGTTTTTTTGGTAGTGCTACATATTTACTTTTCTCTACTCTGACTACCCAATGTAAAATATTAAAGGGTGTTTGCTGCCTTTGAAGTGACTGGTGGTTTTGGCATTGGTGTTCTTGGCTCAGGTGATGTCAGTCTGCTTAGTCTTCAAAGAAACAGGGGTGGGGGGAGGGGGGGAAGTGTAGCAAGTGTAAGATTTGCACCAGCATAAGTTTCTCAACTGTTATCAGCATTTAATGGGTTAGGGTAGGAGGAGTCGACCACATCTTGTGTACTACAGCTTCCATCATCCCTGACCATTGGCTATGCTGGCTGAGTCTGATTGCAACAGTGGTCCAAAACATCTGGAGGGCATCTTGGCTACCTCTAGAGTAGGGTGTGGGATTAGGTAATGACCTTCTTGCTGTGTCTTCAACTAATGGAGCCAAGGTTTTGAAGAGGGTAGCACAATTGACTCTCGTACATCCCACCTTTCCTTCCAAACTTTTGAGATGGACACTGTTTAGCCTGGAGAAATAGGGCTAAATGAACAGTTAAATGCATTGCGTTGCATAAGCATTTGAAATTATAATGGATTCTTCATTTCCTTGCCCGGCCCATCTGTGGCAAGACCCTGGTGAGGTTATATTAATGACAAAGTAACACCTGGTCTGACAAAACATTTGAAGCAGCTGTTCCTCATTTCTTCCCTGTGCCTACATTAGATGGGACTGAGTACGGGCTCAGTGATGCAGATATGGAAGCATCCTACGCCACCGTGAAGAGCATGGCTGAGCAAATAGATGCAGATGTGATCCTCTTGCGGGAGCACCAAGAGGCAGGAGGCAAAGTGCGTGACTACCTGGTGCGGAAGCGGGTGGGTGACAACGATTTCCTGGAGGTCAGGTAAGGAGATAGGTAGGAGGAGTGTTCGTCAGCATGAAGCTCACTCCTGTAACCTGCACACGTAGTGGTGAGAAGCTGGAAACTCTGGTTTGGCTATGGGAGTGACTCTGCCTCTCCTTACTAATTAACTTTCCTTTCGTCTGTGCTTTGTATACAAGCCAGTGGTTAGGATCTTGCGCACATACTTGGCTGATCAAGCAGTATCTGAATGAAAGGATTGCTGTTGTAGGTTTTTGCTCTCTATGTGCTATGTGTAAGCCTGGATAGCTCAGCTGGTTAGAGCATGGTGCTGATAATGCCAAGGTGGCAAGTTTGATCCCTGTACGGCAAAGCTTCCTACTCCTGCATTGCAGGGGGTTGGACTAGATGACCCTCAGGGTCCCTTCCAGCTCTAAATTCTATTCTATGAAACCCCATAGGTCCTGTCTTTTACTCATTTTAAAAGGGCTTTAGCCTTATTCAGAGATTGCACATGACCGCTGACGTTCTGATGGCTTCCTTTTGCCTTCCTACAGGGTAGCCGTGGTTGGCAATGTGGACGCAGGAAAGAGCACGCTGCTGGGTGTCCTCACCCATGGTGAGCTGGACAATGGACGTGGCTTTGCCCGGCAAAAGCTTTTCCGCCACAAGCACGAGATTGAATCAGGCCGTACTAGCAGCGTGGGCAATGACATATTGGGCTTTGACAGTGAGGGCAATGTAGTGAACAAGCCTGATAGCCACGGTGGAAGTCTGGAGTGGACTAAGATTTGTGAGAAGTCAACAAAGGTCATAACCTTCATTGACCTGGCTGGGCACGAGAAGTACCTGAAGACTACAGTCTTTGGCATGACTGGGCACCTACCTGACTTCTGCATGCTAATGGTAAGCTGTGCCATGGTGGTGGGATGTCAGTAGCAGCAAGGGGCTCTTAACGTCCACAGCACTTTCCCATCTTTTTTGTTGGAGAGTTAAGGAATTAATGAAAACAATATAGGCTAGAACTCTCACTGTTATTGTGAACAGGGGCTCAGAAATTAGTTGGGGCCGTGGGCCATGTCACTCTCAGTAAGTGGTGATTTCCTACCGTAAAATGTTGGAGGCTTCAAGGTTGGGAGGACTGTTTCTTGTGGTTCACCATGTTCCTCTTTCCCTATCTGAGGGTGATTTATGGCCTATGTTAAGGATTGAACTGAGTTCTCCATTCATGCTCATGCGTCAGATACGGGTGCAAGCTTCTACATGAGTAAATGCTCTAAGCAAAAACACCGTGAAGTTCAGAAAAGCTCTTTCTGAAGTGCCCCCTGCGCATGTGTCAGGGTGTCAAAGATATTGTCATGTGTGCAAAGCATTCAAGGTTCGGTACCTGTTTCCAGAACTTAATTTGACATTTGTCCTTGCTGGTCTCCCCCTGCTCTTCCAGCAGCCGCAGCAGCAGCAACAACAACAACAAAGATTTTTTCTGCACTGTGAGGACACCTAATTCTGCCATAGTGGCTTAACACAACTTGTCTCAGGTTCTATCTGTATCAGTGGATTTCTTTCCGCAACCATGAGAGGCAAACTATTCCTCCCTCCGTGGCACATTCCTGTGTTGGTTTTGGAGTATGTGTGCTTCAGTCAAATAAACAAAGAATTCTCAGATTTATTGGCATGTAGTCTAAACTGCAGACAGGTGCTTCCTTGTGAGGAGATGGCGGTATAGAAATTCTTTAGCTTAGTTTTCTGTTCATGGGTCAGTATCCCATTATCAACCTTTCTTATCAGTAAGAGCCGCAGCCTGCCACTTGATGACGTGCTTGCAGAATGACATTAAGGGGTAGCTGATACACTCTGAGATAGTGGCTCAGTTGGGACATTGTTCCCAGCTTCATCAACCATGGTATATGTCAAGAAAAGGAAAACCTGTGGCCCTCCAGATGTTGTTAGATTCTCAAGTCCATTCGCCCCAGCCAACAAGGTTGGTGGGTGGTGATTAGTGAGCTGAGGTGAGAATATTCTCCAGAGAATATCCTCAAGAATGAGAATATTTTTGACAATATTCTCTGCTAGAAAATTCTCTGGAGAATATTTTCCATGAACTATAAATTCTAATGTAAGAATCAGTTTTACAACCCACATTAAAAAAATCTAGTAAATAAGTCAAGCTGTGATCTTGTCAATGTAAATAATGAATAATGATTTTTTTGATCCAGTTACATTACTGGGCATTGTGTCATTCACCATTGGCAGTTCTGAAATGTGAGCTACAGAAAACCTTTTTTTTTTTTAGTTTTAAAAATGCTATTCATTTAATTTGATGAACATTTGAATTCGTATGTATTTCAACTATTTGTAATAGCTTTTTTTCTATTTTGGTGTGACCTTATTCTTAGCAATTCTATACCCTTGGCCATAAGGGTGATTTTTAAATTTTTTTTACAGAAAGTAGTTTTAATGCTTTCTACACTTAAAGTACCTAGGCCTATACAGTTATGTGTAACAGCATGTGAGGTGGCCTTGATTTAAATAGTTGACTTTTCTATATTTTTATTCAGTGCCAACAACTGGTTTTTGCAGTGACATTCAATGGTACAATATTCTTATTAATCAAGAATATTCTCGAGAATATTCTCCAAAAGATTATTCTCAAGAATTTAACATCACCAGTGGTGATGATGAGAGTTTGAGTTCAAGAGCATCTGGAAGGTCCCCAAAATGGGGGAGGGCACGGGGCGGGCAGAGCAGGGTGCTTCCAGTGCATGTGATTTCATGCAAGCGTGCAATGACCCGGAACATAACCCCCCCCCCAACAAATCGGGGGTTGGCTGTAATTGAGAATTCTGGCTTGATACAAGCCAGGAGCTTTGTGGTGAAGCTGACGTGTGATGTGAGGAAAAAGAGTTAGGGAGGAGTGCTTGGCCCCAATGCTAGTCCCTGACTTCATAAGCCAGGGAGGCTGGGAACATCATCTGAACAGTGTCACTGGCTTCCCTGCAGCAAAACAGAGAAGTAGAGCTCCAGTTATGACACTTACTTTGGAGCAGACTGTACTAGCCATTCTTTGCAATGCTAGGAGAAGGAGGTAGTGGGCATGCACCCACAAGAAGGCTAACTCTGACGCAGTGTCACCTGCAAATGCAATGGTTTCTCAAAGTGATTTTGTGATTGACGTGAACTGGGAAAAGTTTAGCTGATAACCTATTCCACCGTGGCTTTTCCTGAGAGGATTCTGGGAATAGGACCCAGGATTCCTCTTCCATCTGTTCTTGACATTGTCCTGGTGAAGCAGTAGGAAATAAGCCTTTCTGGTTTACTTTGCACACCATGGAACATACCAGAAATGTTATTCCAAGAGTGGCAAGTGCTAATGTCTGAAGAGCGCTGGGTTTCTGTCCAATGCTGTGTGAGCAGAACTCCCGCAAGTGTCTGGAGCAGGTTTTGAAGCTGTACAAGGGGGCTGAATTGGGAGGAGAGGAAAGAGAAGCTCTGTTGCACAAATAGAAGGCTGTTGCGCTAGTGGGACAACAGTATTAGATAGAACCATTGCTCTCATAATTTATTAAAATTTGACCTCTTGCCTTTCTCTTCTGGCGTGTCTGCATTACGCTGCCCAGCAAAGTCGCAGCCGTGTTTCTAGACAGAGACTTAAAATTCTGCCTGCCTCTCCTATTCCCCACTTCATTGTGCTTTTCCTTGATACAGGTTGGCAGCAATGCAGGAATTGTTGGGATGACCAAGGAGCACCTGGGCCTTGCATTGGCGCTCAACGTCCCAGTCTTTGTGGTGGTGACCAAGATTGACATGTGTCCTGCCAACATTCTCCAAGGTATTTGCCTGTAAACTGCCCTGTGATTGTGGGGTGAAGGGTGGTATATAAATAAAATAAACTGAAGATGGCGCAAACAGCTTCTCTCTCCTATGAAGTGTTTGCCATCTGTTTTGGTAGTGTGTCTTCAGACTCTACTAAGGAGCCGTTTAAGCAAACTTTTCTTTCTCACCATCTCCAATTCCTGGCCTGCATTGCTTCTTACTCGTTGAGACTTATTTGGTGTACAGTTTTTTCTCTGTAGCTGGTCTCTTAAAACTGTCATATCAGCAGTTCTAAAACAATTGTTTTGCAACAGTGAAGCTGCTCAAAAGCAATGTTTTGGCTTGTGTTCTTCCCCAACTGCTGTAAATAAGATTATGGGAAAGAGAAGGCAGCTGAGAGACTTTTTGCATCTGTTCACTTCCTGGTTCTTAGGGTCATGAAAGAACCAACTAGTTAGCCTGTTCCTCACAGGGCCCAACATGGTGCTTCCTGAAACAAAAGCAGCAACTCTTTCCTGCTGTTTCTCCTCCCGCAACTGATGTTCAGTTACACGATATCCCTGAACATTGAGAAACCGTTTAGCTATTGTCACCAATAGCCGTAAACTGTGCAACCAAAATGAGTGCTTAGGAAATATTATTGCCTTTTCCCTTGTACGTAATTATGCACTTCCAAAAAAAGAGGTCCACAAAGATGATCACTAGTGGCAGATGCTGGGCATCAGATAGAAAAGGAATGCACTTTGGGACTACACAGTGGAAAGCGAGAGAGCAAATGGTTTGCTACCAAGCTCATTCAAAATGTGTGGGCTCCTGTTCAGGAGACCCCTGGTCTTCTGGTGCTGCAGTTATTGGCTTTTCTGTTACTTGCTGCATAAGATGACCGAGGAACCTCTGCAATGTGCAGCTAGCACTGCGGTAGAAAATGGAAATTTGAGAATTGGTCAGGTGGACCTAGCATTCAGTGTGCTTCAAAGCGGGCGCTTTTAAAATGTGTACGTGATGTTGCATACATCTTGGCACCCATCTTTCATGTGCACATCTTGTTTTTCACTCCTCATCATAACAGTAAGCATTTGTGGGAAAATCGGTTTATTCTGGCAAAGACAAGCTCTTGTCTTAGAGGAGCATCTAGCACAACATGCAATTAGACATAGAATCCACCGCCAGGGGCAAATTTTGAGACAAGGGTTTGGCTAGAATTGGACATATTTTCAAAGCTCTGGTAGCACTGCTAGCTTTGTAAGCAAACAAAATGAAACCACCAATTCTCAAGCAAAAAACACATCCTAGTCTTTCTTGTGAAAACGATAGCCTTCCAGTCATAAGATTCCATGGTCTCCCTGCAGGCTTCCTGAAATTGAAACAGGATGCGTAGTACAGAAAAGCCTATGCAAAATTCTGGATTGTATGTAATGTTTTGATAGCTTCTTAGTAGCAATACTGAACTTATTTCTCTCTGAGGCTTAGCTTGACAACTTCTACAATTAGAATAGCAGTGGAAATTCAGTACATACTAGCTGTAATAGCTGGCTTGTTTTTCAGATCAATATCCTGGTGCCCACCAGATGCATTTACTATGACTCCCATCATCCTTGGTTGATATGGCCAATGGTCCATAATGGGGGGGATGGTAATTCAGAATCTGGAGGTGTCAGACTGGGGAAGGTTTGTCAGTGTGGTCAACACCCAGACATGGAGAGAGAAAAGATCTGTTAAGAACACAAGAAGCCCCATACTACAACCTCTAAAGCCCCATTTCACTAACCCTTTGGTATCAAAGACTCCTGCATGTTCTCTTATATGTTCCTGATACTTAAATAGCTTTCTTTTTAAATTTAAAATCCTAGGAAAGCTGACATCTGTAACAGCTTGCTCATGCATACATACAATCATGGGGAAAAGAAAGTACACCCTCTTTGAATTCTGTGGTTTTACATATGAGGACATAATAACAACCATCTGTTTCTTAGAAGGTCTTAAAATTAGGTAAACACAACTAAGGCAATAAAGCTGAATGCAAGAAAGGGATATTGATCTAATCCTCTCCATTTTATTCATCAAGAAACCCTGAAGCTGTTGCAACGACTTCTGAAGTCGCCAGGATGCAGAAAGATCCCTGTCCTGGTCCAGAGCAAAGATGATGTCATCGTTACTGCCTCCAACTTCAGTTCAGAAAGGTGACAGAAATGAAAACAAAGTGGACCACTCTTTGTCTGCTTAGAACATGGCCTTCGAACTTTGATCCCAAGACTCTTCTGGGATGATAATTGGTTGGGAGCACAAACAGATCTTTTTCCAGTTGCAGTATAAGGAATTTGCAACAGAGATGTGGAATATGTTTACAAGCTTAAATAGTAAGGATCCTGAATTGGTGGGATCTGCGCCTTTAGTTCTGTTGGGCAGGTTCAAAACAGATTATCCAGGTTTCTGGGCAAGAAATGCATGCGAAGAGGTGAAGATGGATGGTAGAAATGGCCAGGACTGGAGTTAAAGTGGACTTCAGGAATCATCTTTCTTTTTGCCACAGATATTAGTTTGTTTTTCTTGCCAGTGAGCGGGAAATGCCAAGGTCAAATTCTAATGAAACCATGTGGAGTTGCCTCTGTTGCTTTGAATCCATTTCTGGCATCCACAGTTGGTGCAAGGATGAAAGCAAGCAGAGGACTTGGGAGGAATGGGGGGGTGATGGCTAGGAGCAGAAAAGGAATGGCCCTGCTTTTGTGTAGAGGCTGAAGCAAATGGCCTTGCAAGAAGTATGGCCACGAGTCTGCTGCTGATCTGTTGCATGAGACACCCTCCCCGCCGTTGCCGCAAAATGTGGATGCCATATGTATGGAACAGAAGATAAGCCATACTGGAAAGCTGGGATAAATGAAGGAAGTGAACAGTTGCGTGAGATTGGCAGCTAGCATTGTGTTAGGTCTGTCCTCTTCTTGAAATATCCTGGACAACTGATGATGGTTGGCATGTCTGCTGGACCGTTCTCTTAATGGCTTGGTCCCAACTGCTGATGAGTGAGGGGGAAAGAGAGTAAAACTGTAGGAGCTAAAAATGTAAATATTACATCTGATGTAACTAGAGCGTGTGATCTGAAAGGAAGCTGACCATGCAAGATGACTCTCCAGTTGAGTGGGCACTTTTGCTGCCATCCCAGAAAAAACAGAAGTAGATATAAAGTTATTTAACTGAATGTCGCTAGTGTTAAGAGTACTACAGCTAGTACTTTCCTGTAGGGAATTTTCCTTCCGATACTGAACATGCCAACCAGCACCTGTGACGTCTTGCAAGTATTAAGATCAACCTAACTTAGAACTGTGAATAACTCATATGTTCTCATTCTCTCTTTCTCTCTCTGTTCCAATTAGGATGTGCCCAATATTCCAGATTTCCAATGTCACCGGTGAGAACCTGGAATTGCTTAAGATGTTTCTCAATCTCCTGTCTCCAAGGACCAGTTACAGGGAAGAGGAACCTGCAGAATTCCAGATAGATGACACTTACTCTGTTCCAGTAAGGAGAGTGGTGCTGAGAGTCTCACTTCAGTCTAATTTTTTTCCAAGAGGAGGAAGGAATGGGGATGTTGGCTTGATTCTGCTGTTGCTCTACAATTGTGACTAATTCATTTGCCTTTTGCACTTCTCCCTGATGCAGGGTGTAGGGACAGTGGTGTCTGGGACAACACTAAGAGGCCTGATCAAGTTAAATGACACCTTGTTGCTCGGCCCAGACCCTCTGGGTAACTTCTTGCCCATTGCTGTGAAGTCCATCCACCGCAAGCGCATGCCCGTCAAAGAGGTTCGAGGAGGACAGACTGCCTCCTTTGCTCTGAAGAAGGTGAGTGTGGACTTCATTGGCCAAGGGTATTCCATTGCTTTTCTGTTGGGAGAAAATGAGGGTTTTTTGAGAAACTGCCAGTGCAGTTAGGAGAATGTTTACTCTGAGACTGCACAAAAAGTAAAGCTAGTTGCGTTGGCCCATAAGAAAAAAAATCCAAAATCCACATGAGGGCAATCCCTAATGCTATAAAATAACACGCAAGCTTTTAAGTTCTGTAGAAATCTTCATCAGACTAGATGGTAAATAAAATAGGGTTGTGGGGAAAGAGAATATTAGTGCTGGTTTTTGAGCCGCCTTAATGGTGTCATTTCATCACAGTTTGAAGGTAGAATGTGGGAGGAGATAGCGGAAATTCAGATGGGGTTCTGTTAGGTGCTTGGTTGGTTTCCTGTTGCACCCAGAACTGCTGAGGAGAAACATATGGTGGCCGATTCTTCACGTTTGGGACATATGAAATCCAGCTGTTAATCACATCTGTCTTCTTCCTTGGGCAATGGAACCAAGTCCTCCTGCATTCAGATGTGGTTTTCTCCCTAGTCATTGTTTTTAGGATTGCAACTTGTCAGGCTTACTATATGGGGCTGAGAGCAGGTTTTATTTGCAGGGTCTAATATTGCAAAGGCATGCTAGGACTAAACTTGTCTAAAGGTAGCAGTGGACATTGTGCTTTTAAGTGAGTCATTTGTTTAGCAGAGAGAAAGCCAAAGGAATACTTTCACTATTGCATCCCAACTTCTCTACATCCATGAAGAATGGACATTTGTAATTTCTCCAACTTAAAGCAGGCATTCAAATTGCATCGTTTAGGCAACCTAGGTTTGTCTGCAACTTAAGTTTGTCCTCATGGGGGATGAAGGAAGGACAGCTTGTAAGAAAATCTGATAACATCCCTAAAGGATAGCAATTTTGTGTTGACCAAAACCATCCCTTGAAGTTTTTTGCTTTTGAAATTATTTCATTCTCATGTTTCTCCCAACACCTTTGTAAAACTCATGCTCAGCACTGTTCGGCTGGATGGGCACCCCATTCCATCCCAAAAGAGGCTTATGTAGTCTTTCATCTGTAAAATGCTAGGAAAAGATATAGATTTCTTTTTTTAAAAAAATCAGCCTAAGTGAATTTACTGCTAAATTATGCTTTAAAATTGTTGCACTTCCAGATCAAGCGCTCCTCTATCCGGAAAGGCATGGTGATGGTGTCTCCCCGATTAAATCCTCAAGCGTCTTGGGAATTTGAAGCTGAGATTCTGGTTCTGCATCATCCTACCACCATCAGTCCACGTTATCAGGCGATGGGTATGTGTAGGGTTTTTTTGTGTCCCTTACACACTCCTCCTGCCTTGGCCCTGGGTATTGAATTAATTTGTGGTTGCGTCATTTAAGTTCTGATACTGACAAATTTATGAGGAGCAGCAACCACAAGAGAATGGCTGAAATAGAAAGTGATTCCTTGTGGATCAAATTTGGGAAGTGATAGAAGGCTCTTATGGGATCTGTCACTAGGGGTGCTTGACTTGCACCTTCATCAAAATCCCACTTGAGCTATGGGTTCAGTGGATGGCTATAGAAGAATTGCACTTGGCCTCTGTAGCCTTCCCTATAGAAGTTATGAGGCATGGTGGTAGGGCTGGCTTGCTGAGCAGATTAGTGCTATGTACGTAGATTATCTTCTGACGTTGCCTCTTCGCTGGAAATTGAATATACCTGCTGACAAACATGGATTCGTAAGGTGCTTGTATTGTGAATTTAGCAGCATCTGCATGCAGCAGCATAGCTGGTGGCAGTTCAGGGTATCCTGTGCTACTGAGATTTGTCCGCTTGTTGCAGTTTGAGTGCCAGTGAGAATCTTACTGTTCACAGTGCATTGTGGCAGCATCCGCCAGACAGCCACTATCCTCAGTATGGACAAAGACTGTCTACGCACAGGAGACAAGGCGACCGTGCACTTCCGCTTCATCAAGACCCCGGAGTACCTGCACATAGACCAGCGGCTGGTTTTCCGTGAAGGGCGTACCAAAGCTGTGGGTACCATCACCAAGGTAACAGAGCTTTTGGGGTAAAATAGGACATGGGTTCTCAAAGTTTGTGCATGCCTTAGGTACAGTACTACAGACACCTCCCTTCCCTCTAGTTAGTTACTGAAAACTCGAGCTTCTTGATAGATGATGATGATGGGGAAGTTGCTTGGCTTCTCAGAATTTCCATACCTTCCTTGAAACCATGTCATATGAACTAGTGGCTCTGTTCTCCTTTTCCTTTTGATTTTTCCCTGTCTTTAGGATAGGAGTGAGCATTGCTAGTTGATTTTTAAAAAACCCCACAACCACCTTAAACCCAGACTTGCATATAACCCTGCTAGACAGAACAAGCTTTCTTTCTCTTCCACTAATTCCTGTATTCCCTTGCTGAAGGGGGAATTCTTGTCCATCTATGCCCCGCCCTTTAAACCATATGTTGCTCAAATGGCTAAGTTTTTTTAATACTTGCCAAACTTTTTTGCCAGCCCAGCCACCTAGTCTGTGCTGTGAGGGCCTTGCTTCCTTTCTGGGTGAAGGGCAAGTTGCTTGGCTTTCAAGTGCTTTCTTCCCATCTCTATAAATTACTTTTTTTTAAAGATCTTGGGAACTTTGTGGGACCTGGTTGTTGACAGAAGGCAGTTTCATGCATGACCTGGGTTAAAAATAATAATGAAAGGAGACTATTTTCATCCTGACTTGGCGTATAGCCCAGCGAGGCTTAGCTGTTGCTATCACACCTCTGCTTTACCTACCTGCCCTACTGCAGGGAATAAGAGACATGAAACAGAAAGTGCTTAAAGAACAGAGAGGAAATTGTTTGTCACTTCCCTTTCCACTGCAGGGAAAGTGGGAGATAAGAGAGCTGTGCAGGTGTGAATGAGATTTGGTGTGTTGCTGTGCACGCACACCATTCCCAGTCCTTTTATTTTATTTATTAAATTTAAACCGCCCTTCATCTTGGGATCACAGGGCAGTTTACAATACAAAAACACAAAGATACACAACATTGTAACAAACAAAACAATATATACACACAAACCAGTTCAAAAGGCCATAGAATGTTTAATTAGCCAAAGGCCTGGGAGAAGAGGAATGGTTTTCCCTAGCGCCTAAATATATGTAATGAAGGCGCCAGGCGAGCCTCCCTGGGGAAGAGCATTTTCTTTCAACATATTGAGGTCCTGTTTCATGTCAAAGGTGAACTTTGCTTAAACCAACTCTGTGCTTAAAATGAAAGCAACAACACTGGCACAATTCTGTTTTTTGCCTCTACCATCCTTTCGACTGGCAGTTACTCCAGACCACAAATAACTCTCCAATGAACTCCAAGCCTCAGCAGATCAAGATGCAGTCCACGAAAAAGGGGCCCCTGACCAAGCGAGAGGAAGGGGGAGCGCAGGCTGGCATGGCAACGGCGAGTCCCATAGTGGCAGATGATGCAGTTTCGCTGGGAGCAGCCCCCTCAGCACCTTCGAGTGCCCAGCAGCCTCAGGTATGCAGAGCGGCCTGTGCCAAAGTCATCTTTCATGGCTTCTTAAGCTTTTTGTAGTAAACATGCCTACCTTTTAAGGTGAGCCAGATTTTACCTGCTACCTCCTAGTCCTGTGCCTGAATACTAGTGAGTGGCTGGCTGTGAAGTGGCTCTAGGAAGGGAGGGGGTGAGAGCCTTGCCAAGTGGGCAGAAACAGCAGGCCTGGCCTGGTGTGAGGCCCTGAGCACTTGCCCCTGCTTGCCCGTAACTGTATTGTTAACTTTCCCCATCGGAGCCCTGCTGCTGTTCTGCAGCTTATCGGTTGGGCTTTCCTTGTGCATGTCTTTGCTGTGTGTGGTAAGGGCATGCAGAGCTCAGAGAAGGACCTCTTGCGCAGTTCTGCACAGGCTGTAGAAGGACCTCCTTGACCAGTGACGGAGCTCTCAGCCTTCTGTTTCATGGGGCATCTGGCTGCTCAACCTTTGAAATGAAGTTCTTTCTGCTGAAGTGAAAACTTAGTCTCAGTTACTTTGCTCTTTTGTTTTTCACTTTGCTGTATTTTAAGTGTGTGTTGGCATTATTCTGAGACTCCTGAAACCGGAGGGATGAGGTTTAAATGCTGCAATTGCAAGCATCAGCTACGATAATTGTAGCAAAGAAATGCACTTTTATACATATGTTACAGGGTGCTCTCTAAGAATAGGACTGAAAGAATCTGAGCTGCTTTCTTGCTTTGCATCTTGGGTGTAAATGTGGCTTCCTGGTGCCCTTGCTGTACTCTCTTCTCCTCCAGAGTTTGTCTTGGGGGGGGGGCAAAGTCTGTCACAGCCTCTGTCTATATCACTGGTGCTTTGTTTCCTCTCTTGCTGTGCTCACTTGGTGGCAGTTTTTAAGGGACTGCTCTCCCCTCTGCTGATCTTTGTCCAACATCTTGGATGTCTGCTGCCTTCTGCTCACCTATGCTTCTCTTTCCTTGCTGCTTTCCTTCAGCCTGCCCTGGATGAAGAGCCCCACAACCGAGAGGGCAGCAAGGTACTTCTGCATCCTCTGTTGCTTTGACTTGATTGCCTTGGGGAGAAAAGGCCACCCTTGCAAAGGGCCGTCCCCTCCAAAGTCTTACAATTTTCCTTTTAGAATGCCTGCTTGCTTTGGTAGAAGCTTGGCCTATTGCAAAGGTGCTCATAGGTCCTGAAAGGATAAAGACAACTTCAGTTCTTTCCTTCCCCCAGGGATGGGAGACCAGTGGCACTCCAGATGTTGGACTATAACTTCCAACATCCTTTGCCATGAGTCAAACATCATCTGGGGGACCACGGGTTCCCCACCCTTGCCTTTCACTTCTGGATACGGTTGGTTGACACTGTCCATTCCCGCTCCTCTTGTTCAGTTTAGGGCTGAGAGGTTCAGATCCTGTCTTCCCCACCTTGCCCTTACCTGAGCGCTCTTCTTCTCTACCCCCAGGTGAAGACTGGAGGAGGTGGCCGTCGACGTGGAGGACAGCGCCATAAAGTGAAGTCTCAAGGGGCTATTGTGACTCCTGCTGGTGGCTGCTGAACATCGTTTTTAATCACTGCGGAATTCGCACCCTCCCCTTCTTCAACCCAAAACCCCGGAGCAGCCTAACCAAAATCCATCCCAGCTGATCTGCTACTGTGGAACTTCTCCTCCTCCTCCTCACCTCCTGGAGAGGAGCCACTGGGGGGACGCAGGGTTTACAGTTTAAGCTAACGAAGGTGACAAAAGCACACGTGGGACTGACCAGCTGCCGCCTTCTCCCTTTTTACCCCCCCCCGCCCAAACATTTTGTACATCGTGAGCTCTTAGTCATGATTTTTTATTAGTTTTTATTATGGTGGATGTTTGTGTGTGGTATGCGTGCGGATGAAGAATCGGGAGGATCTAGGTATACAGAGTAAGGTAACTGCCTCCTCTTCTCTTCCCCACCCTGTCATATATATATTTTTGAAACTGACCCTGTGTCTGTGGGCTACAATCAAGAATTCATGAAATCCCATTCATACAAGTATGAATATGCTAGTTGGTTCGGAAGAGGTAGGAATTCCCCCCCTTTCACACCAGTCAAACTGCGTGAGCCCTGGGCGGCCTCCTTTAGTTTAAAGTACCAATGCCTGCAATTGGTAATCGACATGAAGGAACACACACACACTCCAGCAGCATCCCAAAAGCTGGATTGATATGAGATCCTAGATCTCATAATTATGCACTTGTAAGCTTACTTTAAAAGCGAGACTTGTGGGAGGAGGTGGAGCAGGCCACAAAAGCACTGGTGGCTTTGGAGTTGTTGGTGTAAAGTCAACAAATTGATTTCACACAATCCTTTTTGGGCCTTGTGTTCAAAACCTACTATTTTTCTTGCAGTCAGTCATGGGTGCCTGCATATTCTGAATCCTGCCATATCTGGTTTTCTAACCAGCTACGTCAGATTGGGGAAAGGGAGAGACATTACAAGTTGGCTTCTTGTGACCCACCCATTTCTTCCCCGTGGTATCCAAGTGTATCTTTAAAGGCAGTGTTTCCTTCCCCTCCTTAAGAACTGACACTGTCAGTGGGCGACTTCTCCCTGCATATTTGTGTAATGCAAGAATTCATTTCTCCTCATTAGGGAAATGGGTGTTGCTGCCTGTAAGTGGGCATGGGCCTCTTAGTGTCTAGAAGCCAGCTTGCACCCCTCATTTCAGCCTCTCCTCAGAATCATAACTGTCATGGGTTTAGACACACTCACTGTGTAAAAGCAGGAAGAGGTTTACTGGAGCCAGCTCTGAGCTGTGCTTTTAAATTTGGACACATGTTCAAGATTTTATAACTTTGATACACATTTGCTGCTTCTTTTTGAGGCACTTATTCTGAATTGACTTTTAACTGGCATCATGTTTTTGTTTAAAAACAAAAACCAGGTTTGTAGTTCACTGGTTTGTAGCTTTTAAAGTCTCTCCCCATGTCTCTCATATTGCTGTCTGCAACATCATCCTAACATTTTTGAATGGCTGGAGTTTCCTGGAAGCTGAGAGTGAACACTGATGAGTAGGTAGGCACGGCTTATGGTCTACTTTCTTGCCTGAAACTTTGTGGGCAGCATCCTAAGCAGTGACAGTATTAATAGCACCCTTGGGGAGAGAATGGAGCGTGCTGTGGCTAAAGGAAGACGGCAGCCTGTATCACTTGGTGCCTTGGGCGCCCGGTAGCGACATCCGCCTCATGGCCTTCTATTTCCAAGGGAAGTGGAGACCTTGGTGTGGTGTCCTTTTTATTTTTTCTTCTCCTTTCATTCCTTAGTTCTGAAAGAGGAATGTGCAGTGCTGAAGTTTTCATTAAAAAAAAAAAAAAAGCCACATGGTGCTGTGTTCTGTTTTGTGACCAGCATTTAAAGACTACTGAGGCTGGCATGATGTAATAATAATAATAATAAAAAGAAAGGTTTGTTTAACGTTTTAAAATTAAATGGCTTTGTTGTTTGTCAGTTCTTCCAACTGTAGAGGGAATGAAGCAGTGACTGTGTTGGTACCTCTGAATCTGCATGTGTCAGAGGGGAGGCTTAGATGTTTTCAAGCAGGCATCATGCAAAGCTGAAGCTACTCCTTGAGATCAGGGCTGGCTGCTCTCCAGGGCTAGGAACACACCTTGGTTTTCGTGCCTAGTCAGGGGTGTTAGTAGTGCTGACCACAAGAGAAGGGTCATTTTGCTCACTGTATGCAAAATGAGCCCCTACTTTCGTTTTGTTTATTTATTTTTTGCTATTATTGACAAGAGTACAAAACTTTAAGGAGGGAGGTAGTTTATCAGGAAGACTACAATGGGCCACAGTGTAATATTCAGGTGAACAGCATCCACATATTCCAGTGCACATGAACTTTGTACCCTCTTGTGTTGGCAATAGGTATTTTACATTTCCCCCTCATTTTTTCTCCTAGCAGCTCAAGGTTGGGGAGCAGTGTACACTATGACACTATGAAGTAGGTGAGGTGCAGAGACCAAAGGTCACTCGGTAAGCTTTATATGGCAGTGTGGGGGTTTGAACCAGTGTCTTCCCCAGTCCTAGTCCTTATCTGATATTCTAACCACTGCATTTCAATCATGCTAGCTCCCGTCTGCTGAATTCGCACAGCTGTTAAAGGCAAAGGAATAAAAGTTGGCAACTGGGCAGTATACCAGTGAACTTCAGCACCTAAGCAGAAGCCGAAAGTCAAAAGGTATAAGGTATTGCCAAACTTTTAACAGGAGGAAAGGACTTCTCTTTTAATAGTGACACATGGGGAAACTTCATTAGTTGTAGCATCTGCCCTCCTTGTGAGAAGGTGCATCTGCTGGAGAAATGCTGCTGATCTGTTAAGCCCATCAAACACATGGAAAATGATTTAAGTATTGCCAAACCTTGGTGGTGATCTTTCAGATGATAGGAACTGGAGAGAATGAACTTAACATTTAGTAAATATGTTGGAATGGTAGGTTTTAATTTTTTACACTTCTGTTTTCAGTACTTGTACCCTGCTCTTATAAGTGGAGTGGTTTTCAGAGTGGCTTAAATTGTACTTTAAACTTAAGTAGCAAAATATATTGAATGGTAGTTTGCCGTGGACCAGGAGGCAATGCAGTTGAAACTCAGCTGTCCCACTTGCTTATTTATGGCATTTTTATAGTGTTTAAATTACCAAAGTCTCCCAAGTTAGTGGTCTGCAGTAGTTGCAAAATACAACTATGTTGGAAAGGGGCTAGAACCTGCAAACGTCTCTGCAGTCATGAACCCTGTTCTGTTTCCCATCTAGGCACACATAAGAGCCAGGCTTTTGTTCGGTTCATCAAAATTGCTGCAATTAAAAATAAGGGCATTGGCTGAATTTTACAAGAGTATTTGTATCCATTCTTCAGTCAAAAAGGCTCCCAGAGCAGCTTACATACAATCAATGAAACAGGACAGTTTCTGCCTGCAAGCTTATAATGTAAACAACACACAAGGGGGATTTCTCCTTGCCCACCCTCCTTTCCCCCCTCTCCCATTGGCTTCATAATGTTGAGTTTGAATGTGTGTGTCCTGCACTGACTGAGGGCTCATCCACACTTCTGTACCTCCTGTCTGAGAGGTTTTTCTTCAGTCCCACTGCTTTCCCTGGGAAAACCTGCTGTGTATCACTGAATTGGAACAAATGTCAATCAAGTTTTCTGCAGATTACTGCTGAATTGGAACAAGCATCAAACAGTGGGTTTTCCCGGGGAAAGCAGTGGACTAAAGAAAAACCTCAGGCAGAAGGAACAGAAATGTGGACGACAGTGACAGCAGCGCCAATGCAACTTATTTACTGCATAGTCTCTTCCCGCTAATGCTTCTAGCCTTCACCCTGGCCAAAAAGTGTCCCCTCTTCACCAATGGTCAGCTTCACCCTTTTTAAAAAAATTGTTTATTGTCTTGAGTTTCTTTTGCATAGGCATAAATTACAATCCAGAGATAGAAAATAAGGAACGGAACAGTGCAGCATTTGCAACAGGCTACATACAGTCTTAGATACAAATCCAAGCACACTTTGTACATAACTGTTTTCATAGGAGAAGCATTATTATTAATACAGCACCATCAGTGTGCATGGTGCTTTACAGAGTACAACAGGCCAGGTCAAAAGTACAGGGAGCGGGCAGAGAAGTCATGCTTTGGAAGGTGCCTCCTACTTGCTGTCGCCTTGCAAATGCCATATGAGCACCTTGCTACTGGTCAGGGAGCTGACACAAGCATGAAATGCCTACAGTTGTCATGAAGCCATTATGTGCATGACTCACCAGCATTCTTTAACTGTTGACTCTTTGCTTGATGTGGCTTTGAGTAGACCCTAGGACCAGGAAAGTTTCATGCTTTTCCAAACGCATTCATTCGTAAGCTCACTGAATGTTCATTTGGTCACTCTAGATTTTTAATCACTTTGTTGCACTTAGGGTCTGTTAAACACATCTTTTCTTTCCATGCAACTAACAGAGCAGAGAAGCCTATCCACATAAATTATTGTATGGAGCCCAGCTGCGGGAAACTACCCCACAATGATCAACATAGGATTTATACACCCCTAAACAGACTTCTCTCCCAAGTACAACCTAGCCATCAACCTCTTTTATAAGGAGTAGAGAACAGGTAATAATCAGTGCTTATTACACCCCCCATCTTTTGGACAGTACAAAGAGAAGAGTAAGACCTATATTTTCTTTTGCCTACAAAAAACACAAGTTTTTATTAGACATTCCCCACCCCCACCCCAAAAGTTGACCTAGTGCTTTGTAGAAGCACAACAGGTTGCCTACCAAGCATGGTGAGCTGAAGCAAGCCTCTAAATTGCCTAATTTCAAAATCAGCTGGGGTCCTTCAGGCTACCTCGCCCAACATTGCCCCATCACTGCAGAGAATCTGGAGCTGTATCACTCCCAGCAAGTAGCTATCTGCTCATCCAGTAAGCAAAAGCCCAGCACCCCTCAAGGCAATTGTTTCCACTGTCAGATTGCTCTTACCTTTAAAGAAGTTTCTCCTAAGGTTTAACCGCAATCCACCCTCCTGTAACAGCCTGGTTTTTTCCTAGCCCTTATTCTGTATTTCAGATGAAAAAAGCAGGGAAACCTGGCCAATGTATTTTTGTAATGCAAACCGCACACACACGCCTTCCAGAATGCTGCTATGTTTGCATGTCAGATTATGTAATTCCTGTCTGATACAAAGCAAGAGTTGCTTTTGACCATGTGGTCCTTCTACTTGCTTTCTAGGAAAAAACTGTTGGAACTGGCCTTTATTCTCTTGTTGCATGCAAGGGCATCAAAACACTTCACAAGGATTCTGCTATAGACCAAAGAGCATAGCAGTTATCACTGGACCCTGATAGAATGATGTGCCTCTTCTAATAGTGCAGGTCATCTTAACTGATCCTGCAAACCGCATGGCTGTGTTAGCTGGAGCAGCTAACAGCACCAGACTGGGGAAGCTGTGAAATGCTTAGCAGATAAACTGTGTTGATGTACTTCCACAGTAGCTTAGCAAGAATGCATAGATAGATAGATATGTGTTTATAACTAAAGGGCCTAGCATTGCTAACTAATCAGGATTATGTGTTACCAGAAGCATCCAGGCAAAAGCTGTTGTTGGGGTGGAGGTGAGTGTATGCTAAATCTCACTACCACTCATGGTTTCAGGTTTAAAACAGAAAAGCTGCCCTCTTGTCATTTGAGCTACCTTCATCAATCCTTATGACTTTTTTAACACTGAAGCTGTGAGACCCACATAATACTGTTATTTCCTTATGGATATGTTCTGTTTCTTAGAATCGCACAGAAGCTTGTCTTCTGTTCAACCCCTTATCTACTTGATGTGTGTCATTATATAATTAATTTATGTACTGCCAAAGTGGCTTCTACACATAACTAATGCCACTTTCCTATCATAGCATCCTCAAAAGGTGTGCAACTGTGCCCTTGATCATATTTACTCAGAGTCTACTTGGCCCTTCGATATAGTTGAGAAACCACCTGTATTTTATATAGCTTGGGGAACTGCTCAAGCTGAACACAGCATTAGCCCACTCCTCTTGGGATTTAGGATGAAGACAAATGCTTCTCCCTCCAGGAGTGAGATTGGGTTTTTCTGCTATGGGACAAACCCCGTTTTTCCTCCTGCCACACTGACTTCTCCACTGACATACAAATCTGCGGCCAGTATGAATTTTTGCAGCTTCTCGCTCCCCTTTTCGGGCACAACTTAGCTTTTGCCAGTTCCCCAATTGCCTTTATGTCTTATATTTCTAAATGTTTATTTGGTGCCATCCTTAAATGGACATTATTGCTATGGCCAGGCCCAAATGAAAAGTGATGGGCCAGCTGTTGTGGCAATCAGCACTCTCCACAGATAGCTGGAAGGGAGGTGGGAAGGACACAGCTTCCTGCTTATGTTAAGTACTAGCTTATCGGAACTCCGCACAGCCAGCTTGCCCTGAAAATAAAAGGCAGGTAGGAAAGAAACCCTGATTGCTCCTACATTAATTTCAGTTTAGAAATTTTCATTACTCAGCACTCTGCCCATGTGTTTTCAGCCTGAAGTTTGGTAAAAGCCTAGATGAAGGCACTATTTTATGAGATACTGTATCCATACCAGGAAGGCTGTCCCTCCAGAGTACAACTGTTACTGCTGGCAACTACAGATAACTATTTACTATAAATAACTAGTCAGCAATATTAATGTTAAGCAAATGTAACAAATTCTGACCTCTATTACTTTACCCAAGTAGTCATGAGATTTCCTGTATGGGCTAGTCTATATATTGCAGTAGAATGAGGCAATCACATAGAACGTTCCACTTCAGAGTAAAGATGGGTATGTATGCCATTTTTTAAAATACCCTTTGCAAATTAAAATAAAAACTGGCATAGCAGGGAGAGAAATCCCACCTTTATTCCTCTGCTAGTTTTCTACTAACAATATGGACGGGAAAATGCAAGGCTGTCCATTGTACCATCTCAGAACTTGAGCTGCTTATACTACCTTGTCTTACTGCACGTGGGGATCAGGTGCAGAAACGTGGAAAGATTTTCCTCGCCCTTTTTGACCATATTAACCCACTGGGCATTGCAGCAGCATGTGAGTTAAAACCTGCAGAACAAGAGCCAAGCACCCCTTGTTTGCTTTACAATGGAAGAAAATGAAGTTTATTTGAAGCAGGGCTCATCAAGGCCCTGTAAGCTCTATTTCAAGATTGGGGCACATTCTCTGAGACAATGGGTGTCTCTGAACATGTACAGAATGCTTTCCCTTGCCACTTAACAAGCAGCCCTGCCACACCTGGGAGTTAGGCTAAGCAAGCACGACCGTGCTGGCCAGACAATATTCATTCTCTCTAGAAAATTACGTGTTGTAGAATGGGAATGAGTTCCAACAGTGATACATACTAGCAGAGCTAAGCAGTTCCATTAGAAAACCAACTCTGAGCACTGTAAAGTAGACTCTTCTCCCATCTTTCAACACGGCAGCCTTTGTTGTTAAATACTTAACCTGACAGGGCAAGCCCATGCATGTTCACGCTGAAGTAATTCCCACTAAGCAAAATGGGGCTTACTTGCTAGTAAGCTTGGTTAGGATTGCAGCCTCTCATTTAAATAAACATCAATTTCCCCCTCTGTCTTTTTCTACTGCACAGGCTCCTTTTGCAGCCAACGCCAAACCACTTTTTACAGTGTGATAAACGAAAAATTAAACCTTCCCAACCCAGGAAAGGGAAAAACAACAGCATAGGGTCTCCTACTACCCTTATCAAAGAAAGAATCCATAGATACACTCCCCCCCTCAAATATAATATAATTACATAAACACTGATAGAACTATGACAGTATCATGGCACAGCTTTCTAAAGGAACACCCAGAAACTATTTTTCCTTGATGGTGGAGGGGGAAGAGATGAACTGCATAGGCTTTTGTTTTTTTCCAAAAAGCTGAATATAAAATACCAAAAGTCAAGAAGCCCTCTTTCTCCCTCTGCATACTGAAAGGTACCCCCACCCCTGCCCTCAGGAGAGAACCAATTGACCAGGATAGGAATTTTGAAGTCTCCATGCTTCCCCTCGTAACAAAAAGAAGCGTCACTCATCCCAAGTTGCTCTCCTTTCCAACACTGCTTTTCTCCGTCTGCCTTTTGTCAGTCTGAGGTGCAGAACTTGAGGTAGCCAGTGAGCAAGGCTGCAGCATGCAGGAGGGGTTAAGGGACCGGCTCCCCATGCACGCGGAAACGGTAAATACAGGTGTACTCTGGGTGGCCCCAGTTGCTGAGAACTCTAAGCTCAATAAGCTGGAAAGCTGCAATCCTGCCTTCATCCTGAGGATGTGAAAAAAGGGGAAGCAGGGAGGGGAAAGGGAAGAGAGAAAGGCGAAATATTGAGGGCCAGAGAAGCATCAAGCTTGTTTCTTTGGAGACAGAGGGCTGCCATGCCACCGCCTCTACCACCACCCTCTTCTGTGAGATGCTCTGGCACTGCTCACAATCCCAGGTACCACCTTCCCACTCTTAACAAGATGTACAGCCCTGAGCTGAGCTGTTGATGTGTATTGCAATAACCCCACTTTATTCCTGCCGCCACCACAGGTAATATTTATCTGACTACTCCACGCCTAGCATCACCAAATATTAGGCATGTGCTGCAATACAATTTATTCAATTTAAATAACAAACAAGAGTCCTATGATGACTTGAGGTACAAAAATGAAGTCCCTCTTGATCCTATTTGTTACACATACAACTATGGCTAGTGTAATGCTGATCCTATTCTACTGCTTCATTTCTAACCAGCACATGTTGCATTGCTTCCTACTAATATCCTGTAACTTTTTATACATAATTTTATACAATATTTTTTTGGGGGGGGGTTTGTCCTGCTGGACTAGAACTCCAACCATCCCTGCCCACTGGCCTTCCTGATGCAGCAGCTGATAGGAGTTGGAGTTCAGCAGCAACTGGAGGGCTGCAGCTTCTCCATCCCTGGCTTAAAACCCAACCAAAGCTTCCCTTTCCCCAAAGAGTTAGAGCATTTGCATGCATGAGGTCCCAGGCTCAATCTCTGGCATCTTCAGGTAGGGCTGAGAGAGGGCCCCTGCCCTACCTAAAACCCTGGAGACCAGCTGCCCATCAGTGTAGACAATACTGAACTAGATGGACCAAGTCACCTGATTCAGTCTGAGGTAGCTTCCTAAAAGCTACCACACTCTCCAGTTCTACCTTGGCTAGGGTTTCGACCCACCACCACCCTTCAAACCTTGCCCCTTTTCCTTCCTTACCTGCAAGTGGAATGTTTGGATGGGATCCCCATCCTGGCTGTACGTGAACTGGCCAAGGAGAGTGCCCTCTTGCTGCCCTTCTTCTGTTAAGCCCTGTGGAAACAAAAACAGGTTGGGGAGGCGGGAGGGGGGTGAGAGAATGGGGAGGGGAGGGCCGTGGGGAGATCAGAGCAACCGCAGGATTAGAGAGGGGGGAGGGACACAAGTGCGGTTAAAGGCCAGTCTTGTGGCTGCATGCCAAAATGAAACACACAGGGCTATGAGGAGGTAAGGGACAAACGGGAGCAGTAGAGGGATGGGGAAAGAAGGCTGATGGTAGTTATGAACGTCAATGCCTCTTCCTCCTTTCCCAAAGAGAGGTGCAATTTTGGAATCTCACACCTGGGACCCGTCATTTGTTAAGGGTGCTGAGAGTGGGGTAACTACGATCCCCAGGATTTTTGAGAAAAGCCATGTGCTGTAAAAGAGTGATGTGAATGCAGTGCCTTATACTGTCTCAATTCATTCTTTCCCTCTTGAATACCCTGGGAATTGCAGTTCTGCAGGATGGTTCTCGGGCTCCAAATGAAATTTCAAGACATTCATACTACAGTTCCCAGGATTCTTAGGGAGGTGGGGAAGCTGCAGCAGTGTAATAAGTTGGACAAAGACTAACATCAGTGTGCATCATACCTTCAGTCTTGGTTGTACCAACCCAAACTTCATCATTAATGATCCCAAGGTTTCTAACAAATGGCTCCTTTCACCCCAGACTCTTGGGTTGCCTGGTGCATCTGTATTCACACTGCACATCAGCCTTGGCCAACATGGGGCTCTTTGGACTACTACTCCCATCAGCCTCAGCCAGCACAACTGACGGCAGTTGTGGTCCAAAACACTTGGAGGACACCAGGTGGGTGAAAGCTGATGTATATGATTGAACTGAGAGCCAGTGTGGTGTAGTGTCAGACTAGGACGTGGGAAACCAGGGTTCAAATCCCCCAGGCCATGAAGCTTACTGGGAAGTACCGTTTGCTAAAGATGCTGAGCAACAATCAGTCCCTTTTCCCAGGGAAATCTGTCAACAGTAGCTCTGTAAGGTTAGTAGGGGCCTCCTCTCAGCACACTTCACAAACTACAGTTCCCAGGAGTCTTTGGGGGGAAGCCATGACTGTGTAAAGTGGAATAATATTGGTTTAAATGTATATTGTGCAGATGGGGCCTTAAATAGCTGTGCATCTGATGACCCAGTTGGGCAAATTTATGAAGGGCATCTTGCTGTACTTTTGAGAGAGAGAGAGAGAGAAATCTGAGAAAACTCTTCTGGTGGAAAAGCCCTGGATGCTATTGGAACCCCTGCTAGCAAATTGTGGGAGAAGCTTCCCTCTTCTGACTGAGAATGGGAAATTATCTCCAGTGTGCCTCTTTCAAGCTTGCCCAATCTACGACATCTCCCCCCCCCCCAGTCCCAAACAAAGAGTGACTTACATAGACCGCAAAGTCCTTGGGGGCGCTGGGAATGGTCCCTTTGGGAGAGAGGGCTTTGGAGATGTGTTCTAGCGTCACAGCTGTGGGACGGATGTTGCTCGAAAGGCGAATGACAGCAAAGCCTTGGGAGCCTTGGAATGCCCAGCAGTTCCCAGGGTGGACATCTGGCTGAAATTAAATCAAACACACAGAGTTTTAGGTAAGAGACTGCCATATGTTAGACTTAACCATTCTGAAAGCAGAGATGATGCTCCAATATGCAAAGACCAAGAGGGAAAAAACAATGATCTCTGGGTTGGTACTTGTACACAAATTTAACACAGCCCTTGGCACCTTGTGGTACTGTTATCGTATTCCATATAAAACAGGGCAAAGGGACTTTTAAACATTTGTTAATAAGTATTTAACAAATCACCTGGCAGGTGACTAGGAATTCCATGCAGGTCAGGGAGCAGATTGCTCCATCTGTAATATACATTTCGCCTTCATTTCCAAGGAGTTCAAGGTGGAAAGACATGCTGTAATTGACACGGGAATGCGGCTGAATATGGCAATCAGTTCTGTCACGTGCTTTCTCTCTTCCCCTTATAATGTAGAATATGGCGCATCCTTGTGATGAAGTCATGTGGACCCCTGTTCCTTACTGCACTCACTAACTCTCTGCTTCCTACAAGGTGGTTTTATTTTTACTGCCACAGTTCTGTTTAATTTTTTACATCAATATCCTGCTTTCCTTCCATCTTGGAACCCAAAGTGCCATACATGTAGTTTCTGGGCAGACAGCCATCCAGGTATAGATCAGAGCCAGATCTGCTTAGCTTTAGCAAGGTGCCTTCAGACCACACACCGGGGCAATAGTTGCAAAAGAACCCAAGGCAAAAAGCAAGAGTTTCTCAGGAAGGTAAACTGCCAGGTTCCAGATTCTGTCTAGTGGGGAGTTTATGCAAAGGCTTGATACTCTTTGTCTGAGCATGTAATAGCACACACAGCATATTTTCTCCAGCTCAACATTTGAGACCGCTATATTGATACCTACTTGCATATGAAGTTTACTGGGCCAGTCACACACACTCTCTGTCCCAGCTTACTTTATAGAGTAGTTGTGGATATTGTCAATACACACCAACCTTCTAGGATGAATGTCTAAATAAAAAGGTAATCTGCTGGGTGAGGTATTGTGGATTTGAACCAGACACTTCGGGGAGAATTGGATAACGAAGAAAAGGTAGGGCAGGGCCATTGTACCTTTAAGAAAACCTTCCTACCTGCAGAATGACTCGTGGAGACTGGGAGTGGTACCACAGGGGGATCCCAAAGAGACTAAGCAATGCAGTCTTGGTCTCATATGTTTCTGAGCACCGGGTGCTGATAACGCTGGCCCCTGCAGTTAAAAAGATATGGGTGAAGGAGAGACACATTGTTTTGCCCTCTGCTCAAAGCAGTAAGAGAGCTCATGCAGACAGCTGATAAATCTAAGAGATTTGAACACTCCCTTTAACATTCCCCACTCCAACAATAAGATATTCCCAAACTGCAACTGGGTTATTCAGTGCATATTTGCATGCATTATTCTGAATGGGCAATTCGGGGTTTAGGGACTTTTCTTGGGAGAGGGCAGAAGCTGAATCTTGTGGGAGAGACTGAAGAGACAAAAATTGCTGAAATTTGAGAAACAAATAGGTGTGGATATGCAGAAAAACCTTTCTGGTTTTTCAGTTAATAACAGAAACTGGCAACAAAGTTTTGGGTTATTCTTTGCCACCATGAGGGCAAGAAGCATGATTGTTGTTGTTGTTGTTTTTAATGTGAAATAGAATATTCTCAGACAATTCCTTCGTGCAGCAGTTTGACCAGTAATCAACAACATGCCAATTCTAGCTCACGGGCCACCTTTCTTGACAGCTATCAGGACAGAAAGACCAGCCTAGCCAGAGTTTGCATACCTGCAGATTCAAGAGCATAATCAACCATTCCAATGCGATCGTCGCTGTAGCGCTTCAGGGCCCGGTTGACAATGTGGTGAACTTGCTGAAACAAGACAAAGGGAATGAATGTAAGGCGGGAACTCAGGATTCCAAAACTTATTTTCCAGTTTTGTTCTATTCTGTTAGGCTAGAGGTAAACCGTGCAAATGGCAAGGCTACCTGAGGAATTAAGGTATAGCTCTGCTGGTGCAAATCCTGAGACCGGTTGCATATCAGTGGTGCATCAACAGACCACTAAGACATGAGACCTGCACTGTATGGACTGGTGGGACTGCTGTGCCAAAAATTTGCCTGGGAACATCATGCCACATTTTTACTCGGTTGAAGAGGCATAGGGTGATATTAAAAGTTAGTGTCATTAATTTCAGTGAGTAGACCCACTGAAATTAATGGACACAACTTAAGTCATATTTATTAGTTTCAGTGGGTCTATTCTGAGTGAACTTAGTTGCATATTACCCATAAATTGTGACTTAACCATTCCTTCCTGCCTTACACACTACATTGTTAGTGACATCCTGAAAAATAAGGAACTGTCAAACCCTGCAGAGCTGATCACTATTTTGCCAATAAACGATACTGCCTAGGATAAGAGTTGAGGCTTAATATCCAGCAGGCAAATATATTAGCAAAGTTAAGAGTTATTACTGTGTCAGGGAGCAAAGGGATGGCTGAGGGTGCCACCTAATGGATGGCTGCTGATATGCCACTCAAAATATCGCTTGCACTGTTGTCAAAGGTATAGAATCAATCGTAGAGCTGGAACAGATCCCAAGGGACATCAAGTCCAGCTCCCGGCAATGCAGGAATCTCAACTAAAGCATCCATGACAATTGGCCATCCAACCTCTGCTTAAAAACCTCCAAGGAAGAAGAGTCCACCACCTTCTGAAGGAGACCATTCCACTGTCGAATAGCTCTCACTGTTAGAAAGTTTTTCTGTACGTTTAGTTGGATTCTCCTTTCTTGTAACTTTAAGCCATTGGTTTGAGTCCTACCCTCCAGAGCAGGAGAAAACAAGCTTGTTCCCTCTTCCATGTGACAGCCCTTGAGATATTTGAAGGTGGCTATTGTATCTCCTCTCAGTCTCTTCTTTTCCAAGGTAAACATACACAGCTCCTTCAACCACTCCTCATAAGGCTTTGTTTCCAGACCCTTGATCATCTTGGTTGCCCTCCTCTGCACACCTTCCAGCTTGTCAACATCCTACTTAAATTGTGGTGCCCAGAATTGGACACAGTATTCCAGGTGTGGTCTGATCAAGGCAGAATAGTACTAGAACTTCCCTTGATCTGGACACTATACTTCTGTTGATGTAGCCTGGAATAGCGTTAGCTATTAATTCTCACAGACTGAGAATTAAGAACAGGATGCCACTGAGCACGTGTTCAGTCTAGGACAAAAATTCACTCCTAGTTTCCCACAAAGCTTTCTTCATTTCTTCAGCCAAATTTAGTGGGGGTGAGGTACCCTTTTCATTGTTGCTCCTCAATATTACTTTCACATTCCAGACCTCTAAATACACACACACAAAAGTAACATTCTACATCACCATCTTAGCATCATTCTTGGAAATGCCTTTGTGAGGAACCACATCAGCCAATTGGTAAGCGAATTCTCACCTCTTCCGTTACTCCTATGACGCCCTCCCTTTGGAGTACCACCCCGACATCTCGCGCAGAGAGCCGCTGGTCCTCAGAGACTTTGGCAAGGATCTTCTGCTCCAGGTTGAGGAGCTGTTCCTCTAATTCTTCACGATGGAGAAACAGACTGCCTGTCCCGTCCCTTTTAGCCTGGGATAGGAATCGGCTGAGCCACATTGGAAACTGTATTTCCACCTGAAATCCAACAAAGAGAAGAACAGGTTTCATAAACACTTTTCCTCCTGTGAATTGCAGACCTTCTATGGAGAGAACGTAAATAGATTACTGAGAACAAGCAACAGCTGCCCTGGGCTCCCTTGGGAGGAAAGAGGGGTATACATTTGTTAAATAACAGCAACAGCAGTGCTTCCACCTTGGAAGATTTGATCTAAGGGGCATGATGGGTGGGGCAGAGATACTTAACAAAAATGTTTGTAGCTTTTCATCTTTTGACATCTTTTAATTTTGACATTTTGCTGATCCGTGGGCTGGACACTGACCTTTCCCACCCCTTGCAGGCCACTTTGTCAGATATGTGGGGCTGCCTACCTGTCATTTACCTGATGTCATTGTGACAACAGGCGACAAATTTAATAAATATTTGGAATGCATTTGTCGAAACCATAGTGACACATGAATCAACATATACTTGAGGGAAACAATAAGCTTATATAGTTTTGTAATCTTAATTATATTGTATGCTTATTTTGTTTCTGCTGCTTTCCTCTGCTTTTAAAAATGTTTCTGATGTATCCTCTCCTTTTTCTATTCTTTTTTAATTGTTTATTTACTTTAATTTACTATAATAATATCAATAAAATATAAATAAATTTATTTATATCATCGCCCATCAGTAATGCACTTTAATCTCCAGACTGTTCCTTTGCAGCCATGTTCTTACCTGCCACACATATGACACACCTCAGATGTCAGGGGAGATTAAGTGTGGTTTGGGGAAAACAGCCTTGCAGGAAAAATTAGGACGTCCGACAGACTTAATTTGGCCCTGAGGCTCTCCATGCCTGGTTCATGTCTATTCCTACATAGAAAGGAGCAGACCTCCAGTTCCCTGGCTGTACTACACTAGAAATAAAAGCTTTCCAAGAAAGGCTTAGCTATGAAGGTCACTGGGAGACCTTGGACTGGAATAACAGGTTTATTGCAAGACTTAAAATGCAGAGATGAGAAACCATGTATATCAGCCTGAGCTGGAGGAAAGGTGTTAAATAAATGATATATAAAAGAAAATGAACTTACATCTTCCCGCATGTCCTTGATCTGTCCTGGCAAAGAATCCACGTGTTTTGACAACCTTTTCTGATCCGAGGCCAAGACCACGAATTCTTTTTTTAGGCCTGTCAGTTGCGCTTCCAGCCTTTCCATCTCCTTTTGGAAATTACCCATCAGACCTTCTTGTGTAGAGCTTCAAAAGCAAAATGAAAATTCAGGTGCTTCAGAGTCGGTGGTATCTTTAATTACCTCCACTAAAAATGTTCTACAAAAACTATGTTTGGCTGTGAAGATCAGTCAACAGCCACCCCATGAAAATTAACCCATACCAGACAGCCTAATCCAAGCTATGTACCACACCATACATTTAAAGCACATTCAATGTATATTTAAAGCACATGCATTTCATCAAAGAAGCCTGGGAACTGTAGCTTAAGGGTGCTGCGAACTGTAGCTCTACAAGGTGGTGAAACTTTTGGACTTTTGGAGAAAGTTGTGCTTTAAATGTGTGTGAATGTGATTTAAATGGTGTGGATCTGCTCTGATTTCCAATATGTCTTGTTTGCTGTTGAGCTCCTGGGTGTCTCTTTGTGAGACTGTGGCTGCAGAGAGGGATAGAAAAAATCAAATGAATAGGTAAGATGTTCTGAATGTAGGTAATAGGGCAGCAAGTGACTATGCCTCTTTATAAGTACTTGCCATCAAAAAATAGCACATAGTTCCTACTTGATCTTTTACTGCAACAGGACTTAAGAAAAAGCACTTTCTTAAAAGCACAATGGTGCAAACTGCAAATGAATTAAAAACAATGATGTGCAACCCCCCCTCCAATCTCCTAAAACCATATTTCAGCCACTAATTACAGGTTTCTGGGCCAAACAATCAGGTTTGACTTGTAATATAAGCAAGTATTACAAGCACTGAACATGCATCTTACCAGCTCATTATATGTCAGCATCACTACTTAAAAGGTGATAAATTGTATGAACAGCATTGACAGAAATTCTCAGGTTATTCATGCACCCTGTTATTCCAAGAATACGTAAGTTTCACTTTCAAGTTAAGAACAATGTCACTTTAAACACAATTCTCTCAGGTTACATGCATTCCCGGCCCTCCTGCTATTGTAAGACAGAAACTGCCATAGCAGACAACTCTTTCTTGAGGATGCTCAAATTACCTTTGCCACTGTGAAGTCATTTGGAGCATCCGAGTTTCTGTCTCCTGTGGGAGAAACAGGACACAGGTCAGGAAATAGAAACAAAGCAGAATAAAATCCATTGCTTGTGCAGCACCGTGTGTGTATCTAGAACTGGAGGAGCACAACACGCAACAGCAAGGGATGGATGGATGAATCATAACAGAATTTGGACCATTCACTACTTCTTTTTCCACTTCTCAGTAGGTGAGCAGGGGTTAAAGCCATCTGCAAAAGTGCTCTTTGAAGAAGCGCCATGCTTCTCATTTGAGTGAGTGAGCAGGCAGGCAGTAGGATAGAGCAGAAAGGAGCCTCCTCTCTCCAACTCACCACCGGCTACATAGGGGAGAAGCAAGAGGCTGCTTCAAAGACTGCTTTTGCAAAGTGCTTCAAGACAGACCTTCCTCACCGCCTGCACTTCTGTTTCAGCCTCTGGAGAGAACAGGATGTACAGCCAATGCAGGACTAAGCCTTGTCCTTCTGCCCATCAGCTGACTTCATGCTCCCCCACTGAGTTAGGGCCCCCCCCCCTAGAAGTTTGGCTTGCATGTCTCATTTAATTAAATAGCGCTAAGCACGTGCTTAAACCTCCCCCCCCTTAAATTAGTGGGAGATGTGCTTAAGATCAGCGGCATCACACCTAGTAATGTTTCAAGATGCAGTGAAACAGAATTGAAATAATCAAAGTAAATGTTATACATATTTTACTCAAAAGTGAAAACTGTAAATATTCTATTTGGATTAAAAATGGGAAAACCACATTACAACTACAAGAGCTGCTAAGACAGTGGTTTCAGCTACATGTAACAAGAAACCATGGTTTAGTGCAACATGAAAAAGTTCCAGGAAGTTCAAGCACAGGTTCAGGCACTTCCTCCTCCTGTGCAGTCAGGAGGACGACTTCTGGGAAGGACCACAGCTCAGACACAGAGCAGCTGCTTAGCATGAAGAGGATCCCAGCTTCAGTCTCTATCATCCCCCAATAGGGATGGAAGAGACCCCTTGTCTGAAACTCTGGAGAGCTACTGCTAGTGTTGACAGCACTGAGCTAGATTGGGCAACTGTCTGACTTGGTACGGGCAGCTTCCTATGTTATTCTGCAGAGTAATTTCAATTTCAAAGAAATGTCATCTTGTAGTGTTGTATGAGCAAGGATTCTTGGCTTACACCAAACTCTGGTGAATGTCACAAGAAACCACCAAGAAGCTTCAAACCACGGTTTTTGAAGCTGGCTTGTTTAACCAACCAGGAATTGCTTTAAGCCAGGATCCTTGGTTTGTATGCTACAACAAGCCAATATTCTTTGAAAATGAATGCAGGTGGTATGACAGCCTTCCCTAAACACTGCATCCTTAAAATATATAGTCAAGTTTTACCTCTGAAGCCTGGGATACTTTCTTCAAGAGACTGTCAAAATCCTTCCGTAGCTGGGATCGAAAAGCATCCAACTCCTTCTGTAGGGAGACAAGTAGTATATAGCTTTAAAAACAACCACAAGTTTGATAACTGATTAATAGTTTGGTTTTGAATTTGTTAATCAAACAAACCAATGAACCAAAATATTGACATATTGCAAAACTGCAATTAAAGCTCCGGCAAGTAATTTTTGTGCCATTACTTACAGATAAATTGCGTAACAATCTGTTTTTTCAAGCATTTGCCCTCTATGTTGTTGTTCTGGTAGAAACCTCCCCTTAAGATCCCACATGTTGCTGCTATTTGCTGCAAACAGCAGCTTCAGGAGATCATTTTTAGGTGTAAAAATGGTGCAGAGGAAAGGCTTGACCCTTCTCCCATCCCATGATCCTGATCAAGACTGAGCAAACTGCAATTGCTATTTTTAAGCAAGGGTAGGGAGCAACATGCAGAAGGAAGACATGTTTAATGTCAATGTCAGGGTTGCCCCTGAGTGAGTGCCCTAGAGCCATTTCTCAGAAACCTCTGAAAAACAAGGATTGCAGACAAGTTAAATGGTTTCCTGAAGCAAGAGCGTTGCAGGGTTTCATCAGGAAGCTACAGGACACGCACCGATTGGAAACAAAGTAGTATGTTCACTCCAAATCTTTTGCTGGCCCAAGCAACATAGAAAGTGAGATTGTGTATAACCACCCTGATACCATGAGCACAAATCGTCATGAATGCAAAAAAGGGATCCAGGCTCTGTTCATACCCAAATTTGAGGAGTGTTCAAAACTGGAAATTAAGTAGTTATGTGCACAAGTCAACATGCTTGCAGCCCTAAAGTCAATTCTCCCCCTTGATGCCAAAATGTCCCCTTCATTCTCTGTTCCTGCCCTACCTGGAGGTGAAGGTCTGACTCTGCACGGAACTCCTCTCTCAAGATGGTTTCTCGTCGTCTCACCAGCCCATCCAGAAGCGACAGGGTATCGTCATGAGATAGAGCTGCCCCTTCCACTGTCTTTTCCCCTCTTTGCAGTTCCAGCACTGAAACTGCACCTTCCAGGCTCTCAAGATGTCTCTCCAGTGCCTGAAGCCGAGACAAAACCTGCTGCTGTCCCTTTTAAATCCAGGGCAGGGGGGGAGAGAGAGATACAGCTACATAAGGCTACTATCGCCATAATTTATTAGAAAGAATCTAAAATGAATCATGTAAAATGCTCTCTGCACCCCTAACAAACTGCAGCTCCCAGAATTATTTCCTTTAAATGTATCCTAGGCTTCAGATACAACAAGGCTCTTTCTTTGTTCCTGGAATCATACAGTTGGAAGGGACCATGAGCATCATCTCTTCCAACCCCCTGCAATGTGGGAATCTTTTGCCCAAAGTTTGGCTTGAACCCACAACCATGAGATTAAGAGTCTCATGCTCTACTGACTGAGCTACCCCTTGGATTCTTAACCCACCATAAAAAAGATAAAGTACCCCTGACAGTTAAGTGCAGTTAACGACTCTGGGGTTGTGGTGCTCATCTCACTTTACTGGCCGAGGGAACAGACGTTTATCCGCAGACAGTTTTTCTGGGTCATGTGGCCAGCATGACTAAGCTGCTTCTGGTGAAACCAGAGCAGCGCATGGAAACACCATTTACCTTCCTGCCAGAGAAGGTATTTATCTACTTTCACTTTTTTGGCATGCTTTCGAACTGCTAGGTTGGCAGGAGCTAGGACCAAACAACAGGAGCTCACCCCGTCATGGGGATTCGAACTGCGACCTTCCGGTTGGCAAGCCCTAGGCTTAGTGGTTTAGACCACAGCGCCACCCACCATAGTTCCCATTAGAATTTTATGACCATCTTAACCCCAGGTTACAGCTCAGAAGCAGCCAACAGCAAAGTATATGGCTCTGCATGAATCCACCTATGTTTACAAGAATATAATTATATCCCTGTGAAGCAAAGAGGGAACTCCCTAGCTCAGCTGAGCCTGAGGGGTGAGCAGAAATGTTGCAGGGTGTCTCCTACTCATGAACCTCTGAGATCCACATAGTACTCACCTCTGAGAATGCAACAAAATCTCTTGCTTCATCTCCCTTTTTGGTAACAGGAGAAGACAGCTTCATAGATCCCCAAGAAAACACAGATGGGTGGAGTCCGAAGGGGTAAAAATACCAGGCACCTAAATGTGATTAGTGAGGAGAGTTCAGTTACAGTTGGGTTTATCCGATGGGTCTTTACCCGGCTATTCTGTCAGAGCAGATGTCCAGTCTGACTTACAAAAATCTAGTTAAATATAAACTTCAGCGTATACACCAATATTCAAATGAGGGTTTACATGGGTAGGCTGATTTATACAACTCAACCTCATAACACCAGAATATACGGCCACTCAATGAAACGGATTGGCACCACAGTCAGCTCAGGATGGACAGAAGGAAGAACTTCACACAAATTAATTTGGGGAATTCACCATAAGATGTGGGAATGGACACCAGTTTTGGAAGCAGTCATGGTTCTTCTAGCTCAACGCTGCCTCCCATGGCAAACCAATCCTTGCCAGCCCCAGCCAGCATGGCCAATGCTCAGGGATGGGGGGAAGGTATAGTTCAGTAGCATCTAGAGAGCCCTAACTCTGGCCTTCCCCCACCTGTCCTGGAGATGCCGGTGGCTGAACCTGAGACCTTCTGAATGCAAAACATGTGGACCCCTACTGAGCTACAGCCTCTCCCCAGAAGGGGAATTTTAAAAAAATTAAGAGATCAGACAGAATTTTGGAGGATATTACTAACAAGAACTACCAGCAGAGGTAGCAAAATTGGAACCTCAGTGTTCAGATGCAGGCAGATAAAACACAGGGACTAATAACTGCCATCTGCTAACTTCCAGAGGCATCTGGTTGGCTGCTTCAGGAGGAGGAATGGTGGGTGGTCTGATCCTGCAGAGCAGTCCTTATTACACTAACAGTTCTCCCCTTCCTGAAAGGAAGTTGGTGAATAACTAATCATTAAGCAGCACTTATTGATGGGCAGGAGGACCTTGACAGCAATATGGAACTCACCATAGCCAATGGCAGTCAGGAGCAGCAACAGGAGCAGCAGCAACAGGAGCTTCTTCAGGATTGGATAGCTCCTGGGCACCAAAGAGCAAGAGAGAAAGGGAGTGGATAAGATGCACTGGAATTCCACAAAGGCAAAATTTGACAAAGAAGCGGAGCAGCCACTGTCTGTGGTCAATTTGCCCTTCCTCATAATGTCTACCATTAGGGTGGGAAAATCTTTTTGCAGCCTGAGAGCCACATTTCATTCTGGGCAACCTTCTGGGGGCCCCACATGCCAGTGGTGGACAGGGCAAAAGGCAAAAGCAGGGAAAACAATAGATTTACCTTTGTACAATGTGCTAAATTTCTAAATATGTACTGCCACAACCCCCTCTAACCTCCATCCAGGGAAGCAAGAGGCATTATCCAAGTATCGGGGTGCAAAGTAGAGAGAGTGAGGGGTGGGGCCTGGGAGAGCTCTGAGGGCCACACAGTGAAGCACAGAGGGGCACATTCAGACCCCAGGCCTGTGGTCCCCCACCCCTGGTCTACCACAATGCAACATGTAGCAAGTAATTATTGCACTGCCCCTCTCTGAGACTGAGATTACTAACCTCTGGACTACCACAACACAATGTGTCAGCCATCAGGCTGTGGGCTTTCCCACTCCACAATGCAAAAGGAGACGGGGAAATATGCAACATGACATCTTCGCACAACACTTTGTGCTATGGTTGCCATTAGTGAGAAGAGGAACCAAAGAGAGCTAGATGGTCAGCAGCAGTTGCAAGTCTCTTGCAACCTGTAGCTCCAATCTCAGCCCCAGATACTGGGTTGCATATGGTGACCCCTTAGTTCACCTGTCCCCAACCTGTTGTCGTCGTCCTCCCAATGCTGTTGGGACTCCAAACTCCCATCAGCCCCAGCCAGCATGGCCGACAGTCAGGGATGATAGGATTTGTAGTCCAGCATCAACCATGGGAGAGGCCATTCCAGCAAATAAGGGGCAGGCTGTATGACATTAGAAAGACTGCACATATTTATTTTGTTTATTTTTCAAATGGCTAGCCCCCCTAATTTTCAAAAGAAGCTCAAGGCAGCTAACAAAGTCATCATTCCAACCACACAACATACACACTATTTATTATTAAATAAATAAACAAATAAATAAATAAATGTATATACACAGACTATAAAGTGTCATTCCAAGCTGAATAACAAAATTAAAATGGTAGCGCCACTGCAACCACATCAAAGTTAAAACATCAGATACAAACCAGAAAAAGAAAGAAAAATAGTCCAGCATGGCCAATTTTCAGGGAGTCAGAGTCTATCAACTCCTGGAGAGCAAGAGGCTCCCACTCCCTCCTCTAGGGCAAGCTTTGGAAACCCTGTCGGCATTTGCACTACTCAGCTCCCACCCAATTGCTGCCTCTCAACCAGTTCAGAAATTGCTGCCAGCCACATTCCTGAGCGTTCCAAATTCTCTGCCACACTGACCGTGTTAAGACGAAGACATCCAGCAGGGAGGCTGCAGTGGTCAGGCGGTACCACGCGGTCCCCATCCACCAGTATAGCAATCCAAAGACCCGACCTGCAAAGTCACCAGAGCAGCATGAAAAACAGCAACAGGCCATGTCAACAGTTCAGCTTGTTTCAAGATCTAAGACTTCATTTCCTGCTCTGGCAAAGTGGTATAATACCAGCTTCCCTTCACGCACTTCCCATCTCCCCAATGTAGCTCATCGGAAACAGGTCTTGGCATGCAACTTCCTTTATTCACTTGCCATGTAGGCAGATCTGGCAGCAGAAATGGCAACAGTCAGAGAAACCAGAACATCTAAATCTTCTGCTATGCTCCCACTGCTGTCCTAAAAAACTGCCCTTCTGTTACAGGAAATTCAGGAGGAGACTCCATTGTGAAAGGGTTGAATTATATAAAGAGATTTGATTCCAGCTCTTTAGGCACGAAGAAGACATTTGTGATGTGACAGGAAGCCAATTTGCTTAGCAATGCTAAGACAATAATGTTATCACTAACTACTCTTGTCACAAATAGTCACGTAATTGTATTGGCACAAAAAGATCTTCAAGAGACGTATGGAAGCCCAAAGGGAGGGTGTCTGCTGCATCTCTGCTGGCAGAGTGTTCCACAGCACTGGACCAGAAACACTAAATGCCTGATTTGTAGTTGAGGCCAGCCAGGCCTCTGTAATATGATGGACAACTAGTAGTTTGATCTCAGTGGGGATAGAAGGGCTCAGGCTGTCTTTTCATTTCCATTTGCTAACTTGCATAATGAAAATCACTCCTGTAAATAAAAACACTTATCGGCTTTTAGATTTACCTGGTGATGTAAGCACAAGCCACAGAAAAGAGCCTGCTTTGGAGATTGCATTCCTCAGCACGGAACCAGAAGTGTTCTGGTCTAAGTAGGTGTGACCTGAAGGAAACAGAGTATAGGTTTGTCAGCAAACAGGACAACACTTCTTCCTCCCTCCCTCACACACTTTGACTGTAAGGAAAAGACACTATTTCTTTATGATTCTATTTCCTTGGTTCCCAAAGCAGAAGAAACCTGTCCAAGGAAACAGAGGGGACTGATAAAGCATTTACCAACCTGCCTGAGTTTTAAGAAGTGCAAGGGAAGCTTTGGTGCTCGTCCCTGCACTTAGTGAGGAAGGGGGCACATGGGTGGGCCTTCCCTGTGCTGGCCTCACACCTTTGAAACAACCTCACTTCTCAGGCCCATCCAATCACAACACTGTTGTCATTTTTTCAGCAGGTGAAAACTCACCTTTTTGCCCTGATATGGAGTGAGGTGTCTTGGGCATCCAGTAGCATAGTGGCAAATTCAGAAGAGCAGGGTTCCTTCATTATAGTCATACCCATGCCCCCCCCACAGCCTCACCCCTTCAAATATTGTACAACCTTCTAAGATTATACAATAGTAATAAAAATTAGGGATGCCTTGCAACTCTCAGCGCAGACCTCCATGTGCTGCCCTTCAGCTAGAACTACTGTTTCCTGTGCACATAGCTCTCTCCTTTGGAGTGACTTAAGTTGTGGTTCCTGTGAAGTTCCATTGTGAAAAACAGAACTTGCACACCATTCTCTTCAAAATGAAGCAAAAATGTGCTTTCAGTGTTCCTTCAGTGTTCCTTTAGCATACAGCAGCTAAAAAGCTTCCCTTTCATGCCGATTGGTCAGCTCTAGGATGCTGGAGAGGCAGATCTGCTGCAGAAATAGCAACTGGTCTTGCCCCACCCCCACAGAACCCTAGAACACAAGACCAGTATGGGCATCTAAATTCTTGTCGCTGCAGCTCGCTTAATTGTAACTGGAATATTGCATTATGTTTCATGTCGTTCTTACTTTATTGTTTCTTTTTTTACGAAACTGAGCAGCCTTCCTGCAGCATGAGGTAATAGCGGGTGGGTGGGAGACTGATGCCAGAACCAAGGTTTGCCGGGGTGTGAGAGGAGCTGCAAATCTAGGATGACACTACAGGCAAAGGGCCCGTTGTGAAAGGGTTATCTCTGTTATCACCACAAGAGACCTCAAAGCAGTCTATGCTGCGGGACAGGGCTTGGTGCAAGAAGATTTTTTTTACAGGAGTTTTCTCCCCTGGGAGGTTTCTCATTACAGAGCATCATTGCTACTGCCTTGGGACAAAGAGCACTTCTGTACCTGCATAGTCATCCTCAGAGGAGTAACCAGATGATGAGGCGTAGGTGTCGTAGGTTTTCCTTTCAACCAGCCCATTGATTTTTTTACTGGACTCCGAGCCTCCAGTACCTCTCCTCCTCCTCGCTGACAACTCCTCACCTGGCCAGGAAAGAGGAACTTCTTTAGGAACACAGGAAGCTGCATTATCATACTGGATCAGACCATCAATCTCAGTATTGTCCACACCAGGGGTGGAGAACCAATGGCTCTTGAACCCAATCTGGCTTGCTAGACCTCCTGATTTGACCCATGAGACAGATTTGGGCAAGCTACGCCCACCAGATGTCAAATTAGCCATTACCTCCCTTAACTATAACCTGTAGCCAAGGTTTGTCCTACAACTACGGGCTGTGATTAAAGAGAAGAAACCTTAACCACAAACCTCAACTAAACTGTGGCTTGGCTGCCATCCTGCACAACTTAAAATACCTGGGGAAGAGCAAAGCGGATGCAAGCTCTTCTCCAGATGTTTTGGACTCCAACTCCCAGCAGCCTCAGCCAGCGCAGCCAATGGGCAGGAATGCTGGGATGCCCTAAACATCTGGAGGGCACCAGGTTGAGGAAGGCTGGTGTATTTAAATTCTTTTCCTACTTTGAAGGCCTTTGTTCTTCAAGCTAACAACACCACACACAACAATACCATGAAATTCACAGCATAACCATTTAGTATACCTAGAATCATAGAACTGTAGAGTTCAAAGGGACCACAAAGCTCACACAGTTCAACTCCCTGGAATGCAGGAATCTTTTGCCCAACGTGGGGCTTGAACCCACAACCCTGATTCTTATCAATATAAATAGAGCAGTCATAATATTATATAATTCTAACAGAAAAAGATACATATGATCTGCAGAGCAAGCAGATATAAATATTTCAGAATAAGTAAGAAGTAGCTGGGGAGGGTGCTAAGCAGCCATATAGAACCTCTCTACAGCTTATACTAGGTGGGAGACTGGTATTCCCCCCCCCATGTTGTTTGACTCCAACTCCCTTTAGCCTGGATGGCCAACGCCCAGGAATGGTGGGAGTTGGAGTCCACCAACATCTGGAGGGCAACAGATGCCCCAACCTCGGCTTAAGCAGAAAAGAAATACTCACTCCAGTAAGAATTGCGGTCTAGTGGATCATCCAAGAGGGCGCTGCTTCTGCCAGAAAGTCCCCTGCCATCTCCCAGGTAAGATTCGCTGACCACAGATTCGCTATAATAGGAGGTGGTATGGGCAGCAGGGTTGCTTCCCAGGCTAGGAGCCGGAGATGGCCGCTTCACACTGCTCGATTTCCTTCTCAGGCTCCGGCTGCAGGAGTAAAAAAAGGAACACATTGTCATGCCGATGTGTGTCAGTGTGATCGTGGTTAGAATGGTGGACTAAGAAATGGAAGAACCAGGTTCATGTGGGAGTGGTGCATCTAAAATGCTACGGAAATAGTTAATGTAGCATAGAATTCTATGATGTCACCGCAGTAAGCAGTTTTTTCAGTTACGTCTGTTATCAACTGTAGAGCGTTAGTGAGTTTGTTGTATGCTGCTATGTGCCTCAGAAGAAGTCTGTAAAGTCTCATAAGTCTGTCAGTCCCAGATATATAAATAAATGCATGTAAATATGTTTTAGTATGCCAGGTAAAATAATGTGTTATGTTTAAACTCTAAACAGAGTGTCTTGTACAGTCTTTTCTAAGACAGAAAAAGAGAACTAGGTATATATTTAAAGGGTCAAATGACCTGGGGCAGCTTTCGTGCATATAAATCCCCACTATGTCATGAAACAAACTGGTTGATTGAGACCTTCTCAAGCAAGCCTACCACCAGGGATGGGTGAATCCAACCATTTCTCATTCTTCCAGTCTTAAGTTCAGTTCTCCACACTTCCATGTCAGTTTGGAATTTTTATTTTAAATTCATCAGCATTGTAGTGCTAATTTCTCCTAATGTACACGTTTTTGTATCCAGTTCTGTTCAATAAGCACATTTTTGCAAAGCAATTTTCTCCGATATATGCATTTTTGTATGCTATTTTCACAGTTATGTATATATTCCTCTAATATTTGCAATTTTTGACATATTACTTGGCTGTAGAACTATACTGAAGAATCCAGGGAACTGCAAATTTTGAAGGATGGCTGTGTTTGATTCTTGCATTTCGGAAAGTGTGAATTCAGCAGGTCAGCCCTTAAATGCAAACTTTATCTATATTCTCTCCCATTCCTACCTACCTCACAGGGTTGCCATGAGGATAAAATGAGAGCTGGGAATAAACCCACAAACACTGCCCCGGGTTCATCAGAGGAAAGACAAGATACAAATTTAATCAATCAATGTGTGGGAAAGGCAAAGCTCACATACATGAAGCTGGTAGTATGTAATGACTAAACTCTCACCACTTAACAGACATATCCATGCATCTGGGGGCTGAACTTAACAGGACAGAAAGAGAAAAAGGGAAATGATGCGTGTTCAAGGTTAGTGTGGATCTGAAAGGGATTAGAACTGGCTTTTGAATGTCCATTATGTGGCGATAATTGTGCACTGCAGGTGGGTGAGATACTCTGAAAGGGATACTCTGAAAGCTGTAAACTGTAAACTTGGTCCAGAGAGGGACTGGTTCAAATCCATGCCTAGCTGTGAAGCTCAATGGCTACTAGTAATCATGGTGGCTGGCTATGCACTACCTGCAGTATCAGAGACAGTATGCATCTGGAGACCAGTTGCTGGGGAACATGTGCGGCAGGTGCTGTTATGCTCAAGCCCTGCTTGTGGGCTTCCCAGGAGCATTTGGGCAGCCACCATGACAACAGGGACTCTTCCTACTAGGCGACCTTGGGCCAGTCACACATTCTGAGTCTTAGCTGCCACATGACATTTTTGTGAGGATAAAATGGGAAGGTGGACCTATGTGCACTGGAGAAAGGGTGAGATAAAGATGAAAGCAACAAGTCACCAACTATCATTTGTGTATGACATTTGGCTTGCTTTTGTTTTTATTAAAAAGAATCTCTGCAGAAGAATGCAAATAAGATCATGCACAGATAAACTACAAGCCCCAAGTTAAAGCTATTTAGAAACTCAAAACTTTGAAAGGCAGGCATGCAATAGCCACTGCAAAATGCACAGACTACCTTTTGCATATCTGCAAAACATCTGCTGAAACATTCCCCCTTCTGCTTTGATCTTGCAGCGGAAGGAGCTGCAGTTGTACAGTTTGCATAAGCCTGAAGCCCTTTCTCCTCTTTGTTGAACAGATGATGGAACCCAAAGAGGGCTGGGTGAAATCAGGTTGGGGGCTCCCTTGGGGAACCCATGCTCTATACTGTACACCCCAAAATATTCTCGGATTATGGGGCATGCTTGACGCTCCAAGTGGGGAAAGGATCCTAGAACAAGTTTCTCTGTGGGTGGCTTTGTTTTATTCCTTTTCTTATGCCAGCACTGGAGCAATGTCTCAATCCAGGCACTTGTACACACTATACATGTTTTGAACCATATAACTGATGGACTGCAGATGAACTGGGGAAACCCAGAAGTTTAAAAGTGTGTTACGAGGCCTGAAGCTTTAAACAGGGCCAGACAGCCTTTTTTGTGCAAGGGACACATTTCCTCAGGGTCAATCTGTTGAGGGGCTGCCTACCACTGGTCATCAAAACTACTGGAGGTTAGCTCTCTCAATCCCATGCAGGTCTACTCAGAAGCAAACCCCACTGGGTTTGACAGGGTTACTCTCAAGTAAGGATACAAGGGAGCTTTATACAACAGAACAATACAGCTAATGTTCTGGAAAGCAAGCGAAAGCAACTCCTTTCTGACTTTAGTGTCCTATAAACACATTCTCAGATCCTTCCAATTGTTCTGAAATTACATAGAAAGAGGGGAGACACACTTTAAGAAGTCAGGCCAAAATAAAAAAATAAAAGGAAACAAAGAGGAAAGGAATAACCCCTGACAATACAGAAGAATGAGGCAATTTCAGGAGCCACAAAATTGATATTGAGGCCACAGGTTGCCCACCCGCACTTTAAAATTTCAATAATAACCTCACCAAACCAGTGGCTCATATTTGCTGTGGTATGATAGATACTTCCAGTCTCACCTCTTTGTCTGTAGATTAGGTGTGACGGCTCAGGAAATAGCCACTGAGGGATCAACAATGTGTTTCCATTACAGGAAGAAACCAGAACATGGTTTTTTCATGCAGAATTAGGAGAAATGCCCAGGGTAATACAGAGATATACAACTTTGCTGCTGAGTGCATTTTTAAATAGCACAAGCAGCTATTTCTGCCTGGCCTATTTAAAAAATGATTTTTAAAAGTTGGGGGGGAGCAGAGGCAGATGACAACATTTCTTAGCTGCCTACGGATCTTCTGCAAAGCGAGAGAAGATGTGCTCAGCACACAAATAGACTGCTCTGGTTGCTCTTTCTCCCACCTCTTACTTCCTGCCTGCTTCCTCTGCAGCAGCTGCGGTTTTCCTGGATGGCTTAGCGTCTAGCAGCTGCTCGTGGTGGAACAGGAAGGAAAGAGGAATGGAAGAGCCCTGCTGGACTAGGCCAAAGCCCCACCTAGTCCAGCATCCTTTCCCCACAATGGCCAACTAGATGCCTCTGGGAAGCTCACAAGCAGCACATGAATGCATTACCCCCCCTCCCCGCCTCAGGAGTCAGGCAATAGCTACTCCTAGATGGAAAATGGGGTTGCCAACTGACTGGGCCAGGGGTGAGGGGGAAGAGAAAAATCCTGACAAGCCATTTGCCTGAAAAACAAGGAGCACAGCTTCCCCTCACCCTCAGCCTTTTTTGTAAACTGAACTTCTTTGGCCATGGGGAACCTGTGGCCCTGACCTTTTTTTGGACTCAAACTTCAAGAGAGAGAGAGCGCAGGATGTGTCATTGCATATGTCAGCCAGTTATTTCACCTTTCCTCCTCCTCCTAAGTACAGAGGACCAGTAAAAATGTTACAACCAGCAAATAGAGGCCACTTCAGATGGTGACAGGTGTGGTGCAGTGGTGAGAGTGTGGGACTAGGCTCTGGTTCAAATCCTCCCTCAGCCGTGAACCTTCTCTGGGTGACCTTGGAAACCATCTCTCAGCCTAACCTACCTCACAGGGTTGTTGTAAGGATAACATGGAGAGGAGGAGAGCAATGTATACCACCTTGACCTTCATGAAGGAAAGGTGGATAAATAAATGCAATTACAGTGGGCACTTGTAGTGGCCAGCCCATGTGACATCAGTAATGGCTGACAAGCGACTGAACTCCCTAGCTGTAACAAGCAATAACTTTTTTCCATTTTAAAGAGGATAGGTTTCTCTTTTTTTCATGGTGCATTTTGTGGATGTTTTCTGTGGCTCTTGCTTTTAACTAAGCCACCTTGAGTCCTATCAAGGAAAAAAGGCAGGGTATGTTTGTATGTATGTATGTATGTATGTATGTATACATGTATAAATAAATAAATAAATAAATATTTTCCCCATGCTGTGCCATTGTAGTGCTAAGCTACTGCTACTTTCTAAAAGTGAAACATATAAAGCAGGTTTTGAAAATGGGCCCTGTCAAGTTTTATTTTCTTTCAAAGCAACGTAAGTTTCCCACAGCATAACCACCTATTTGTGCCAACTGACTGCTGCACCGTACATTCTTTAAAAGGCTAGGATGAACTCTAGTGCTACACTTAATTTTTAATAACACATTGAAGGGCCTTAAGACCTCTGTAATAAATACGATTTGTAACTTTGGAAATGTCACATCCAGCAAAGCTGAAGAACTAGAAAAATTACTTCTCCTCTACTGCAACCCTTCCTTTCTCCTCTAATCAAGTAATGTGCTGTGCATCAGACAAGGTGTGGCTATATTGCTGCTTGGGAAAAAAACTGTGGAAACAGGGAGGGTTATCACAAGTCAGATGTGGGAGAATGTGGCAAGAATTATACGGGAATTCTGCGTAGGAAGAGAATCAAGTTGAGAGTCTTCTAAGAACCACTTTGAAGGATGCAGAGTCAGAGCTCCAGGCAATATAGCTATGATTAATATTGCAGTTAAACCTGTTTGGGCCCTGCTTGATATTAACAATAAAATTCCTAAAAATACAGCAGTGCTCAGATTTGAAATTCAACCATGCTTCAGCTCTATAAATCTGAATTCCAGTTTGAGGTCCGAATACAATTTTCAGTGCTGAAAATTCTCAACCAAATGTCTAAAAGCAAAATGTGATTTTTCAAAATGCAATATCTATCTATCTAATTTGTGAATTTGGATTGCACTATGCAAGCTGCTATGAGTTTCTCCCACAACACAAAATGCCTCTTCCTATCCCCAGCTCATGCCAGTTACATATCACTTGCAACCCTTGGATGTGAAAGGCAGCAATAACAAGCTAATGTTTTATAATGAGCTGCAGAGAAACTTGGCAGTGTATCAACATTTAGGAGGGAGGGAAAGGTGTGGGTTCCCTTTTGCTTTGTTCTGACTTACCTATCGGAGCCGTCTTTAAATAAGATGTGCTGACTACCCAGCAATGAACTCCCTCCACTATTACTGCTGTTGTCATCATCTTCATTTTGGTAATAACGAACAGTTCCAAGGCGCTGGCTTCGTCGGGACATGGTCAAAGGAAAACCACCAGACCTTTGTCAAGATACCTGGGGAAGCAATAGAGAGAAGAGAGCATAAGGTCCACAAACTCAGCAGCTGGGACAGCCACAGTGACATTTCGCCCTGTGCAATTAAAACACACAGCTTCCCCCAAATAAACTTGGGAAATGCAGTTAAGCCTTACAGAGCTACAATTCCCAGCACTCCTGAAAATATACAGATCCCAGGATCAGGCTCATGCTGAGCTAGTCTGGGGTCCAGGGCAGGAGTCTTGTCCTTGGCATGACAGCGTAAGTTTTAGAGGTATAGCAAGAATATAACAGCCACCCTGATGGATCACAGGGTTGGAAAGACCTTGGGGTCATCTAGATCAGGGATGGGAAAGCTTTTCAGGCCAAGGGCCACTTTTCCTTCTGGGCAACCTTCCAAGGACCATATGCCAGTGGTGGGTGGGGCCAGAGGCAAAAGCGGGCTGAATAACTCAATGAAAAATTTATGTTCGGACAGTAGGCTAGTTTCTACACACTCAGAGAACCCTCTCTAGCTTCCACTCAGTTGAGCAAGTGGCAATATCAGAGTTCATGGCCACATTCCAGACAAAAACATTTGGGATTCAACCACATACTAACAAGTTTAGGATGGTATGTGTGGGAGGTTTCGCACAACAAACCCATTTCCTCCCCCAAATCAGACCTTTTGTGATAAGGAAAGCAATGGAAAAATGCACTGGGCTAACACTTGCTTTGACAAAATGTCATCTGACCGCCATCCAAGCGGATCAGAACGAATGCTCCACAAACAGCTCATCTGAAAACACTCGTAAAAGGGTAACTGATGCAGATCTACTAATTCTACTTGAAACAGGAGGATTAGGGGCATTGCTACTTGTCCAGCAGGAGGAACTGCGACCTGAGATTTAGAAGTTCCTGCTACCTTACAGGCCCCTTCACTAGAGCCTCCGTCTGGCTGGCCTGAGCACGTGAGCTCAACTTTCTAACCAGCAGACATATGAATCACATGCTCCTTTTCAGAGCACCAGGAGCCAAAACTTGGCAGGGAGCTGCAGAGCTCTTGGCCAAGAAAAGAACACATGTCCCAGGCCAGCCAAGGAGAGAGCCATCTCAGACTTAAGTCAGGCTCATTTAGGTGACCCTCTGGCAGCGGCTGTATTTATACACCACCAGGCAGCCGCCCTGCAGATTTGCCTGCCAAGATGCAAAACAGTCCGAACAGCAGAAACCTAGCCTGACTCTGCTCAAATATCCACCCCTTATACGGTTATAAAGTCTGCCTCCCTGGCTCTCTACAATCACAGCAACAAGCAAGCAGTCACCAGGCTGTTCATAGGCAACCACTTATGAAACTTCAAAAACAAAACCAGTCAAATCTCGATCATGTTATGCCAGCCTGTGTTTGTAATCCTGCACCACAGCTATTCTGGGAGATGCGGCCAATTCTCTTCAGGGCTACATTGGCAAAACGGCGTCCTGACAGTTCACATGCTTGCCTGCAGAAGATCCCTTTCCCTGGATCCTTGTAAAAAAATTAAAAATAAATCCCTTCCCTCCACAGAAGCAGGATTCTCAAGCTGTTCCTGTACTTGCCTAGAACTATACTGCAAACAGGGCTTATTATGCTCCACACACCCCTTTCCATCATTTTACAGCAGCCCACAAGAGACTCCTCCCCACTCCATGTGGGCGCAAAGTAAAGAGGCATTTACATCAAATCCCAAAGAGCAAAAGAAAAGTACAAAGGCATCTGTTCAGTGCTATTAGGAAACAGCACTTATCCCTGGGGGGATACAATAGAAAGCATGTATGCTAACTCCAGGGATCAGTTTTGGCCTCCTTTCAGAACAGGAAGGGGGGAAAGCAGCAGATTATAAGGGACCTCTGTCAAGTTACTTCCTATGCATGTGCCAAATTGCCTTGCTCCTTCCTTTCTTACCAAGTTTCACCCCCACCCTCCCCAGTAAGGAGAATGACTGAGACATCTGGGGGAAAGGGAGTCCTTTCCGGGCCCAGTTCAGGTTTTTGCAAGGGCAAGAAGAAAGAACAAGTCCTGAAACTTGCTCCCAATGTAAAGGCTGACTCTCTAACCTTGGAACATGTGCAGAAGCCACTGAACAAAGTATAATAGCAAAGGCTGTCAGTACAGTACAGCAGTGAGCGTGTCAGACAAGGACCTGGGAGACCAGGGTTCAAACCCCCACTAGGCCATGAAGCTCACTGGGTGACCTTGGGCCCATCACTGCCTCTCAGCCTAATCTACTTCTCAGCCTAGTTTGACCCTGTAACCACTACAACACACTGGCTGTCTTGACAGGAACTGAAGTCCAAAAATGCCCATTGTCATCCGCTTCCCCATCATGGTTGGACAAGGACTAGTGGTAGCGGCCAGGATTGTGTTCAAATCCTGTCATGAAGTTACCTGGGTGGCCTTGGGCCAGTCACTTCACTCTTCCAGTCCAACCTACCACAACAGAACTCAGGGTGCCATTTTACCCTCACAAGTTCTGTATGGGGAAGGGGTGGAGTAGCAAATATAATGAATAAAAACACTCTTCAAAAAAGTTCTGTTTTCCCCCCTCACTACTGACGTCGGGCTTTCAAGTGGGTATGAACCTCCCTCTCCACCCCCTTTAAAATTCATCACTAGCAACAACTCTCTCGCTTGTGGACTGAGTGCCCTCAGACGCCCTCCCATCAGATGTCAAGAAAATAAACAACTATCAACTTTTAGAAGACATCTAAAGGCAGCTCTGTTTAGGGAAGTTTTTAATGATTGATGTTTTATCGCTTTATTGTTATTAATATTAATAGTCTGTAGGGAGCCACCCAGAGTGGCTGGGAAAATTCAGACAGATAGGCGGGGTATAAATAAAATTATTATTATTATTATTCCCTTCAGCCCCTGCCAGCACGGCCAATAGTCAGGGGCGATAGGAGTTGTAGTCCTGAACTTTATGGAGCGCGGGCACCAGGTTGGCAAGGGCTGCCTTTGCAAGTTACCGGTCGCAGGGCTAACGGTTTCTGAAGGGACCACTCAAAGCCAATTACAAACAGTAAAAGAGCGAGCGGGACCCGGGAGCAGATCTGAGGGGGGAAATAAAAACAGTCGAATGAAGCGTCCTGAGTTACCCGCAGCCGCCGGCCACGCGGGGAGGGCGGAGGGAGCGCGTCCTCAGGAAGTCCCACCCTGCTCCCTATTTCCCTACCCGCTTCGCGTTGCTCCCTGCAACACCCTCCTCCGGCGGCGGCCCCTGTCTTCCAAGAGAAAGTCCCAGCGAACTCGAGGAGCGTTACACCCAAGCAAAACATTCCCGGGATGGGGCCGCTCCCCTCTTTCCCCCTCCTCAACGCGTCTCCCTGCCAAGGAAAAGTCCCTCCGATCTGCCGCAGCTGCCAGTGCCTCGCGAGGACAACAACAAAAGCAGCATGCGCGAGGCGGGTCGTCGCTGCTCCTTGCAAGGACGGGGCGGGGGGGGGGGGGGATAAGCCGAGAGATAAACGGAGAGACAATTCGGAGCGTCTTTTCATATTGTTGTTTAAACGGGGGACATTAAAAGAGGCGGCAGAGAAGGAGAAGAAGTGGCGCTTTGTTCCGGGCCAGGGAAAGGAATCAAGGCAGGGCGGCTGAGCGCGAGGGGGGCTCGCCTGGGGTGACTTCTGGGGAATGGGGCGGGGAGGACTCGGGGCAGCAGCACAAGGGGAGCTTGACTCTGGGGCAGAGGAAAAAACAAGACGAAACAAAAGGGCGCCACCTTTTTTCTTCTCCGCTCTTCTCTTGTCCTCTGCCTCTCCAAGCCGGGATTCCTCCTGAAGCGCACAAACTTATCCCGCAAAGCGCCCGAGATGCCGACAACAATAAGGATGGGAAATAAACCCCAAACCCTCAAGAGCCCTTTTGCCTCGCGGGGATGCGCGCGAGGTCAGCTTGCTGGATCCTTTTTTTGCAATTAATTAAGTTAATCCTCAGGAGCTGCTGCCGCCGCCGGTCCCGCCTGCTCCGAGCGCTAAAGAGAAGCCGCACGGCGACAATATGGCCCGGGTTTTGTGTGCGTGCGTCTGTCAAATCCCAGCAGCGGGAGCTTATTGGCAAGAGCCGCACCTGACCCGCGCCGTCAATCTCTCCCGACGGCCTGCGCCCATTGGAGGGTTTAAACAAAAAGCACGCGTCGGGCCCGCCTCCTCGCCAGCTCCCTTTCCTGGCTTCAGCTGCCCGGTTGCGTAAGAGGAGGTCGGCCCCGGCGGCGTGTTAAGCTGCGACAGGCCGTGGCTCCGCCCCTCTCCTCCGCCCCCGCCCCTTGGAGGCTGAGACGTATTAGGGAGGCCGCCGCGGGGAAAGCGCCTCTAGCGGGCAGAAATTACAATAAAACACAGTACTGTACAGTAACAGTAATATTTTTTAAAATTGTTCGAAGCAGTTGTGGGGAGCATCGCAAAAAAAGTCCAGCAGGAAAAGTGAAAGCGTATTTATTTTTTATTGCAATGCTGTTCGGTAGTAGACTTCTCTGGACGGGGATTAAAACAATAAAATGAAACAGCTGAGATACTCTTCCTCGTTTATCATGATGAATAGTTCTGACGAAACTCGAAACCGGACGCTTTTTTATTTTTTAGAAAAGCATGTTGGCCCTAATGAAAGTATTGCTCTAATGTGGAACCCATGCAGCATCCTGTCAATAAAGCATGTTAAAAGTGGAGGGGGATGTAAGATATAAATACTGGTCCCCCAGGACTTAAATCCTAGGATCCCTTCTGAAATAAAGTCTGGGCAGAGTTGATGAAGCAGCAGTATTTTATTGAAAATACACATTTGAAGGTGGATGACCTGAAAAAGCAGGCACACACCAAAACATGAATATATATATATATATATTCATGAATATATATAAACTCCTTTTCCTGAGCGCAAGTCCCTCCTTCGCCGCCCACTAAGAAAGGGGCGTGCGAAGTTTACACCTATCGCGTCCGCCTCTTCCATTGCAATGTCAAATCCAACCCCCATTCCCTTTCCCTTTCCCCAAAGCCCCTTATATACTGTTTTTAGCAATACAGTAAAGCCATGTTCCTTTATTTCACTGAAGCATGTCAATATCTTGTTTTCTTGGTGTTCTTCTTAACCACAATTTCTGCAAAAGCATATTACACCTGTTCTTTCTGCTAGCATCTTTAACCACAATTTGTTCCACAAGCTATATTAGAAATGTTGTGTATTGAGTCAAAGGATTTTATATCTGTATTATTATTGTCTGTATTTGCATTAGGGTAAAGTAACTGCCTTTTGGTTCCAGAGGGTACAGCTACTATTGGTTCATTTAAGCTGCTGTATTTGGATCCTCTGTCTTATTGGTTCCCTCCAAAAGGCAGGACTGTGATTGCCTGATATTGTTCCCTCCAAAATGTATCCTTTCTTGCTAGTTCCCTGTCCCTATAAATGTAGCTTTCCTCTCCCCAGTCTTTAGTCTTGTTGCTTAATAAAGAAGTGTTACTAGAGAACTGTCTCCAGCATGTTATATCAGGAGAGCTGAAATCACAAACCCCACGTCACAACAAGAAAGTCCCCAGATAAAAATCCCCTCACCATTATAACCATATGGCCTTATGATTTTTATTAAAAAAGCAATTACATAATAAGAGCAACATTTGTTTTTAAAAGGCAGTAAAAAAGCAACATAAATTATTTCTCTCAGGGGAGAAGAGATTTTTGTTCACCTTTGGTGCCTCAAGCTTCCGGACAGATTAAAAGAAAGGACTTCTTCGTGCAGTGGATATGAAACTCGCTTCCACATGAGGCAGTGATGGCCACCAACCTAGACAGCTAATTAGACAAATTAATGGAGGAGCAGACTAACAGTGGCTACTGCCACAATGGAGGCAGTAAGCTTTTGATAGCAGTTGCTGGAAGCCACCAGAGGGGAGAGTGGTCTTGTGCTCAAGTCCTGCTGGTGGGTTTCCTCCAGGCCCCTGTGGTTGGCCACTGTGAGAACTGAAGCCTTAAATGCCACCAGTGCATGGAACACTGTTTTCACTTAAGCACAACTAAATGAATGGAATTGTTTTATGATGTTTGCAAGTCCATCAGCGATTCCTGTTATCCCTGAAGCACACGTTTGTGTGGCCAAAAGAGCAGGGGAAGAAAATAAAAAGTATAATCAATAACCAGCTTGCAACCAATAATGTATAATTTGCTCAGAGACTAGGCATGGATTCCCTGTGGCAGCCCATCATATAGAAATACCCAGGTACCAAACCTTGATGACTTCTAAGAAGAACAGAGGGAGAAACCAGGAATGTTATCTGGGTTGTCTGCAGGCTATTGTGGTATCATCACAGCTGGCCCACCCATTATGTGGAGGCCTCAGGTGGCAGAAGCACAAGAGGCAGCATCCCATTCACCCCACCGCTTCGGGAGCACTGGATTTCAGTGAAAGGGGGACGTTCCAGTGGTGGGCTGGGCCAGGTGGCCATAGATGTGGCATGGTAGGAGTGGGATAGGCAGTAGGCAGTATATTCCTGTTTCGTCTCAGTTAGTGAAAGGGATGGGCACTTTGCAGTATCATAAATAAATAATTGCACACCTTTTCTGACTCCTGCTTGCATGACTTCTTTCCTTAGAAAAGCAGCTGCTGCAGCATGTATATGCAGATTCCTTGTGTATCATTAGTGGGCTCCTCCAGAGGACCTCTTTAGTAAGCAATTGGCCTGATTTGCTTGAACAAAGCTTACACAGAGTAGAGACTATGCCCAGTCCTTACTGAGCATTTGTTCCAATTTGTTTGTGGGGCAGTTATACAGCAATGAGCATTCATCTTGATTTGCTTGCAGGATGACAAAGCACTTTAATCCACTTTTACTACACAAACTTACATTTCTGTTATGTGCTGAAATCCCTCCTGGAAAATAGTGACAGTCTGGAGGCACCCAGGATATAGTCTGATAGGACTATTTTATACATACATACATACATACATACATACATAATTTTATTTCTATTTCAGCTTTCCATAGTTAAAACCGTGCGCTGCCAAAGGAGAGAGGTGGGCAGGAATGACATTATGTTCAGTAACTAGGATTTTCCCCAAACTATTAAAATGTTGCAGGTGTTGTACAAAGATTTTTAAAATGATACAGGAGCTGCCTCTGGATTTACAACCAAAAACACATGGCACAAAAGGAAAGGGGGAGGGGAGAGAAAGAAAATGAAAACAAGGAAACTTGATCACCCAAAAAATCTTCCCAGTAGCACAATGACCAAGTAGAACGGCCGCTAAAAACAGTTTCATTAGGAGGCACAAAACAGTAGGTGATTGCGGCCTCACCTCTTCCTCAGCTACAGCCAGATGGAAATACGTATTTGTTATAACAACCTCAATTCTCTCTTCCGTTAGAGCAGGATGAGATGAAAGGGCCAAGACAGGAAATGCAAGTTGCTTAGTATGCCCTTCATGTGTGAAGGAACTCCTGTAAAGATCTGTTCTGCATTCAGTGCTGAGGAACGAACAGGTTGAAGAAATCAGAAGGACCCTTTTGTGTGCTGGGTACTTCCCAGTACAAGTAAAATCCTGGAACGATCAACTGGATTACTACACTAGTGCACTCATTACTAGCGCTCTCTCCTGTCTATTCCTTCTACTGGTGTACCTGGATAAGTGCAGCCTCGGTCACCTTTCCTTCCTGTTTAGAATCCAAAATTATAGCCATTAATCCTCAACGAGCAAGGCAGATTTATTTAGTTCTTTTAATCTGGCAGTGTGACAATCTATTCCATTCCTACAAGGAGGAGAGAGAACACCTAAGCACAGGCCTGAAGTTAACAGAATCTAAGTATAACAGCCCAAACCCACATCAGTTTTAAGCAGTACTTTGTTCTCCCCACTCCAGCTACACTCTTGGTATGAAATGATGCTAGAGATTAGAATCTAACTCCCTCTAGTGGAACTAAGAGAGAATTTATTGTGCTGAGCCTTGAATAATAGAATTGTAGAGTTGGAAGGGAACCTGAGGATAATCCAATTCTCTCCAAAGCAGGAATATGCAGCTTTTCCATACAGAGATCAAACCTGCAACCTTGCCATTATCAGCACCACATTCTAACCAACTGAGCCATCCAGGCATACTAATATGATGCAGGTGGATAAATAGGATTTCCATTTAAACTGTATGTAATTTAATTTTTAAATGTATTATTTGGTGGAATGAAATGGTAAAAGATTGAGGGAAATCACCCTAGGCATGTGATGGGCATGTCCTCTCTGTTTTCTACAAATGGTATCAGAATGGTGTTGGAAATGTGTCCTCTCTGCCCTTTTCCCCTTTAATTCTCCCCATGCCAAAAGCTTAATGATCCTTAGTGCAAAGTCCTATTATCCCTGGCTAATTAACACAAGGGAGTCCTTTGTTGCAGGAGTGGGGGAGGGAAGACAGGGGCAGAATAAACATAAAAATAAAAGAACTAAATGGAAATGTACATTTCCTACACACACACACACACACACACACACTTCCATTTGGGCCATTGTGAATATACCGGTATATATTAAGGTGTGCATGTACAGGAACAGAATATCTGTGCACATGTCCAAAACAGAAGACAGAGGAAGAATATTTGAGGGGAGGGACAGAAAAGCAGCCCACCACATATATTGTGTCAAGATCTGCCCACTAGTGTGGAAGACAAGTAGTGGCATAGCAGGTAAAGGTAAGGTAAAGGACCCCTGGACATTTAAGTCCAGTCAAAGGTGACTATGAGGTGCGGCGCTCATCTTGCTTTTCAGGCCGAGGCAGCCGGCGTCTGTCCACAGACAACTTTCTGGGTGGCATAGCAATCAATATCCATGACTTAAAAAATGGGAATGGGTAGAAGCTAACGTGCAAAACGTGTGCAAAGAGAAATCCAATCCTTATGATCTGTTTACAATAGAAGATCCCAATCTGGAAGTGCCCAAAAACCAAGAGGTAATTTGTTGAATTTGTTGAAATGAACACATTTCCTGACATTTCCCCACAAGTTGGACTGCACATCTATCTCAAACATCCATCTATGACATGGTCAGAGTTAGGCATGATATTACAGGGAAAGCTAAGAGCACATTGTTGTGGAACTGCCCTGTGCCATATTGTTCCCATTCAGTCAGGACCATTCTGCAATTCATCCTGCAATTCAACAGAACGTGAAAATACATCTTTACACTGCATCAGAACAATTTCCCGTCTAACCCAGGGATAGGAGAGGTGGTGTAAAATTCTAATTGTCATGTAGACTTGGGCCAGAGCTTTACAAGTGTGTGAGAGTGTAAGGTAAGGTTAAAGTAAGGGAGAAGAGCTGTGTGGCTGTTTGTCTATATATGAGAGTGAAGAGAAGGCTGTTTGTTTGTGATGCTGAGCATAGGGGAGACTGTGTCTCTGAGAGAAAGAGACGTCTGTGTGTGTGTGTGTGTGTGTGTGTGTGTGTGTGTGTGTGTATGTGTGTGTGTGTGTTTGAGAGAGAGAGAGAGGGCCTACAAATATCATTTTTATTGCACATTCATAATGATTTGTGCTCATTATGCTATTGGGGCAATCACACACAATCCCACTTTCCATACAGTTTGCACCTGCAAAAGTTATGGGATTGTGAAACTGCTTCATTTCCAGTCAGTGCATATCCTGTAACTTCCTGCTGGAATCTTGTAGTTTTTTTATGCCACAAATGTTGCACTTTATTTTTGACCCACTTTTGTTGTGTGGTAGCTACTATGGACAGCAATGATGTGGTCGCACTGACATAGCATTGCCGAACAAATTAAAGCAAAATAAATCCACCATTAAGGCACTATTATTGTATCAAGAATATGTTTCAGAATACACTCACAATAAAACACCAGTCAGGAGGAGCCCCCCCCCCCCCCGGGGAGGGGGGCACTCAGACAGGCAGTCCTTAAAGCTGAAAGGTTTACCTTCCCTGCTTTACTATAACACAAAGTAAAAGAAAAGGTTCATTCAGGAAAAAGAAAACAAACAAACAAATGCAGCTCCATTCAATGCAGTTTCTAATCAGAAGTAAGTTCCACAGTACTTAGTGAGGCTTACTTCCAGGAAACTCTGCACAGGATTGCAACCTCAGACATAACACACCCTGCACACACACAGAGAGAGAGACTCTGTGATTTAAGACACTGGCCACCAGCTTGAACTGTCAAGGCTAAATAAAAGTTCATGATGACCTACTAATCGTCAGGGACATTTAGTTCTCTCATAACAAAGCGAACCCTGTCTACTGCCACATAAGCAGGATTAATTCCAGAAAGTTGACTTCCAAACTACAGCTCTTCTCCATCATTCTTCAATTATAAGAGAGATTTTCCAATCTACTAAATAAGACTTGTGTGGTTCTGAGCCACTCAGGCTTTGGCTGCATTGCGAATTAGAAAAGACCTGAGTCACATATGGAAGATAAGGGGTAGCGATCAATTTATCTAGCAGAACATGTCTGCATGTCACGGATATAGAACTTACACAAACACACAACTGATTGAAAACAAGGTAGACCAAATGGGTCTGCTGAAGCAGGCTTGGTGTCAGTCAAATACTCTCAAGTAGCTTCTAAAAGCCCTGATGTCTGCCTTGGCATATATTCCTGCCTTGGTCCCACCACCACTGACACCTGTTTTCCCCTCCAGCCTACCCTTTCCCCCAGCTAGTGACAGTGGGTGAGTCTGGGAAGTCACCCACCATTAAAATTTTCCCACAATGCACTGGGGCACCCAACACTCAAGGGCATTGTGGGAAATTAAAATAGCAGGTGGCTTGCCAGACACTGTCGTCAGTATGCCCTCTACTGTGGTGGGTCCCTGAAACCAGCAGCCTGGTCTTGTGCTGAGCTTAACCTTTGGGTTTAAGATGGAGGCTTGGAGCCGAGATAATTTAGCTAGTGAAATGCAACCCATGTTGAATATTGCATGTATCTTCTATTTTCGTCATATTTATTCAACTTCATGGGAACCGAAAAACCTCTTGCTACAAGAAACTGTTGAAAAGGAAGGCCCTTATGAACACCGAGGGCCAATTAGTAGGCACAATGCAATATTTTCAGAGAAAGCAACAGTACAGTTTGAATAAGCAACAGCAGACGGGCTCATTGTTCCTGAGGTTGTTGCCAAGGGTGCTTTCTCTCATTAGGGCGCTTCAGTCTTTATTTTGAGAAAATAATGAGAGAAACAGCAGATAAATTGGACGGGATCAGAGTTTAATAACCATAACACCAGCACTCTGACATATGCAGCAGGCAATATGGCCTTGGCTCTTGGCTTCTCTAAGGACCTGCAAACCTTACTGAAATAATTTGTAATTCCTTTAATGCTTTGTTACATGTGCACTATGACTTTTCCCCCTAGAATTAAAAGCAGTGTGCAAGGGGTTCGCAAGTGGCCTCTACACAGGCACGGACCTGGCCCAGATCTGTAGATCCTTATACTTTTCACATTCGGAACTGCTTTATACATTACAAAATTTCTACACAGAAGGCCCATCCATTAATTAATGGGCAGTCACATGTCAGATCATCACATTTAACAACATAGGCTTAAATATATAGCTCAGTCGGTATAGCATGAGACTTTTAATCCCAGGATCGTGGGTTTGAGCCCTGAAGTTGGGCAAAAAGATTCCTGCGTTGCACAGGGCTAGACTAGATGACCCTCGTAGTCCCTTCCAGCACTGCAATTCTATGATTCAGTAGGTTTTCCCCTGAATGTCCATAGGCTGGGAAGCTGTGCCTGCCTGTGGGATCTCAGTGTGTCTATAACTCACAGGGAGAGTGCCACACATGCAATTGTTACACATGATGATCTTCCTACAGAGTACATGTTATTTCCACCTAGCTGGCCACTGTGGGGGGAAACAGAATGCTGAACAGCTGACTGAAATGCTTGGGGAGGGTTTATAGCTCAGTAGAAGCCCCAGATCTGCTCTGGAGGGTTAGGGGAAACACCAGAACAGATTGGGGGCACGGTGGGGGGGGCACACGGTGAGAAGCCTGGGAGAGGAAGTCCCATTATGCAAGCAGGACAGGTTGCAGCCCACGGTTTTGCACGCAGATGTTCCCAAGTTCAGTCCTCTGACATCTCCAGTTAAAAAGATCAGGTCACTGGAGATGACATAAAATAACTTTCTTTGACTGAGACCCTGGACAGCTGCTTCCAGTCAGAGCAGACATTCCTGGACAAGGAGTTTGGTATCTGGCAGCTTCCTGCAGTAGTTGTTTTTGTTGTGCTTCATGCATTTTCTTATTATTGTGTTCTATTCTGACATCACTGTGAACCACTTTGGGAATGGTTTGCCCCAGAAAAGGCAGCATACAAATAAACCAATAGGGCTGACTGCATGATTTATATGCTGCTTTTCCAAGGGAAAAAACCGCTGTGGTGGTGATAGTTTATGATGATGGTGATAATAATTAGATGGACCTTGGTCTAGGAGCAATGTTTTATGAGAAAGGAGGCTGCTTTTGTTACTGCTGCTTCTAGGCACTCTTAGAGTTTTGCATAGCCCATAGTACTGTTGCCCTCTCTTCTTTGATCACAAGTAGAGATCAGGGAGCCTTGTGGATAAAAGCAGCAATGAACTTGCTCACAGCATCAGTATCTTAGGACAACGGGGCCTGAAGTCCCTTCAGCCTATGATTTATTGGCACCTTCAATCAGGGACTGAAGTGGGTTGAAAAGCATGTTAGCAACACCTGGCAAGATCAAGACGAGCGCACATAGTCTCACTTCTTTTTCATCCCCAGGCAAGCTAACATGGTTAACAATGGCAGGTTGGGCAGAGTTCACGCTTCCATACAGAAGCCCAAAGCACTGCAAATGGCTCAAAATAAATAGCAAGAGAATAAATATGAGAGAGATTCTTGGCTGTATAGATTGCTCTGAGAAGCGGGAAGGAGGGAGAGAAGGCACATTCCTTTCCTATAGCTACAAAGAAATTCTACAAAGGAACAGAAATGAAGCTCCGCTAAGCATTAATAACTTGAATGGGTTGCCAACATGATGCCCTTCAGCTGTGGTTAGACTCCAGCTCCCATCACTTCCAGCCAGTGGTCAGGGGATGATGGGAGTTGTAGTCCACCAACATTTGGAAGGCAGCATGTGGGCTACCCCTGCTTTAACTATCCTTCCATTCAAACCACAGCTTGCCCATCAGGCTTCCAAGGCTTCACTGCAAGTCTCAAGACAATTAAAGAGCTTGAATGCTCCTTTTATACTTCGTCCAAGTTTTGCTTCCAGGACCTCCCTCTTGTTCTTTTAAGATATTCCACGTTCCCTTCTCCCTTGGTTGCTCCCTAACCCCTTTATGTCCACACTGTAGCACAGAATGATGAGTGACTTCCCTATGGCAAGGCTTGCATGTAAGAGGTAGCAGTAAAGAGGTGTGTTTGAATAGGCTGGGGGTCCATCCCCTTCATGCAGCGCTACTTCTCTTGTCTCGCAGCTCTGAGGATGTATACTGCTGTCCTTTTAAGTCATTTATCAGGACTTCCTGGCTTTCTCCACTCTTCTTCATGCAGTCCTCCACCATGTCTAATATCTTCTGGAGCCGGCGGTCCAGTGCCTTCAAGTGAGGCTCCGCTAAGACTGGTGACAGCTGATCAGTGGCCAAGGACTCACGCATGACATCACTCAAGCGATAAGGCTCCGTAGCAAGCAGTTGGAGGCGCATGAATGTTGACTTTTTTATACTGGATCCATCAACAGCAATAGGAAAAAATCAAGGAAGAGGAAGGACAACATTTTTAAACCATGAGAAATGTCACATTGAGCATTTCCATTAGTACATGCACAGACTTGGGATATCAGAACCACATCAGAGGCAGGGGTGAGAGTGGGCAAGAAGTTGTAGGGTCAGACTAACGACAAACATTATGGGTTCTTGCCAAATAATTTCTTCCATATTTATCCCGAACCTGAAAGCAAGAGTATCATGCCACAAGTGTTTCAGGGTGGAGGAAATGCTGAGTCTGTTTTCATATCTGATAAAATTTTTCCTCAGTTGTTGCCCTACATAAAAGGCTCCTTGTTTTAACCACAAGTACTTGCATCTCCCTCTAGCTTCGGGAGGTGGTGGAAGTAGCTGAGTAGGCTTTCTCTAACTCAGAGTGTGGGCATTTCAGCTGGCTTCTGGCAGAAATGAACCTGCATCCTCAGTTGCGCTGTGCTGAGAACTAGCTGGGAACTAGCTTAGGCATGCATGCTTCAGATAGCTGAGATGAGAGCCACTTCATAGAACTGTAGGCTTGGGAGAGAGGCCATCAAGTCCAATGGCCAGCCCCTCATGACTAACCAGGAGTAGCGAATGTGGTGCCCTTCAGATGCTTTTGATTAATGCCCAATGGTCAGAGATTATTGGAGCTGTAGTCCAAAACATATGGAAGACTACCCCTGGCCTACACAATATGCCATCAGCAGAGCACAGTGGTGGACAACGTGCATGGGCTTATGTAGAGGAGGCAAATGGCAAACCCACACCCTTCCATGCCACTACAATCTGGCCAGGGGGAAATCCTTAACCTAAAAACTGAGATCAGTTTGGCCTACAGAACCAAAAAGATTACCCACCTCAAAATAATAAGACTTCCTTAATTCTATCCCCTCCAAAGACAGAGTATAAACAAGATGGGAGAAAAGAATCCTTACATGCAACATTGCTGAAGTGGAACCAGAATGGACATTTCATCATGGGAGTGTCTCCCGAACCTGAGAAGAACAAAAGGCACAGATGGTTTCTCTATTTTTGGGAGATGCTATTTCGGGAGTATTTATCTTGCTCAATAAATACTTCTTTTGGTATTTAAAAGTCCAAATGTTGCAAATGATGTAGATTAGGTGTGTTTGTGCAGTGCTGTATTCATGATCCTGTTGCAAAGTTTACTTTCCCTGCAGAATTAATATATTTTGGTAGATATTAGAATGGTGTAGAGCAGGAATGTGACCCGCCAGATGTTGCTGGACTATTAAGAGGCATCATCCTTGACCATCTGGCTACACTGGCTGGGGCTGATGGGAGCCTGGAGTCCAACAATAGATGGAGAACTACAACTTTTCCATCCCTGTGTAGAAACAGCTTTGTACTCGCTAGCTGTCATTTGCTATATTCAGGGTATCCTATAATTATATCAGGAAGGGACATTGGAAGGGAAGAGTAAATGGTATGGAATGGGGAAGTTGGAGGACAGCCAGACCAGTTAATGTCCCCCCTCCCACATATTGAATTGTTATCAGTAAATATCTATACAATTTTAAGGATTTTCCTTTCTTTCTGTTAAGGTATAGAGATTTTTGTTCCTAAAAAACAACAACCCAATTCTGAAAGTATCACAAACTACAAGGCCATCTTCTCCAAAGTGTGTCAAGTTTGTATGTCCGCATATTTAAAGTTTGTGGCTTCCTGGGAACTTTAAGAAGTCTTCTAAAAGACAAATATCTTTGGGTCAGCTGAAAAGAGCTTTTGATTACATCGCCGCCGCGTTAAAACTGAGTTGCATTTCTTCATCAGAATATTTGGGTTGTCATTAACATCAGCCATCGAGCACTTTTCCAACAGGTCAAGTCCAAGACACTTCACCACCTGTGGTGAAGAACAAGATAACATCGCTCCCCAATTCCATATACAGTGGTACCTCGGGTTAAGTATGGTCCGTTCTTAACCTGAAACTGTTCTTAACCTGAAGCATCACTTTAGCTAATGGGCCCTCCAGCTGCCGCCGTGCCGCCAGGGCACAATTTCTGTTCTCATCCTGAAGCAAAGTTCTTAACCCGAGGTACTATTTCTGGGTTAGTGGAGTCTTTCAGCTGAAGCGTCTGTAATCTGAAGCATATGTAACCCGAGGTACCACTGTACAAAAGCTGACTGGGCTTGCAATCAAATCTTGCATCAACACTGGCGACTGGGCAGTATCCTTTGCCACGTCTGAGAGCCAGTGTGGTGTAGTGATTAGAGTTCTGGACTAGAATCTGGGAGACAGGTTCAAATCCTAATTCGGCCATGGAGCCCAGTGGGTAATCTTGGGCCAGTCATTGTCTCAGCCAAGCCTACCTCCTGGAGTTGGTTGGGTGATAAAATGGGGAGGAGGAAAGGCAGGATACAAACATCATAATAACGATATTCTGAAGACAACAGGTTAACTTGGAAGGTACAGTGCAGGCCATGTGGCATAGTTCAGCCCTCTAACATCCCGCCACTTTCCCAGGGCTGCAATACCTGCTGTCTGAGGCAGCTGCCTCATTCTGCCTTACAGTAGGACTGGCCCTGCCTGATATAGTCAAATAATGGTTTGCTAAGAGCAGTTCAGCACGAACCTGCCACAGGGCCACCTTATACTCTGGTTCTTGCCTGCTTTAGATCCTTGTCTTGTAAGTTCCTGCTTTCAGAGTTCACTCCCAGAAAAGCAGCTCATCTCAAATAACAGCCTGAAGCAGGAATACCCTAGCCCTTTCTTCAAAATGCAGATCATTGTAGGACAGAGCTCAAAAGCTTCCCCTAGTCCCTCGCCCACCCAGGGAAGCATGTTGCATTCTCACCCTCGGCCATTGTCCAGATGAAGGAAGAAAGTGTCATTCCCAAACTTGTCAAAGGTCTCATAGTGGTGGCGATCCATGTTTCCTGCATATGGAGACAAGAATTATAGAAGAGGAGGCAGACAGCAGAAATCAGAGGAGGAAGAAGAGGAAAAAGGTATTAGAGAAGTCCACCCTGAGAGGATCTTGGGTCAGGATATAAATTCCAAGACCAAATGAAGAAGAAAAAACGGCAATTATCAGGCAATATCCTTATTCCATGCTGTTTTTCTAGAAAAAGAGATACCCGAACTCACCATAAACACCTCCCTCATGGCAACGGCACCCACCTGAGAGGTGCCAGAACTGAGTTCCGGCAAGTTCTGGCTGAAAAAAGCCCTGTGTTTTATTCAGGCAAACTAGAAAGGCTCAAACAGCCTGAGGTCATCAAAACTCTTCATCTGATGCCAATTAAAAAGAGAGTGGCTTCCAGGGAACTCTGGGAATTGTAGTTCTGTGAGAGGACTAGTGTTCTAACAGCTCTCAGCACCCTTAGCAAACTACAGTTCCCAGGATTCTTTGGGTGTAAGGCATGACTGTTTAGCCCAGTGGCTCTTACCTATGTTTAGGATTATAGAGGAAGCCTATTCCCTCCCACCCACCCCCGAACTCTTGAACTATCCTCAGCAGAGAGATAAAATAAATAAATGAATGAAATGCCCAGCTATTAATTGGTCAGTGGGTGCAACCTGAAAGCTGTTAGATAGGGCAGAAGTAATTATGAAGTATTAAGTGGAGCAGAAGTGATCTCAAGGACAGAAATAACAAATCAGCCTAAGTTATTGGCACCGATGACAAAAGGATGAAAGGAGGGGAATCCATCCAGGTTATGTAACTTGTTAAACCATAGCCAAATGGTGGGCAAATCAGATGCAACCCCCCCCCCCCCAATAAAATGCTGTGAGTGGCACAGACTTAAGATGAACTGCCGCTGGTATTGTCAAATTGAGGAAAGAGATAGAGTAGGGATGAGAACATTATAAAAGCCTATTTATTTATTTATTTATTTATTTAATATCCTGACTTTCCTCCAAAAGGAGCCCAGGGCAGCACATTGTATATAGGGGGGGAGGGGGGAGGAATCTTTAGAATATAAGGCATGTAGCTGATCAAGAACAGAGGCTATGTGCTCTTTAATTCTGAAGTTCCCACACTCTTTTCCACTGGGAAATCTAAGAAACTATTTTGTGCACCAGAAAATACCCACTTCACAGGAAAAAAAAATCTGGCAATGAACAACACACCAAATGATGGTGGTGATTAATTAGTTCAAGTATTTATTTACCACTTTTCATTTTTTTAAAATTACAAGTTGGTTTGAAAGTAAATAAAATAAATAAATAAATAAATAAATAAATAAATAAAACACGAGAAGAAAAAATATATATAAAAAATGGGAGGGTCAGCAGGCCTCGGCAGTCGCCAAGGACAGTGTCTGGGGGCATCATATTGGTCACTTTATCCCAGCCCACCTCTGACCCCAGGAGCCCCTTCCCACCCCTGTGCCAACCCCACATTGTTCAGGAGGACCCCTGACCCTCTAAAAGAGGCTTTTTGAGAAGGGTGGAGGTGGCTTCGGGGAGAAGGAGGAGACCAAAAGCTTTTCCTTCATTAACTTCATGATCCAAGCCCTTCCCTGACTCACTGTGACATGTTTTCACTGGCAAATAACCTGCTTCATCCAATGTGCAAAATTGGATTGGAGGAGGGGGGGGAAGGTGCAAGGATATGGTCCCATGAAATGAGGTACGCCGGAGAATAAAGCGATGTCAAAAGACAGGTGAGAATGAAACAACGGGAAACGCAACTCAATCTGCTTAGCGGGTTGTGTTCTAGTCATGTATATTAACACAATGCACAGCGAGAGATGCTTATTCCGGGGAAGCTGGCTGGCAGGCAGATGTACGCAGACAGAGTTAATTTGTTTCTCAGGAACTCTCAGCGCTGCTGAGTTTCCATCGCGCCTAAGAATAAAATGCAATGAGGCAAAGTCTCTCTGTTAAAGGCTGAGCTAAAGGGCTGGAATGACACAAAGGGAAGGGTTGTAGCAGTCAGAAACTGGGAGACACAGGAAGCAGCTCAGACTTTTTGTCCATCTATCCCAGGACTGCCTGCTCTGAGGGGCATAAAGAAGGTCCCAGGTTCGAATCCTGCTGTGTCATGGTAGTACAGTGGTACCTCGGGTTAAGAACTTAATTTGTTCCGGAGGTCTGTTCTTAACCTGAAACTGTTCTTAACCTGAGGTACCACTTTAGCTAATGGGGCCTCCCGCCACCACTGCACGATTTCTGTTCTCATCCTGAGGTAAAGTTCTTAACCCGAGGTAATATTTCTCGGTTAGCGGAGTCTGTAACCTGAAGTGCCTGTAACCTGAAGCGTCTGTAACCCGAGGTACCACTGTACTGGGAGAGAGCCCTGTCTGAAATCCTGGAGAGCTGCAACCAATGGTCGGACTCTGTATAAGGCACCCTTCTGTGATCCTTTTTTTAAACTGCCGGTGCCAAGGATTGAACTTGGGACCTTCTGCATGCAAAGCAGATGCTCTACCCCTAAGCCATGGTCCCATCCCCAAATGCAGCACAGCTCGCAGGAGGAAATGTACCGAAGCTCACCCATAAGGAAGTCAAGCACAGTCATGTCGATGAGGTTGAGGAGTCGGGATACGTTGTCATATGGTGCCGTCTGTCGTACCTCTGCGCAGTAATCTTCATCTGACTCCCACCTTAGAAGAGATAGTCATGAAAGGTTATCCTTAATTGCATATGGTGGGGAGAAACCTTTAATTTAACTGTCTCCACCCTTCCTTATAGCCTCCCTAGCTCCCCCAGGTCATCTCATCGTTTGTCAACGTATCCATCACCCTGACAAGGCACAGATGCTAAGTGTGATTACATAAATTCTGTTTGAGCCTTTTCAGGTACAGCTGCAGCTCTTTGAGACCACAAACAGCAGAGTCAGGGCCTCTTGAGTTGAATATGTAATGCAGTTTTGTGGCACTGGCTTTTAGAGTCAAGGTTGTGGAGCAGCAATGGCTCCGGAGCTTGAAACAAAAATAACTCAGGAGATGGCCTCCAACAGAAAACAGATCAGCATGTGTTCACCCCCTAGCTAAGGGGGAGTTAATTCTTCCTGCTTGTACTGCTACTTTTTCAAACATTTACAGTAAAGCAGTATTGTATTTATGAAATAAATGCATAAGAAATCTGTTGTTGTTGTTGTATTTGTACCCCAAATTTGTACGCATCTGACTGGGTTGCTCCAGCCATTCTGTGTGGCTCCAGCAACATAAAATCATAGAAATACCACCATTTCATATTATCCCATGAGCATATTCATTTCAGGAATTCCTGCTACCCTTCCAGTATATTGACAGAGCCAACCAGCCCTGAATGAGCCTCTGAACCAATCTTCTGGTTGGTTTACTTCACCACCACAGAGCACAGCTACATTGTGCACATAAGAACTAGTTAGAAGTGATGGAGAAAAGGCAAGCTAAGAAGTGCTCAACAGATATGGGGAAGTTTGATGGTGTCACCTAAATTGGAGGGTTGGGGGAATATAGATTCAGCACCCCATGCAGACTTGTCAATGTCTAGGGCAGCCCCAGTTTAGGGACATATATACATTGCTTCCTCAGTCTTTGGCTGTCCTGGCTCATCAGTTTTCTCCTTTGGCTCTCTTCATCCAGAACTTGCTTTTCACAATCTCTCATTCAATACTGGTCCTCCCTCTGCACCTGAGCTTACTTACTGAGCTTTCTTGGTCTTGGAGTAAGAACGCCTCCAGGGGCTTCTCCATGAACGCCGGTCGGCCAGTTCTTTGTCCGGCAGGAGGGCTGCCATTGAGCCCTCGAGCTGGTCTGGTTTGCCACATAAAGCATGTTCCGTGGAGCAATAGTAGGAGCACACGCCAAAGAAGCAGACGTTGCCGGCTGGGTTGACCCACACAAAATGGAGGAAAGCAAAAGTCAGGGAATACCAACAGCTCGTCAACATGCCACCACATGTCTTGTGCATAGCTGTCAACTTACAGATTTGAAAATAAAGGACCAGCAGCCTCAAAAATAAGGGATCAGCAGCCAAAATAAGGGATCAACAATTACTTTGATAAAATACATATTTTGTTGCGTGCAAATGGCTTTAGATACCTATTAGGTCCATAAATTACCATATAGCATATATTCAACACAAAAACAGCAACAATTTGTTGTTGACAAAGGACAGCTGGACATAGAAAGGGCCCCATTACCTTCAGTAGCTTATTTAAGGGACATCATCAATAAGGGACAGCAGCGGGACATGGCGCTGGGATAAGGGACTGTCCCGCCAAATAAGGGACGCTTGACAGCTATGGTCTTGTGGGTGCAAAGCAACATAACAGGAGGGGAGAATAGCTTACATGGCTAGCACAGTCGGTCTACACCAAAGCTGAGGGACCTGTGGCCCTCTGGAGGTTGTTGGCCTCCTCCCCTTCATCTGTCCCAGCCAGCATGGCCAGTGATCAGGGATGATGGGAGCTGCTGTCCACCAACTTTTGGGAGCAATAGGTTCCCCACACCTGTTCTACATGGTAGAGCTCATATTACGAAGGAGGGATAAACAGGGGACAGAGTGCTCACCTGGGGAGATGAAGAAAGTCTTAAACAGTTTACGGTCCGTTGTGATATCACGGATTTCTTTGGTTATATTCACCAAACGGCCAGAAACGGGGGGAATTCTTCGGAAATCCAGGATCCTCCCCAGAAATGAGCAAAATAGGAGAATGAAACAAATTCTGTTTGCAGCTGGACCAAATAAACACTCTAAACACAGACAACAAATCCTACACAAATGCTCGTTATCATAGAACATACAATCAGTTTGGAAAAAAGCCCTGTCTTTTCTGCTTCACACTAATACTTGTCTTGGACACTATCTTTAGTGTAAATTGCCTTGAGATGGTTGTTTAGAATTGATAAATCAATGATAATGATAATATTTGGCAGGAGTCTGCCGCACCCTACAGGACAGGAGAGTGCACTGTGCTGGACTCACCTGTCGAGGTGAAAGGCTGCTATTTCTGCATTGTGCCGTTCAAAATCTGAGAAGTAAAAGAAATCTGCTGGAGTCTCCTGATCTCGGGTTTGCCTTGGGAGAGGGCAAGAAGAGATGTGGTGGGTTATCAAAGATGTTCATTGTCGAGTGTTGAACTGAAGCCCACACGTCTTTTGCAACTCATAGTCACTCTGCACACTGCATCCATCCCTTTTGTTGGGTGTTCATGATGGTTTGTGCTCAAATTTACGTACACGATTCTGTTTTCAATACTGTTTGCACCTGCAATAGTTTCAGGGATGGACATACCACTCCGTTTCCAGTTGGTGCACGCCCTGTAACGTCCTGCTGAAATTCTGCAACCTTTTATACTATAAATGTTCCAGAGCAGCTTGTGTGTGTGTCCTGTTTTAGTTGCACTATAGTAGTGCAAGAGGGTCCCTTCAGACAGCAATAATGCAACAATGTAGTGGAAGCATCATGGAACAACTAATAATGTGGAATGGTCTGTGGTCAGCCCAATATAAACCCACTGTTAATGCACTGTTATTGTGTCAATACTGCAAGATACACCCACAAGGGGAAAAAACCACCTGTCTGGAGAAGCCCTGAAATTTTAATCCTAGCTATGCAAACTAGGAGCAATTGAGGCAGAACTCTGACACAGAAGTCTAGAGCCCATTTCAGTATAATGAGCAGGAAGCCCTCATCCCACCTCCAATAGTTGCCCTGGTTTTGAAGCAAGTGAAACGATACACATTACTCATCTGAAGAAGGGGAAAGGGATGTAAGACTATGAGGTCCTCCAGTCTAAAACAGCCTAACTGCACCACTGGCCAAGGCTGAAACAATATTCTTGTGGCCTTAAATGAAAGGGGAGAGGAGTCCACTGAGAACAACATAGCACAACATTTCACATCTTTCACCACCAGAGGTCGCACCTCTCCATCAGAAACAAACCACAACATGGAGGGCTGAGTTCGCCATTTACTGCGGGAGCTAAAACTGATCCAAGGTGATCGATGGCTCTCTGCCATTTCTACAGTAACGGCCTAGGTTTATCTTATGCTGCATCATTGTTAGGCTGTTGTTGAACGATGGTCCACAAATCCCATAATTAATTCTATGTAAACACCTGCTTTATGGTCCATCAAAACTGTTTGCTTTAACTATTAGCGAAGCAACAGTGGTGAGTGCCAATGGCCAGGGAAGAACTGCACCCCTAACCCAACCCCAGGGCTGCAAGATCCCATATTTTCAGGAGACAGTATTACAACGCTTCTACCACTAGGCTACGACTATTGGAATCCCAGTTTGCTTAGAAATGTGGCGTTACAAAGGCCATTAAATCCAGAGTCTAAACTTGTGCCATTGCTGAAGAATCTGGGCAATGAAGAAGGGAAAGCATCCGTTTCAGTCAACAATACTTGGTAGTGTGCAGTGACGTTATATTATTGTATTTGCAAACCGCCCTGGGATCCTCAGATGAAGGGTGGTACAGTGGTACCTCAGGTTACAGACGCTTCAGGCTACAGACGCTTCAGGTTACAGACTCTGCTAACCCAGAAATAGTACCTCGGCTTAAGAACTTTGCTTCAGGATGAGAACAGAAATCACATGGTGGCGGCGCAGTGGCAGTGAGAGGCCCCATTAGCTGAAGTGGTACCTCAGGTTAAGAACAGTTTCAGGTTAAGAACGGACCTCCAGAACGAATTAAGTTCTTAACCCGAGGTACCACTGTATAGAAATTTAATAAATAAAGAGTGTGAGGTGGCAGAGATGGTTCTCCAGGGATGTGGTAATCAAAGGAGGAGCCTTCACTACAGTTGCTCCAGAGGTTTATGTCCAAACACAGCCTTGCTTTCAGCTCTGTTTGGAGAACTGGCATGAAAGGGGTCACCCTCACCCTCTTGCTACACAGAGGCTGCCTGGTAACTAATTAACTCAAAGTTTGGAAGGTTCCAAGCACAATCTGTTTTCCAGGTGGAGTCCATCGACAGGTTATTGCCACACATGAAAAAGAACTTGGACCCAGGATATTGGTACAGGGCATCTAAAAGGATTGCTGGCCTTCCTTACTCACTTCATGGGTTTGAAGAGGGCTTGTCCATGGTTGGGGAAGGTCATGATCAGCTTCAGTTGTGTCCCCCCAGGCTTTTGAACTGAAATTACATTAAGAAGGAAAAAGGCTCAAGTCACCACCTTTCCCAGTTTGAGAATGAGGACGAAACAACCTGGCATTTAAATATTAACAGAGTCTGCTCTGGTGCTTAGCACTGAGGCAGAACATTCCAGAAAGCAGCTCATTCCCCCTTCCCACAAGACTCTTGTCAGGATGGTTTAACAGGCTGGGTGTCAAACTGAGAGGGAGAAAAAAGTGGAGATTGAAAGAGTGAGGGGTGGGGGAACCAAGGCAAACAGGCAGGGTGAAGTGAGAAGAAAGCAAGTATGAGCAGTAGAGGGACCCGAATGTGGCACAGAATACCTGAGCTGATAATTGGCTGCATGGCCAAATCTTCCATCGTGGCAAGGCGAGCAGGGTCATGGCGGGCATACAGTTCATAGCGATTGATGCCAGTGTAGAACCGGAGCCAAGCAGGGTTGGCATCGTGTTTTGGAAGCTTCTCGTGTGCCTTATTGTTGCTAGCCCTGCAGATCCAATACCCCCCCACACAATACACAAAAACAATTGCATATATTATCATAGGCTAGTGAGCTTCAGAAGGTAACAGAAATCTGGCTACTGAGAAGCAAGAGGGAATGATCTCACGCTGGACCAAAAATTTATTATGCATCTTGTTTTGCAATTCTCCATTAATGAATGCGAGAATAGAATTATCAGGTCTCTGTCCCCCCCCCCCCAATGCACTAGAATGAACAGCACGCTTATTCAGGGGTATCACAAGGTTTGCAAATGTGCACACACAAAAACCCTTTAGGAAAAAGAGCCCAGGGTGGAGGAGGGAGAAAAGCAGGCCAGTGAAGACCGAGTGTACTGGCTGGCTGTTATGAGGTGAGGGGATGGAAAGGAGGCCTTTGCATGCTTTAATTGGAAAGCATGGCCTGTCTGAAAATGTTGCAAAGAAGCTTGAGCCCCCATGTATATCTAGCTGTGCTTACTGAACAGCAGGCCAACATTCTGAGCCCAGCTGCCTTGAGAGGTCAGAAAATGGCAACAAAGTGCTGGCAGGGGCAGGGACTCAGTGGTAGAATTTGTTTTCTCCATATCTAAGGACAATATCTCAGCCTAAGACCCTGAAGAGCCACAGTCATCAAAGGTAGACAGGATGGCCTGCTGGTCTAACTCAATAAAAAGCAACATGTATCCCTATATTAAGTAGTAACAGAGAATCACAGAGACGAACATATTTATTATGGCATATGCTTTGGTGGATAGGGACGCGGGTGGCGCTGTGGGTTAAACCACAGAGCCTAGGACTTGCCGATCAGAAGGTTGGCGGTTCAAATCCCCGCGAGGGGTGAGCTCCCATTTCTCGGTCCCTGCTCCTGCCAACCTAGCAGTTCGTGCGCTGCTTAATCATGCTGGCCACATGACCCGGAAGCTGTATGCCGGCTCCCTCGGCCAATAAAGCGAGATGAGCGCCGCAACCCTAGAGTCGGCCACGACTGGACCTAATGGTCAGGGGTGCCTTTACCTTTATGCTTTGGTGGACTCAAGCCCACTTTGTCAGATATGATGAAGTGGGTTTGACTCCATGAATGCCATCCCTGCAGAGGATGTATACCAAATTACATGGGCCACCCAGCTGTCCCTATGAAAAAAACCCCAAGAGCCTCTCACCATTCATTGCTACTTCTCACAAACATCTTCACCTTCGGTCTGGTAGCAAACAGCTTGTCTTTCTTCATAACTTTTGGGATTGGAATCTTGTAGAGCGGATGGTCGAAAAGCGCAGCCAGTTTGGACCTGCCTGTCCATGTTGGTTTTTCTTCTGCTTCTTTCGGCTCGAAGTTGTGACTTTGGAGGGGGATGTTGCTCCTGCTACCTGCATGTGGTACGCCTTCTGGTGAGTGAACGCCTTTCTCCAGGGAGCTGTTGCTACCACTGAAGTCCTGGAGAATCCTCAGGTTTAACTTATTCTGGGCTGATAACACGGGACTAGGTTGATCTTCTCCTTTGCGGGTACATCCACAAGAATCAAGGCCGGTGGAGAGCGTCAGATCCAACACCATGTGTACCAGGAGAGCCAAAAGGAGCAGAAAACAGAGAATGACTTTAAATTTCCTTTGGAACAGAGAAGGCAGGTGGTGCACCATCCTTGTGAAGTCCTGGATGCCAGTAGCACAAAATGTATGACAAAGGTCCACGTGTCAATAAAAAAATAATAATCCGCAATTTGATCCCCACTCAAAAGGATGTAAAGGATGTTGTTGTCTAAGGTATATTTCCAGCTTTGGGAATCCAAAGGAAAAAGGAGAAGCTCTTTCTTTTTTTAAAAAAGCAAAATATTACTTATAAAAAACAAAACCTCTTCACTTATGCTATGATAATCCTTCCCAAGGCAAAATAAATAAATAATTCTGGGTCTTGTATAAGGTGGCTTCTGCTAGGAATCATTCCGCTCACATAGAAGTCCTCAGCAGGAAAAGGGTAAAAAGCAGGTTGCAGATGAATTTAATGATGTTGATAAGGGAAGAGCAAGTGGTGCCAAGGTTAACATGAACTAGTTAAACTCCAGATTGATAGCAGCAGATTGGTCAATGCCACAAATCTCTTCAAATTATGTTATTGCATCACAAACTCTTGTGGAACCCATCGTCCCAGCAGGCTCACATATTGATTCCCTCCTTTCACCTATAAACACTGTCAGCTAGCCACCTACATAATTCATATGACTTCTTCCTTCATCCATTTTTAAAAGTTCGACCTTCACTGAAAAGCTGCAGTGGCTCAACAACTGTCCACAAAAGAAAAGAAGAATTAAAACAAGTTTCTAGGATTCTCAGGAGCAACAGAGGCACTGCCCGCTCCTTCCATATTCATTGTGTGGGGGTTTGTGAAGGGAAATCAGATTTTTTGAGGGAATTGGCATAAAGGCCATGTGTTTTATGGAGCTCATAAAGATATTGATATGTGGCACCTAGATCTGAGCCCTTAGTTCCCCCTTTCCTCAAAGAACTCCATACATTTAAGTGCATTATTTTATAAATACTGCTAAGTCAAATAAGTTCAAAGAAGAACACCCCCACCCTTCAAAAAAATATAATTCAAGCTATTCCTTTATTAAGCCAACCATAGTGGGTTAAACCACAGAGCCTAGGACTTGCCGATCAGAAGGTCGGCAGTTTGAATCCCCGCGACGGGGTGAGCTCCCGTTGCTCGGTCCCTGCTCCTGCCAACCTAGCAGTTCAAAAGCACAAAAAGTGCAAGTAGATAAATAGGTATCGCTCTGGCGGGAAGGTAAACGGCGTTTCCGTGCGCTGCTCTGGTTCGCCAGAAGCGGCTTAGTCATGCTGGCCACATGACCTGGAAGCTGTACACCGGCTCCCTAGGCCAATAAAGTGAGATGAGCGCCGCAACCCCAGAGTCGGCCACGACTGGACCTTTAATGATGGAAAATAATGTGCAATGCTTCGAGTTCTCCATAACTATTCAGTGGGCTAGATGGTAAACAGAGAGGGGAGGGAAAAGTTGACTGATGAAAGTTGTGGTGTCTGCATCTGGTCACAGCACACATTCACATGAGCCTCTATTAGGTGCTATCCAGGTTTCAGGTTACATAGCACCTGATAAATGCATCAGATGCAGGCTCCAAGACTTCACCATTTACATACCAGGGAGAACTCACAAGCTAGTACATCATTTTGGTTGGTCTAATAAAGGTATTGTCCTAATGCAGATTTTGGATTTTCGTTGCTGTTCTTGGGCCAAACACACCTATATTCTCTCTCTCTCTCTTTCTTTTTTTGGCAAAATTATCTCTTGCTCTTCCTGCACAGTGGCTTAGGTGGGGTTCTCTCATTTTATCTTTGAAACAGCCCTTTAGCCTTTTGTAAAATACAAGGCTTCTCCATATGATCTATTCATTCAGAATTCATCCTGATTTGCACAAAGCTTACACAGGGGTTAGTCTATGTGTGGCTTTTATTGAGCATTCAGCCCAATTTGCCTGCAGGATGTTAACACATCTTCCTGTCAACCACCCATCCATTCCGCACTTTTCAATGTGTTTCTCTGTCACTTTCCAAACTGCAAGAAGTCCTTTTCGCCTTTAAGTGGATTTATTGCAATTGGGCAGCAGAGAGCATTTTAACCCAATTCAATTGCACAAACTTCAAGTTCTGGTGAGTGCTTGAATTTCTCCTGCAAAATAAGGATAGCCCAGAGGCTCCCACGATGCTTGCTCTGCCCAAGGTAACCTTTTTGAGCTTTCTAGCTGAATGATGGCATAGCACCTTTTAAACCTTTGGCCCCATCTGCACTATCCTTTAAAGCAGTATCATACTGGTTTAAAAAGTCATGGCTTCCTCCAAAGGATCCTGGGGACTGCAGTTTGTTAAGAGTGCCATGAATTGTTAGGATAACACCTATTCACTTCACAGAGAATAAGATTTTCATAGTGTCTTAATAATCAACCCCTCTTTCTCAAGGAGCTCTGGGAATTGTAGCTCTGTGAGGGGAATAGGAATCTCCTAAAAAAAATCAGCTCCATTAACAAACCACAGATCCTAGGATTCTTTGGGGAAAGCCACCGCTGTTAATAAAGTGGTATGATACTCCTTGAAATAGCTATGTGGTGCAGATGGGGCCTTTTGTCTCGACAGTTTTTACTAGGGCACTGAGGGGAGAGATGTGACCATGCTCATACTCTCTGAAAATACACAGCCACTTCCTCACCAGCATACCATTCACGACACGCAGCCACGCATTTGCTATGGCACATTCACTTTGTCTCACACACAGAGAACAAATACCGTGAGCTGCGGAGAGAACGACGAGCTCTCGGCTTACTTATGTCCCATGGTGCGGCGGTTGCCTAGTAACTGTCTCCAGCTAACACTTTCAGTCGCCCTAGATTCTGACAACACCATATTTCTTTTTTTCCCCATTTTCCCCTTGCATTGCAGTAATACTGAGGCGAGGACAAGCCAAATAAGTTCTACAGCTCCCTCGAGGTGGAGGGCCTTGTGCTCATGTGCAAGGCTTGGGATGAACCGAGCTTTCCGGTCAAAAGGGCTGACCTAAAACCCTGAAGGACTGAGCTGTCTAAAAATGATGACTGGTGAAGGTGGCAAGGCATTTTTAAGGCAGGGGTGGAGTACATGTGGCCCTCCAGATGTTGCAACGTCAGCTTCCATCAGCCCCAACCAGCATGGCTGACAGGTCCAGTGACATCTGGAGATTCAAAAGCCCCCCATCCCCCTTTTAAGGGCTCTTTGTCAAACCCAAGCGGCTCAGGAGAACTTAGCACATTACAGTGGTACCTCGGGTTAAGTACTTAATTCGTTCCGGAGGTCCGTACTTAACATGAAACGGTTCTTAACCTGAAGTACCACTTTAGCTAATGGGGCCTCCTGCTGCTGCCGCGCCGCTACTACGTGATTTCTGTTTTCATCCTGAAGCAAAGTTCTTAACCTGAAGCACTCTTTCTGGGTTAGCGGAGGCTGTAACCTGAAGCGTATGTAACCTAAAGCGTATGTAACCCAAGGTACCACTGTATGTGCTGGCCCAGTAAAGTAATCTACTGTCAATAAAAAGTGTGTGTGTGTGTGTGTGGTGCCAGGCCCAATCCATGATCCTTGGTTCTGTCAGTGGGACAGCACTCTGCATGAGCTCAAGTACACACATTATTATAGCCCAGGTTTCAAGGGAAGAGGGCATGGAGGTCTAGTATTGAAAACTGGTTCTGAGGTGGACAGTTAAACCTTGCCTCACATTAAATGCTGAAGGAAGTGAGACATTCATCCCCAAACATGCTGCCACTGGAACATGCTTGATGAGCTGATACAGGCTGCTGTTATCCCATACAAGTGATTAAACCAAGATTTGGGGGAAGATTTGGGCCAGACATTCAGTTTGGGTGGTGGTGGTGTTTTTGGCCAAAACAAGCTCAAGAACCACCCAGCCCTCATTTTCAGGCCTCTTGTGCAAATCATGTTCAGACATTAACATCTGAAACTATCTGCATATCACCAAAGTGAGAAACCAACAACATATGTATGCTGTGGGACAGTGCTTCTGGACAAACAACATATAAACCGGGCATCAAAAGTATTACAAATACAGTATAATAAGTTCTTAACATTGCTAATAAAGCATAGCAACACATTAACTTCTCAAGTAGCTATGATCCAAAGTCTCTTGCCAACTGCTAGCTATGTTTTCACACTTCTGGTGTGATGTAAAAACAGGGGGGAGGGGAATGTGCAGGGTTTAAATGTGCACATAGTTATGCTTGTGCATTTTAAACTATGCAAGTTATTTTCAAATGTTACACTTAAGCCCAGAAAGAAGAGAGGCAACCTGCTTGAAGAACTACCACTGACTTTTTGTTTCTTTAAATAAAGCACATTTGGTGGCTTATGTGCAAGAGCCTACAGTCCATTTTCACATTGGGCACTCACATTACAAAGTCTCTGCGAGCATTTTTCCAACTTTGTGTCACATGTAAATGCTATTTATACAGAAGAGAAATTGAAAGTATCACCTGGTGCAGACATGTTTAGAACAATTTTGTGCACAAAATGAATCAGGCCTTGCGTGACAATGTCTGAGAGACGGACAGGCAATCTGTAGTTTTCCCTTGCTGTTACAATTTTACTATATTTTGAGAGTTTGTTACACTTGTCCTGCGCTCTCTTTGGGGTCTCTTATATGGAAAAAAACAGCATTCTTTATAGACAAATAAAAATAACCACTGTTTCTCTATATGAGGGTAGGGAACCTTCAGCATGGGTTCCAATTTGGCCTGTGAAGCCATTTTGGGGGACTTGACTGCATCACTGAATCCTGCAGAGAGCTGAGCTGAAGTCACCACCTGTCAGCTGATGAGCAGAGTTCAACCCTCCTGCACCGGCTGTGCAACCAAGTTCCAGCAGCCAATCCCTGCAGATAGCTGCTTTGCAAGTCCTGTGCCTGGTGCTTTGCTGAGCCCAGGGCTGGCAAAAACCCAAGTGCCGGAAAACTAGCTGGCTGCCAGGTGCTTGGAAAGCATTGTGCAAAGGACTTTGACATGTGGGTGACACAAGGCATCTGTCAATGATCTGGTGTCATAATGATGCCACATGATTGACAGGTGGGTTAGATGGTGTGGTCTACCCCCTATGTCATACAGCCAGAAGGGAGCTGCCAGCTATCTTCTCCTTACTTCACATAATAATAGAACATGGAGGGAATGATGAGATCCCATGTAGTTGATAGGTTCGTGATTGCTAGTGATCCATCTTGGAGGAGACTGGTTTTGTGCGACAGAAGGAAAAACTAAGCAGGGATGAATCTTACCACCCTCTAGCTTTGCGTCGCCATTGCTGGCAATATAAACTGGAAGATTTTTCGTCGTTGGGTTTGAGTCTTGCAGTGAAATGAGATTTTCAAAGCCAGCCCTTCACACCAGGCAATCTGTCAATGTGCTTTGTTGCCATGACACCACTGCAGAGCAACACTCAAAATTCTCACCTCTTATTCCTTGATGACAATGCATTAGTCACATTGTTGCAGTTGCACAGTCACTCCTATTGCTACCATTGGATACATGGTGTATAGCTCAATGACAGAACATCATGTTCCCATGGGAAAGCAAGTCACAGTGGTTCGCAGCTTAAAATGCCATGCTAGAGCATTGGGGCCTAGCACTCAAAAGACATGGGTGTTTTACAGCAGTAAATATTACCCTCCAGTTGATCACTCCCACATCTATGAGTCATTGTAAACAGAGGGGATAAAAAGCACCACCGTACGATATAACTCTTGTTATGCCCAATTAAGGAGAAATACATGTTAGATTTTGCAATAATGGAATTGTGGAACTACTGCATAACAGCACTGTCAAATTTTCGGAATGAAGGCATTGATTATGTGTAACACAGAGGAGGTTTTATGAAGGTAAAGCACACTGAACTGTACTCCTGTTACCAAGGAAAAGAGAGAAAAAAACCCTCTTTTGCTGGAGTCCTGTAGCAGGGAGTTCAGACCAAAGAGCTGGGGATTGGCTAAATTAGGCTGGCCTTGCTTGCTTCATACAGCCACATGACCACTGGATACTGATAAGAGACAGGCAAAGCAGCCAACTGATTGTTTGCTGAGATAAGCCCCCACGTTAGCAGTTTGATTTCTGTAGGTCAGCCTGACACTTGGTTGGGTCATCAAGACCAACATGTGAGTGTGCGTGTGTGCTTGTTCAAATATGGACATTGTACTTATTTCTGTACTGTTATTAAAGAAACTGTATCAATATGCATAGAATCTCATGCCCCATGTTTGCAAGAGAGATAATTATATGCCTTCTGCAATGCCATATTCTATCATCGAAGAATGATGTTCTCTCTCATATGCCCATGTAAATCTATGAAAAAGATCAGATGGCCTATTAAAATTAATGCTGAGCACTAAGAAATAAGTTGATGAGTGGGGAAATATTAATGTGTTTCTGGGGTGGGGACTAGAGTCCCACTGATTTTAATGGGATAATTCAATGGCAAGCCATCAGTGAATTATCCCTTAAGGAAGCTTTCAGGTGCACATTCCCATGGTATCATATTGAATACTATGCATGTTTATCATACAGATATTTTGCCAGATGTATATCAATGCAAGAGTTGGGAAGTCCCTCGCTGTAAGGCAAGATCATCCATGCAGTAATCCCTCACTATATAAGCAGGGCCATGGTGGACCAAAAGTAGATACCAGCTACAGTGCAAATATCAGCACAGTACTCAGGTAAGTCATATATCATAGGAAGAGGCAAAAATGTAATTCCTGGATACGGTTTAGGGTTAAAAAGTTTTTTAAAAAATAAATTGTGGTATTTTATTTTAAACTTTCTTGTTAGCTGCCCTGATCTCTGTTGAGGAAAGGCAAGATACAAATGTTTTAAGTTGTTTTAAGCCCTACCTACACCACCCTGAGTTCTATCACAGAAAGATCAAATGGGGAAATAAGCCACAACTGAAGTAAGAAAATTGACATCACAAGCCATCCTTTCATAACATACACGGCAGAATTTGCTCTTTTGGCGAATATATGAAAAGCTCATGCCACCCTTCCACCACCACACACAAACACAATGGATCCAAGTGAATTCTCCAGACATAAGCCATGCATTAAAAAAAGTTTATTGTAAAAAGTAAGTCCCCTTCACACTCCAAATTCAAATAGACTATATAGAAAATACAATAAGGACCATTAATCAACACCCTCGTGACAGCATTATTAGACTCTACAAAATGGAAGTACAATTGTACTTAAAAGTTTTGAGAAACTGGCAGCTCAGGCAGAGCTTCTTCCCACGACCAGTTTCTGAACAAGATACAACATATTGGCATCGTGACACTCCCACCCCATCCCACATGCTATGCAAAATAGTCTTATTTGTGTGCCATACGCTTTACAAGCTATATCAGTGCTCTGTAGGTGTAGTGAGGAGGTGGAAGGGCAATTATCCTAGCAACCGTCCACTGGGTCAGGTTTGTCAAGCTGGCACACACACTTCTGACAACCAGGCAGCTGTCATCTGGGCAAAGAGAAATCAGCTGCCTTTTTCTGGTCTTCTCCCAGAAAGTGGGAAGAGATAGCAAGGAGAAGCAATGGGAAGTTTGGATTCAAACTCTTCATGCTCTCTCTGCAATGTATGGCTTCATAAACTGTGACTTGCAGTCACCATCCCCTGATCCCCACCTCTAAGCAAAAAGCCACATTGGTAAAATCAGAGTCAAACACTCTATGAGCTGGATTAAGTAGCTCAAACATATTTACTTACACTCACGCACACACTCAGTATTTGTCATAAAGCTGGTATATAAATAAGAAAAAGCTCAATATTTTATTATTAAAAATAAGCCTGCCCTTTAAATTGTACAAAAACCAATGCAAAGTCTGGGGGGAAATCTCCTGAATGTGGTGAGCTTGAAAAGAGAGAGAGAGAGAGAGAGAGAGATGGAGTATGTCAGGAGCACTTCCAAACGCAAACAGCAAGACTGCCTCCAAAGAACATGTACAGCAGATTCTTCACCTCGTGGGTGATCTCGAAACCAAAGCCCTCCCCAATCACGACATGCCAGGAGGAGCCAAACTTCTTGTCCATTGTCTCTTTGATCATCTTGGCAGCACTCTGAAGGGAAGAAACAAGAAATTCAACAAGGAAAGGAATAGGAGCCAAAGGGGAAGGAACAGCAAGTTAGAAAGAGAGAAAAATGGATTCTTTCTCATATGCCGCTGAAGCTCACCAACTGTTTATATATACAGTGAGGGGGGAAAGTATTTGCTCCCCTGCTAAATTTGCCCGTTTGCCCACTGACGAAGAAATGACCAGTCCGTAATTTTAATGGTAGGTTTATTGTAGCTGTGAGAGACAGAATAACAACAGGAAAACCCCCAGAAACCCAGAAGACAAAAGTCAGAGATTGATGTGCATTATAATGAGTGAAATAAGTATTTGATCTCCTATCAACCAGCCAGATGTCAGGCTACCTGGTATCTTCATTGTTTGTAATGAGCTGAGATTAGAAGCACCTCCTGTAAGGGAGAGGTGTTACCTGTAATCCCAGCTCGTTACAGTACCTGTACAAAAGACACCTGTCAACAGAAGCAATCAATCCAGCAGATTCCAAACTAGCCACCATGACCAAGACCAAAGAGCTGTCCAAGGATGTCAGGAACAAGACTGTAGACCTGCACAAGGCTGGACTGGGCTACAAGACTATTGCCAAGCAGCTTGGTGAGAAGGTGAAAACAGTTGGTGCAATAATTCGCAAATGGAATAAACACAAAATAACTGTCAACCTCCCTCGGTCCGGGGTTCCATGCAAGATCTCATCTTGTGGAGTTGCAATGATCAGGAGAATTGTGATGTTGCAGCCCAGAACTACACGGGGGGAACCTGTCAATGATCTCAGGGCAACTGGGACCATAGTCACCATAAAACAGTTGGTAACACATCACACCATAAAGGACTGAGATCTTGCAGAGCCCGCAAGGTCCCCTTGCTCAAGACAGCACATGTACAGGCCCGTCTGCAGTTTGCCAATGCACATCTGAATGACCCAGAGGAGAACTGGGTGTAAGTGTTGCGGTCAGATGAGACCAAAATCGAGCTTTTTGGCATCAACTCGCCGTGTTTGAAAGAGGAGGGATGCTGCCTACGACCCCAAGAACACCTTCCCACCCGTCAAACATGGAGGGGGACATGATATGCTTTGGGGGTGTTTTTCTGCTAAGGAGACAGGACACCTTCACAGCATCGAAGGGACAATGGACGGGACCATGTATCGTCAAATCTTGGGTGAGCACCTCCTTCCCTCAGCCAGGGCATTGAAAATGGGTCAAGGATGGGTATTCCAGCATGATAATAACCCAAAACACACAGCCAAGGCAACAAAGGAGTGGCTGAAGAAAAAGCACATTAAGGTCCTGGAGTGGCCTAGCCAGTCTCCAGACCTTAATCCCATCAAAATCTGTGGAGGGAGCTGAAGGTTCGAGTAGAATCATAGAATCATAGAGTTGGAAGAGACCACAAGGGCCATCGAGTCCAACCCCCTGCCAAGCAGGAAACACCATCAGAGCACTCCTGACATATGGTTGTCAAGCCTCTGCTTAAAGACCTCCAAAGAAGGAGACTCCACCACACTCCTTGGCAGCAAATTCCACTGTCGAACAGCTCTTACTGTCAGGAAGTTCTTCCTAATGTTTAGGTGGAATCTTCTTTCTTGTAGTTTGGATCCATTGCTCCGTGTCCGCTTCTCTGGAGCAGCAGAAAACAACCTTTCTCCCTCCTCTATGTGACATCCTTTTATATATTTGAACATGGCTATCATATCACCCCTTAACCTCCTCTTCTCCAGGCTAAACATGCCCAGCTCTCTTAGCCGTTCCTCATAAGGCATCGTTTCCAGGCCTTTGACCATTTTGGTTGCCCTCCTCTGGACACGTTCCAGTTTGTCAATGTCCTTCTTGAACTGTGGTGCCCAGAACTGGACACAGTACTCCAGGTGAGGTCTGACCAGAGCAGAATACAGTGGCACTATTACTTCCCTTGATCTAGATGCTATACTCCTATTGATGCAGCCCAGAATTGCATTGGCTTTTTAGCTGCTGCGTCACACTGTTGGCTCATGTCAAGTTTGTGGTCAACCAAGACTCCTAGATCCTTTTCACATGTACTGCTCTCAAGCCAGGTGTCCCCAATCTTGTATTTGTGCCTCTCATTTTTTGCCCAAGTGCAATACTTTACATTTCTCCCTGTTAAAATTCATCTTGTTTGTTTTGGCCCAGTTCTCTAATCTGTCAAGGTCGTTTTGAAGTGTGATCCTGTCCTCTGGGGTGTTAGCCACCCCTCCCAATTTGGTGTCATCTGCAAATTTGATCAGGATGCCCTTGAGTCCATCATCCAAGTCGCTGATAAAGATGTTGAATAAGACCGGGCCCAAGACAGAACCCTGTGGCACCCCACTAGTCACTCTTCTCCAGGATGAAGAGGAACCATTGATGAGCACCCTTTGGGTTCGGTCAGTCAGCCAGTTACAAATCCACTGAGTGGTAGCATAGTCATGAGTAGCTACACATCAGCCTTGAAATCTTACTGACTTGGAGAGGATCTGCAAAGAGGAGTGGGACAAAATACCTCCTGAGATGTGTGCAAACCTGTTGGCCACCTACAAGAAACGTCTGACCCCTGTAATTGCCAACAAGGGTTTTGCCACCAAGTACTAAGTCATCTTTTGCAAAGGGATCAAAAACTTATTTCACTCATCATAATGCACATCAATCTCTGACTTTTGTCTTCTGGGTTTCTGGGGGCAAATTTAGCAGGGGATCAAGTACTTTCCCCCCTCACAGTATATAGAGAGAAATACACACATACACACGCTGTTTTATCTGCTGTTCTTGGCTTCATTATGTAACTGCTTTTTAAAACAAACTGTTGTCATTATGCATATCAATTATATGGTCATTTTTGTTAGCTTTGATACATTTATATTTTGGTCTTGAGATGAATTTGTAACTTTTATTGAAGTTATCTTTTTAATTGAAATTAGTTGCTCCACCAATTTAATCAATCATGTGTTTACATGGGTATTTTGTATTAATATGATTCTGGTATCATCACTGAATTATTTCTATTTACTGTTGTATTGGCTAATTAAATTTAATTTCAAGTCAACTGACAGAGAGATCAAACAATTTCCCCCCACAGACATGGGAGCTTAATAGTAATGTGTGGAACGCCCTCCCATCAGATGTCAAACAGATAAACAACTAGCTGACATTTAGAAGACATCTGAAGGCAGCCCTGTTTAGAGAAGTTTTTAATGTGTGACATTTTAATGTATTTTTAATCTTTGTTGGAGGCCGCCCAGAGTGGCTGGGAAAACCCAGCCAGATGGGCAGGGTACAAATAATAAATTGTTGTTGTTGTTATGTATCTTCCTTATCATTCAAAAATAAATAAATCCAAGCACATAGTTCTCAGAGATGACCAATACCTCATTGTTGGTGGAGTATTTCTCACACGCAGTGACACACAACTCCATGGTCTCTACTCGCATCTCCTCTGGCATGTCTGTGTGCTGGAAGACAATGCAAGGAAGGCCATAAGCCACAAAGCAACCCACACTCCCAGACCCATCTGGGAGCCACCACCTCTTCTTTCTTTCATGCTTGGCCAGGAGTGGGCAAAGGATGGAAAGTGTAGAAGCCAGGCACAGGAATTCAAGAGAAATCCTCTGTGACTGAGAAGTTTATTTAGGCAACTGGAATATCTCCCCGTTTATAGAAATGGCAGTCCTGAAGCAAGACGTCTTTCCAAGCTAGATACAGCTCTGAGGTACATTGGTTTTCTGTCCCATTCTCCTCGTCCCATCCTTACTGGGGGCAGAAGCCTGCCAAAGATTTTAAAACCTAGCTGTTTGCATTAAAATATAGATATGTATAACAGTAAGGAAAACCTTGCTAAAATAAGTAAGTTTGCAGTTCTTGAACTTGCCATACACACAGAGACTTTCAAATGCCAAGATAATTTTACCTTTGGAAGATACAAAATGGTTTCCAATCATTCTGCTTTCCTATTACACAGGTAAATGTCTCAGCAGCACATGCTAAAAATTGCAATACTCCATTCCTAGAGATATTATAATCCTGCCCATGTTTATTACTTCTGTGCTAAGAATAATGTGGAGGCAGGAAGTGAGAAAGAACATGCTAATTCCACCCCTTCCCCATGTAGCAGGGAGACTTGTTCTGCTTGTGTAGCCTCTCCATGCAATGTAAAACCCAATATTTCAGAGTCTTAAATAATGGATGGAGCCCGCATAAGTAGAGGGAATGGCAAGAGGGGTCAGAGCTAGGACACTTGTCCTCACTCTTCCTCCTCTTGTGTTCATTTAACCCAGAAGTAGTATGTGTATACAGGACTTATACCTCCTCCACATGCCTCAAATGTTCCATCATTTTTTCTTGCTGCCCACTTATTGTCCCATCTACTATCAAGAACTCCCTCATAACATCACATGCCTTTCCTCTTTCCCATAGGCATCTGGTTGGCTGCTGCAAGAACAGGTTCCTGGACTAGATGGACTACAGGACTGATCCAAAAGGCTCTTCTTCTGGTACTCTGTTTACCCTTCCAGTTTTCTTTCATGCCTTCATGCACACCACTTTCTTTTGAGCAATCATTCAGAAATTGTTGAGCCACTGTAGGCAATGACCACAATGACTTCTGCTTCTTCATGCGTACTTTGTAAAATACTTGATAATAAACTCTTTGGGGAAGAAGCGTGGGATAGAAATTTAATAAAGAAAGAAGATGGTGTTTGCTGAGCAATAGACACACATCCCCATTTTAACAAGATTGCTTGGAGTGCCTTGTGCAACTGTATTTTTATGAGATATACCAATAAAGTGTCTGCTTCACCCCACACCTCAGTACTCCTATTTAAATTAAGTAGCAAAGTAAAATGGAAGCTAATGGCACCAAGCCCCCACATCTCCTGATCCAAGAACGTAGCATACTTCATTATTCCCATTCTTACCCTGATCAGTGGAAAGCTGTGAAGTCTCTTATAGTCCGCCTCCTCTTTTTTCCCCTCCCCAGTGTCTGCCATTGTCTGTCCACTGTGACCCTGGGAAGGGGCAGAGCAGCCTGTAGGGAACCAATCAAGGGCAGACTAGGAAAAGGCTAGGACCTTTAGAATTCAGTCTGAACTGTTTTGCAGAAGCAGGGTATTCCAATGCTTAAGAGAAAAAGAGAGGGAGAAAATAGTTCAGTTGACGTATCCTCAGCATGAGGATATCACACATCTGAGATCTTTAAAAGAGTCAAAATAAAGAATGAGCCATTCATCTAGTCATGATTATACATGGCTAGATAATATACATGCATTATGATGCTATAGTTTTAGATGATGGTCTTTTTTGCAACTGTCTGTTGTTATTAGCATAAGACGTAAAATTGAAATGGTAACAATATTAAAATACTGTGAAAATCCCAGCCTGCTTGACTTTGCTACTGCCATTTCAAAATGCCAACTCTATTTTGCAAGCAAAAGCTTACAGAGTAGCAAGTCTTCTTGCTTGGATATTCCTATCTGTCACTAAAGGAACAATGTCCGTTACATCCTGCCTAGTTAACAGCTATTCAATCAAATGTGCCCATAAATACTTTGAGGTATACTGTAATTTAGAAATTATATCCCTCCTGGTCTAACTAAAAAAGGCTGACACTTAAAAATCCTTATTTCATCAACTTTAAGAATAGGAACTTAATCCCACAATAACATTCTCTGATTAGCTTTGCACAAGCCCTACTTCTTGCCAGTCTCTGGCTTGAAATGGATTGATTAGCTCACAAAGGTGGGCAGACATCTTTCTCTTAACCCTAAAGATTTTCCCCCAGGCTGGAGCTACTCTAGGTTGAGAGATCATGGATTTGGAATCTTTCAAAGGACCCTGGAATAACCCAAGCCAAGCGATGAATAGAGGTATCAGCCTAGGTAAATCCTATATTTTGCCATGTTATGCTATTTTTGCCAGTTTATCATCTATCAAAAGCCACTTTTGTGCTTAATTTCCCCCTAAAAATGTACACTCAATTTTTAAAAGATCAATTGAATGCTTGTTTACATGTCTTCTTGGGGGGGAGGAGTACTGATATGAGAACAGCAGGCCTAAAAACAGCTTTTCTTTGCAGTCGTTGTTTATTTAGGGGTATCCAATTATCCCTTATACTTTGGTGACAGTTCTAGAAAAGCAGTCCTTGGAAACAGCTTAAGTAACTAAATGGGTTTGGATTTTATTCCAAGAGATGCAAAGAACCTCTCTGTGAGTGAGTGTAATGGTGGCTGATGTAGGTGCCTTTCTTCCACTGATAGGTGGACATATCTTTGTGCTCTGGTCTCTCTATATATATCTTGCAGGCAGGTTATGCAATGCCTCCCACAAGCAGCCATTTTGTGACTGCTGCAAAATTCCAAATGTGCCCACTGGCCCCCAAGCAGGGAGACGTCATAAGTCAGTGGTAAAGCCCATGCTTTGCATATAGAAGGGTCCAAATTCATACTGTTGCAGCTCCAGTTAAAAGGATCAATTAGCAAGAGGCAAGAAAGATCTCCACCTGAAATTCTGGAAAACTGCTAATAAAGAAGGCAATATCGGAAAGAGAGCCCCTAGCCTGACTCAGTATGTCAGGCTCACATGTTATTGAAATATCAACATTTGATGCAGCTGCTTATACAGGAAAATATCTAATATTAGTCATACTCAAAGTAGGCCCTTTGAAATCAATGGATGTAAGCAGCTTGGGTATATTGATTTCAGTGTGCTCACTCTGAGTTTCCATAGCTGAGCTGTAAATGAAAAAAGCACATTTTAAAAAATTAACGCCTAATGCCAACTTCCTGGAAGAGAAAAAGTTCGCTGTTCTCAAGAGACTGGCAAACATGAAACATCCATTAGCGCCTGGGCACTTGTGTGAATGACTTTCCTCTTCTATTAGTAATGTTCCGTATCTATGGGTACAGCGATGGGCCAAAGGAAGTAACCTGAACAGGAGACGGTATGTTTAGGTTTGTCTTCTGCCTTCTTCATGGATTCTACTGTTCCTAGTTCTCCCCTACCAGACTTTTTTTTTTGCATTTGCACAAAACATTGCAAGAAAACCTAAAGTGTTCTAAAGCAGATGAGCTAGAGAAATGATCTGCAATAGCGGAATATTTGGTGCCTCGTTTCCTCCAGCCTTGACCTCTTACCACGCCAGAGTCCGCCGCCCCGCCAGGCTCCGCGTCAAAACCCAGCCCGCGCCCCGTGAAGATGGTAGCCTGGGATGACCCCCCCGCCCCAAGGGGGCCGGACCCCGCGAGGTGCTCAGGGCCAGGAGCGCGCTTCATCCTGTGAGGGACCAGAACCGCCAGACCGAGCGGGCTGGGGGCGCTCCGAGTGGCCCCTGGCCGGCCGGGACGGAGGTGTGGTGGGGGGCGCTGGGGTCTCCGGGCGGCGGGAGCGCCCAAGGCTCCACTCCGACGGGGCGGAGAGGGGGACGGGGCGCGGGGAGCCCGACCCGCCTGCCCGGCTTCTCTCACCTGAGTCACCTCGACCCGGAGCCCCAAATACCAGCCTCCCTGCGGTTGTTAAGGAAAGGAAACGTGCTTGTCTTAGCAACCGACGCCGGAAGTCCCGCCTCCCCCCTTCACCCATAGGGCGAGCCGCGAAGGGAGGAGAACGCTGGGTAGGTTGCGAGCCCTTGTCTGTCACGAGGAGGGGGGGAATGGGTCCTTCAGGATCGGCGGCGGCGGGAGTTGCGGGTGTCTATCAGCTGCCGGGTGCGATTTTGGGAAATAAATAAAATTCCTACACGCTGCAAAGCGGCACTAGAGGTTTTGCAGCTGTGATCGTGTTGTAGGAAGGAATGTGTGATTTGTCCAGGCAGCTAAAGGTGCTCTGGCCCCGTAGGCACAGTCCAAAGCACCAGGCAGTCTCCTGCCTCTCTCTCTCCCCGTCACATAGGGAGGGAAGTATCCGAGCAGGCGGGTGCCAGGGAGCTTTTTTTTTTAACCTAACCCTGTGTAGACCTTGAATTCTATATTTATTAAAAAATAAACTGAACGGTTGTGAATAATTCAAATAAAAATACAAGGGGCGTGGGGGTTGGGAGAAGAAAGGAAAGCTGGGGGAAATGGGTCACGGCAAGGTGGCCAGAAAAAATCTGGATTTGTTGGTACATCTCTGCATGGTTATCAGCATAGCTGTCAACTTTCAGATTTGAAAACAAGGGATCAGCAGCCTCACCTGTCCCGGGGACAGGCTACAGGATATCTAACAATCCGGGATAGCAGCGGGAAGCAGAGGGAAACGGCGCTGGAATAGGGGAATTTCCCTCAAAAAAAGGGAAGGTTGACAGGGTTCTCAGTAGAAGTGGCTATGATTTCTGACTCCCAATTGTTTCACAAGAGCAGCAACGAAACGCCCTAAATTATACCGCTGGAGTGAGAGCTTTGGAAACGGGGAGTGGGATTTTATTGAATCCTGGTGAACTGGCATTGCAGCGAGAGAGAAAGAGTGCAGAAGGAGGCTGCAGTTGGAGCCATCCTCCCCTAGTCTCAGTCTGAGCAGGACTGACCCTACCACTGGAGTTTAGGCAAAGTGAGGCAGTGTTATGAAAGAGCAGCCAGTTTGGGAGGAGAGGGGCTGGTGGTAGATTGCCATATTTTGAAGAGCAAAAAAATGACACATTTGCCGACTTCTACTTTTAACTATTGATTGCTATGACGACTCTACCCATGAAAAAGAGTGTGTGTCCTGGAAAAAGAGGATATGGCAACCCTACTAGGATGTTCTGCTTCAGGTGTCAAAATAACTTAATTGTCCTCAGGCACCAGGCACTTTGGTTTGATGTGGGGGCAGAGGCACCATTTTCTCATCTGCCTCAGGGAGCAAAATGTCATGGGCCAGCCCTGAGTCTGAGAGTCCTGACCCAAAAATGATTGTTTTAAACCTCATGCCAATTTGGCCTCATTGGGCTGTAATACGTGGCTGGTGGACTGCAGCTATTACATGTTAGGCAAACCAGACTGACAGAAATGCTAGTCAATCCAAGTGTATTGTGTATTTGCAACCTATCTGTTTGGCTATTCACGATTTCAGTTCTCTGCTAACCTTAAGTCTTATTCATAGAGGCTGATGTTTCTGCTTTTTTCCATTTGCTAAATTACACATTCTTTCTGGATCCCAGGACCTCTTGAACCATGTCCTATTTTTGGCTTCCTTTGCAGCTTCCATTTTTGATTGAGATTTTATGTGCTCTTGGTTTGCATCCCTAAATAGCTCCTATGTGGAATTTTAAAGTTTTTAATTTCCTCTCCTTACCTTTTGTCTCCACCATCTCATTTCCTCACCACCACCCCCATATGTCATCATAGCAGAAAGGCTGTTAATATATTTTTTTCATTGTTCAGCAATCTGTTGTTGTCTTTTGTGTGAAATGTACCACGCTGGTCCATATTTATAGTTTTCTTTTCAGCTATGCCATCTTTATTAAATACTTTTGAAATCGTTTATTTTTCTGAGGAAAATGTTTCTTTGATCTCAGTCAACCCTTCCTCCCTTTCTTCAGTATTTTCACTCTGCTGTAAAAACAACAACAAAAAAACCCCACACATTTATCTATGGTTCTGTTCATTCTCCTATTTACTGTGCACTTACCACATTTCCTATGCTAGATTTTTAGTCTGTGTCACACATTATCTGAAATGCATGTGTGTCCTGGAATTGGTTATAAAATCCTACTGTTTGAAGTGTTTTTTCTTAAACCAGCTTCATACCAGCTAGAGTCCTTAAGGCATTGCTAATCCATCTCTAGCTATGCAAATACTTATAGACATCCCTGTTACATCAAGGCTGCTGGTGTGCACACAAACAGAAATGAAGCTGACACTAATGAAGCCATGCTGATGCATGGTGAAAGAGCTGGGAAACACTGGAAAAACAACAGCTTCACCACACTTCAAAGTGGTAATGTGAACACACACTCTGTGTTTGAAGTCCACCAGAGTTTTCTGGTTCTGTTCAGAGCAGATTGGCACATTTCCTGATACGCTATGAGTATGCTGCCACAGCAACCACAATAGTTTGGAGTGTGGATTCACTGGTTCAGATATAGCCACCTGTGTGAAGCTCTTAAACGTGTTGCAGCTACATGTGCTTGCAGATCATGTGTGCTGGTTGAGTAAATATACAACTCATGTTGAACTAACCTGTAGAATTGGGATGGTGCAGAGATAGCACTGGAGAGGCGAAAGCAGAAGATGCTGGCCCAAACTTTGCAATGAACATTCAACATCCAGAGTCATAAATGGTTCTGTATCAGTGCCATGTGGATATTTCTCTGATGCTTCCTATGCCTGCTAGTTCATGGGCAAGAGCAAACCTTGGAGGTAACACAGAGCTGCACCTCTTTATAGTTGCCAATAGCTGTCAGGTTGGGTGTGAAGGGTGGCAGGAAGATTAGGGCAGGGTATATAAATCCAGGAGCCACCTGTTGGTGGCTGCTTGAATTTCCATCGCTCAAAAAATAGAAGACATTACAAGATTTACAGTCGTCCTTGTGGTGTAGTAAAGTCTGGAATCTGGTGATAGGTGAGAAAACAACACACAATTGAAAAGTCTCAAAAGGATCTGAAGAACATTTCTACACCAATTAGTGGGAATTTATCACTTTTGCAACTGCAAATGATCTGCAAAGTTATTGGTACTAGTGTGTTAATTTTGGACCTCATAACTGCGTTATATAAAAATTGTTCTCTGTTGATCTTATTCCGTTGTTAATATTAGATGAGTCCCTTGTAAGGTGACAGTGAAAAAAAGTATTCTTAGATGTATATCCCATAATTGCAATTGTTAAATCCTTTCCCTTTTTGTTACAGAATTCAATAAAGCATTTAAAAAACAAAACATCCAGGAGTCACCAGCAAATTAAAAATGGGACTTGAGGTCTGGCACCTGGATTGGTGAAGAGGATAGGAAGGGTATTCTTTTGCCTCCTCAGTAGCTGCCCTATTACACCAGGTAAAATTATTTGCCCCTTTAGCCTGGCATTATTTACTCTGAATAGCAGCAGCCCTCCAGGGCCTATTTTCCCCATCTGATCCTTTAAAATAGACATACCAGGGATTTGAACCTCTAACCTCCTGCTCTCAAAGTATGCACACTAACATTAGCCGTCTGTCACGCACCCCACCCTGGCAACATGCTGCTGTGTGTAGGTTCTGGCTACTTCACTTTCTTCAAGGATGCCAAGCGTTCCCCTGTTTCTCTTTTCTTCTCACTTCCATATATAATTTCCTTCTAGAAAGAAAAGTGATTTCTCTAGCTTTTGCAAGTGTTGCATGGAATGTGCAAGTGCCAATCAGTGTGTGTGTGTGTGTGTGTGTGTGTGTGTGTGTAGCGGGGCGGGGGGAGTAGAAACTGTGACAACACTAACGGGGCCATCTTAATGTTTTGCCATCAGAAGCAACAAGGTCTTTAACAGTGTGACACTTCAGTTCTCTCTAGCTCAAGTACCTGCAACTGCATTTGCTTAAATTCATCCCTCTCCTTGTTGCCTTCCTTGCTGTCAAATATATATGTAAGCTCCTTGGGGTCAGCGACCTGTATTATTATTATTATTATTATTATTATTATTATTATTATTATTATTAAGAACTGTAATGCACATCAATAGTGCCTTATGAAATAATCTCCTGCACCCATTATTATTATTATTATTCATGAAGTCTGCCATTTTACACAATACCCTCAGCATCCTAAAGAGAATCAAATACAAACACCAAAGTTTATTGTCAACCATCAAATATACAAAAAAAATACATATGACACATACATGTGTGAGCACATGTCAAATCCTGTTTAACAACTGTACAAAAGAAGGAGGGGGGAGCGAGAAGGAGAGTGAGAAAGTGACCGGTGGTCTAATTATGCCCCCAGGCTTGATGCCTAAGATCACTAAGATCACAGTGTTTACAACTTGAACATCATTGCTTCCATCCCCTCACCGACTCCTGTGTAGTCTCCTCCCTCGGAGGGGTTTGGGTCCCCTTAGCAACAGGACAATTTGATAGCAGCTTTATATGTTATAGTTTTAGTGGGTATATCTTGCAAGACTGGTGTGTACTGACATGACACTAACAACTCCACATACACTGTGGAGAGCTAGTGTATGTGGCTCCAAATAATGTGATAATGGGATGAAATTGGGGGTTGCAATGGATTACCTCAGGGTCCCTTCAGGCCCTGTGATGCTTGCTTGTAAGAGTGAGGTATGCCAAACTGGTTGGACTAGCATGGCTGCTGGTAATGACTCTGGTAATGTAGTCAAGAACCCTTAATGGAGAACCTTGTTAGGGAGATAGCTCTGTGTAGCTGGAGTCTTCCGGAAGAAAGAGCCATTCGTGAAGCAGGTCTTGCTTTCTCCCATGTGGTAATTCTGTACCTTTGAGGAATATAAACAGTCCTAACTGTGACTCAGCTATACAGCTGCAAATGAAATGTTTGAAGTGTGTTTTAAGTGCGATATACACTAGATGGCGATGGTGAGCCTTATGGAAAATTCAATGTATTTTTTAAAACGCTTTTTTAAAGAGCATTTTCAGAACGTGTTTTTTTTTATATGTGTGTAGATTCCACCCCAGTCAGAACACAGAGGGCTGAGCTGCTCTCCAGAAAATCCCAGTGGTGTTGGCAGTTTCTCTGGAAATCTGATGGGGAGCAGCAAACTCTGGAGATCTGTTGACGGGTTCAGTTCTGTGAATCTCCGCCTATGCTCCATCTGAATATATGTGTAAATAAAACATATATCACAAACTACCAATAAGTCTCTAGTGGCCTCTTTCTGAAGGAAACAAAACCCAGCAATGCTTCACCCCTGGATTTCTCGCCATTTGGAGAATAGTAGGTTTCTGTGGCTTATACTGTATCTACCCTACATGTAACAGGAGGCAAGTGGTTACATGCTAGATGTTGTTAGCTCAGTTGGTTAGAGTGTGGTGCTGATAACACGAAGGTAGCAGGTTTGATCCCTGTAGGTAGGGGACAGCTACATATTCCTGAATTGCAAGGCGTTAGACTAGTAGATTCTCAGGGTCCCTTCCAGCTCTATGAACTTCTGGAGGAGCACCACCACATTGGCTATTCTTGCTCTGGATCTACTTTGCCCATTAAAAGTGCAACATATAAAGCCGTCCTTAAAGGAGGAGCCAGAAATCTATGAAACGACTTTGTCCGCTCTGCCTTCCCTCACCCCTTTTGTTCAGAGAGAGAGAGAGAAAAGAGATAGATCCAACGTGTTGTATCACCAGTCATGGCAAGTGGTAAGTTTAAGGTGAGGGAGGAAGCAAAATACGACACAAGCAATCACAAGATCCCCAAAGGAAAGCAAAATAACTCACAGGTGCAGTTATCAGTGGGTTCACAGGTTTCAAAACCATTGTAATATATCAGGCACTCAAAAGGCATACAGACTTCCCCAGCTCCTACATTTCTGACCCGCGGCTAACCAGCCACCCTTCCAATCTCTTCCCAACGTCTTCTTTTCCACTAGAGTAGTGAAGACTCTCTCATCAGCTGCTCCAAGAGTTATCGTAAGTCCCTCCCCCTAAGTGGCACATTGAGAATGCGGGGTGGGGTGGGTGGCGGGGATCAGAACAGGAAAAAAGAACACAGCTAGATTAACTGCACGGACATGGCCTCCCACCTCAGAATATGGCCTCTTCAAGGCTGACACACACACAGCATTTTCTTTTACAGGGTTCACACAAGGGGTGAAGGGTTATCACAGACACAGCCAGCAACAAGTCACATGGTCACCAGAGGAGCTTGAAAAAGAACCACGGCAGTCCATGGGAATTCCAGTTTGACGGCTGTCAACTAACCACTTAAAAAAAACACCCAGTCCTAGCCTGGGTAGCTTTTAAAAACAGTTTTAAGTCTAGTTTCCAGAAAAGCAAATTGCAAGGCTGCTTCCGCCTGCTCTGCTGCTGCTAGTAGCATTTCTTCTCATGAAGCTGTGCATCTTAAATGATTCGATGCCTTCTGTGCTTAGCACTATCCCTAGGGCCAGCAAAAACCACTGGCTAAGTGCAGGCAACCCTACAAAATTCACGTTACATTTATCTTTGAATGTGTGCTGGGAGAACAATTCAACCAGGCCTTTGGCAGATTAACAGTCAATGTCCTTTTAAATGTGTTTGAAGGAGAGGGGTTATTGGTTTGTTTTGCACTTGTTCTTGTTTTTTATTTTATTTTTATATTATTATTATTATTATTATTATTATTATTATTATTAAACAAATAAAGATATCACCCTTCATCCGAAGATCTCAGGGCAGTTCACAAGAGAAACGTATTATGTACTTTGTGATTTTATTCTGTATTTTTATGCTGCGTTTTACAAATTTGATTAATGCAAATTTATTTCATTTAAATTTAAATAATTAATAATAAAACAATTGGGCTTGCGGATTTGTGTGATCAAATCCATGTTTTAATTATGCGGCAATTGCTTCTTTTGACTGGTGGTACTTCTGAATAATCATGCATAGGATTGTACTGTAAATACCAAGTGGTCCATGATCTGCAGAGAGTAGCAGGATACTCTGCAAGCACTTGGGTCACTTACATCATTGCTGTTTAAGCCACAGAGGAGGAGGAGGCACACATGGTTGCTGACTCAGGATGAGAAAGGCTCGCCTTAAGGAATTCAAAAACAGAAGAAATATTTTGACCATAAATGTAAACATTGCAACAGGTTGAAAGAAAAAACCAGGGAGGGAAGGAGGGAGGCAAGCTTCTTCTTCAGTGCATGCTTTATGCTTGACTTGGGAAATACTTAAGTATCCACATAATTGTGACAATCACGAAGAAGGGAAAGAGTCTTGAGGATGCTTCCCAACCATTGCTATTTGGGGGAGGTATTCACAGAGTGGCATATTCAGGCTACGCACCTAAAGCTGATTCACCTGCTTCTCGGAAAAGTAGGACTGGAAAGTGTGGAAACATGTGACATCGTATGACCTCCCTGCAAACAAACCAGAATGGATCCTCAAACATGGTTTTATGTTCTTCATACTTGCGTTCTAATCTCTCATGGTGAGAAGCCAAAGGGAGCATTTGCTATTGCTCTTTCTGGGAAAGAGACTGGAGAGGAGATGGGGGTTATAGAACTATGAAATAATTGAGCAATGTCTAGTCCAGAGCTTTCCAAACTTTTCATGTTGGTGACACACTTTTTAGACATGCAACACAGTAGTTCAGTTTTACCAGCAAACTAGAGGTTTAACTAACCCCTTTCCAGCCCCAGGAGGAGTGTAGGGAGCGGTTGCGTGACACACCTGCACACTGCAGCTGACACACTAACGTGTTGCAACGCACAGTTTGGAAAGCTCTTGTCTAGTCTCTACTACTCATTCCCCATCTGAGTGCTTTCAGTCAATGCACCACAAGCATTGGAGAATGTATGTCATGAGCATCTAAACTAATATCTAGAAAGCCAAAACGTAGATGCTGATCATTCTTCTGGTTTGATACTTTCCTCTCTTATTCTGCTACTCCTTTTCTCTCTTTTTCTGGCACCACTTATCTCTCTCTTTTTCTGCCTGAGGTCCAGCAGCCTGGATCTAATTGAAACCTCTGCTCAACACAGAAAATCCTAAAGTAGAGCACACCCAGCAAATGGCCATCTAGCCTCTGCTTTCACAGGAAGGAGGAGTCTCTGCACCTCCAGTGGCATCAGCAGCTGTAAATGTATGGGCTAAGATCAGGCAATAGAAGAAAAGATCCTGTGTGCACTAGGGAAATGTTGTGCTCTTCTGGCATCTGCAGAGTTGATCAGGATTTGGGACACCTCCCCGAAGGCATCAATAGGCACCTGCCTTTATGGTTCCTTTCTTGAGCAGGGACATTGGATTGTCAGGAAGTGATCCTGCTGTGACCTATTGGCTGTTCTTATTCTCATTTACCAGAAGGCTTATAACTGTTGGAAGCAATCTACATGGGGTCAGCAGCAGGAGAGTTGACCTGCTCATACAATATTGTGTTGCCTAATCCATTAAGAAGCTGTGTAGCATTAGAGCTTATTTGTGCATGCAAGTCCATTGTTTGATTATTGCGGCCACATTGACACTATACATTTAAAGGACTATGATACCACTTTAAATAGTCATGCCTTCCCGCAAAAGAATTCTGGGAGCTGTAGTTTGGGGGATGCTGTGGCTGTTTTAAATGTATGGTGTGCATGTGGCCTTCATTGCCAAATAATAGTGACTTGCCTGGATGGAGCAGTCATCACAGATCAAAAAGACAGTGAGACTTCCCTATCATATCACACATCTCTTCCAACACCATGCTTTTGAATGGAAGCCATTCACATGATCAGCTGCGAGTCATCAAGTGATAACACCATCAAGTGACAAGAAATCAAGTAAAAGAACATGCATGTGCAAATCAGCCCTTAGAGGAAGGGAAGAGATGGGAAGAGCAGCTCCCATAGATAAAGGGTTAGGTAGGAAAGTCAGAATTTTCTGGTTGCCACTTATGCGTTGCCTCTTTAAAAGCTATAATAAAGTATAAAACAATGGATTCTTTTTTAAAAAAGAAAAAGCTGTTAAAAGAATTTGGAATCTTAAGTCCCATTAAAAATGAACAGAACTGTGCAAATCACACAGCATTTCAAATGGCTTCGTATCTGGGGTGGAATGTTGGATTATTGTAAGGAGAAGAGAACCCAAACCTAGAATTTAGGCCTTTGTTGAATTAAGGAATCTGTTGGCAAAGGGCTGCCTCACTAGTGAAGGCTAGAGATCAGAGGCCAGAAGGCAGAAAAGTCAGTGGAACTTCCTGGTGGTTGCATGCAAAGACTAAAGGAATATTGGCTTGTGTATTCCAAGACAATCAATGGCTTCTCATGGGCAAATACTGCCACTACCAAGCAAATTTTAAAGCCTTCAGAATCCTGCTTATCAGAGCCCCCTTATCAAATCAATGATGGCACCAGCAAAATGGGAAGGGGGGAGAAATGTTGGCAATACCAGTTCAACCAACAGTTTCCCATTCACAACATCAGCCCCTGGCCTTCATCACACTGTTGTTGGGATATGGCCTACCGCTCCTTAACACACACACACACACACACACACACACACACACACAGGCCTTCTTTTTGGAGGGCCTTGCCACTCACTGTATGAATCAGAAAGAGTTTTACTGAAACAATGAAAAAACACAGTGTCACAATTTTCTTTGAAGTTCAGAAGGTTTCCCTGTCCCTTGCACACATGCACACACTCACACACGCAGCTCTCTCCCCAGACCAATTCAGACTCCAGGATGTTTTTGTATGGGGATAAAGGTCTCCCGTGCTGCCTCGTTCCTTAAGTAGAATGGAGGAAGGGGAAGTAGCTTTCATGCTCCTTTGGTAGGGACAAGGACCTCTCACGCCTTCATCCTCTCCTCACAGACGTCAAAGCTCCACTTGGCTGCCCCTCCATGGACCTCAACCAGTTTTTCATCCCAGTGGATGATGTTGCCTCGCAGGTGGGCCGTGCAGTTGGCTAAGCCCAAGATCTCTGCCGGGGTCAAGACATGATCCCACATGTTGAACTGAGAAATTTCGCCAACGAAGGCCTGAGTGGCATCAAATCTTCCACCCAATGCATCCTGTAGCACCGTGTTGGAGAAAAGTACAGACAAATAAAGGGCAAGCAATAAGACAGAGAAGAAAAATATATACGAGAAATTGAATATGAGGCCTTCCATGGGCTCTGCTGAACTATGGGGCCCTGCCACACTGCCAATCCTCTGCAAGTGACAACGTTGGGTCAATTGGTTTCAAGGAGTTCAGGACCCTGTTTCATTCTCATCTTTCCTTAGCAGGATGGCACAGCAAACTATGGAATAGCTTTACTCTCTCCCCACCCTCTGCAAATTTCTGCATGTCCAGTTTTTGCATTAAAATGCAAATTTCCAAGTGCTTCCATGCAGCAGTTTATTGTGCAAGCAATAATGCGAGCTTTGCATCACATCCACACAGCACTATCTTCTGACACCGTATATTAGTTTCCTGTTTAATCCGGATTCGCCACTTCTGCCTGAAATCCCCCAAGTAAAAATCAAAGCAAAAATGTAGAAATTGTACATGTGGACTGAATATGGGGGCAGTGGTGGAATATAGGGTGCCATTTGGATGAGGGTGGCATCATGTGGGCGCTGCACAAAACTTGCATGCCAGAGCAGCACCAAGTTCACAATAAGCTGCCATGCAGACACATTCTTGGAATTTTAAGAACCTTCTGTGGGCATTTCTTTGGAACCACAACTCTATTAAATACACACTGCAAATCCAAACCAGAATCCCTGTGTGGTTATAGGCTTCAAGGACAACACATGTGGCATGTCCAAGAGACCAGCTGGGGATCTCTTATACCTAAGTTGTCAAATTTTGTTCCTTTGAGCCCAAAACATGGGCAGGTCCTTGAATTATGTTTAAGTTAACTACTGCAAAGACAATACATGGATTAGACTCACCTGCTCCTGGCCCAAGATGATCACACCATGAGGTTTGACCGGATGCCAGGATGCCAGGTTATCACCGGCCCCACGCTCCTCCCCATTTTCATATGCTGACCATATGCCATCCCGTGTGATCCAGGTCAGGCAGATGTGGTGCCACATCCCAGACTTTAGACTCATGGGCAGCTGAGCCACCTGACAACAAAACAGAAAAGTGCCTTAAAATGTACAGTGCAAATAGTTTTTTTTTGGGGGGGGGAGTCTCCCACTGATGTCTTTTAGCATCACCTTCCCGAAAGCTGACAAGGAGCACATTATGGTCCTCTCTTGCTGGCTGCAGAACAGGAGTGGGTGGTGCATGCCTTTCTCCCAGCCTCTCTCTCTTAGGCCCTTCCCCAGTTCTGGTCTATGCCATCCTTGAGTGCTCTTTCCTGAATGTGTCAACTGTGATGATTCCTCCTAGCTGGGTGGGTCTCTGATTTATACTGTTCAAAGGTAAAAGTCACATCCACTGCTCCATTCACTTTTGCCTCTAGCCCCACCCCCACCATAGGGGCATGCAGACCTCCAGCCTCCTGGCACCATGCCTGAAATTTGGAAGTAGTTTGAACTCTGACCCAATGGGGTGCTTCAGCCCATTCTGGTCCATCATCTTCTCCAGTGACAGGGACCAGTGCAGCACCAGCACTGCTTGCAGCAACGACATGGTCGCTG